AACCATCAACCAGGATTTAAGCCATTTAAGCATGAACATTGATGAACATTGAATATTGATTTAGAGGTTCCCATTTTGGTGTACACCAAAATGGATGGTTTACTAGACGAAAAATAGAAACATCCTATTGGCATGGATGATGGCTAGGGGTACCCTCATGACTTAGGAAACCTCCATTTACCATGAACAGATAGGTTTTTACCGAGTTTTTTTTAGTTTGATACAATCCGTTGACAAACTCCATCATCATCTCCAAAGTTCGGCTATATATTCTGCAGACAATGTAGTAAATATCATTAGAATTCATTAGATATATTGAGATATCATACATTCCTGATTTCTTGACGTATTCTACAATTCCATATTACCAATAGAATATTCAAATTAAACGTTGCTATTTTTCATCTATATTACATAGATTAAACATTAAATGTCACTCCCAATGCTAAATCTATATATTTTTCCCAGCTAAATCTCCATTTTCCCTGGTTTTTTCTCTCCATCTTCCCCCAGTGAAATCTCCATTTTCCATCATTTTTCCCGGTGAAATCCCCTATCTGATGGGTAAATCCACCATTTTCCCTTCAGCTAGGCCTCCAAGTTCGCCTCCGCCTTCGCCGCGGCGGCGAAAGCCTTGGCCGCCGCAACGGTGGTGCCGTGCGCGGCTTAGAAACGCCAGGGGAAATGATGGGAACATGGGGATTTTGGGATTTTGCCCGGGAAAAATGGGGGATTTCACCAGAAATGGAGAGTTCACCGGGTGGTTTCACCATGGCATTTCCCATGAAAAAAAAGGCGAACGTCAGATCTCGAAGGATTGGATGGACTGTGCTCCCATGGATCGATCCTTGATGTCTGTGTTTCAAGTTTCAAATGAGCCAATAGGCAACAAAAATCACGTTCACTCTCGGCTCCCAGAAATTCAATGCAAGAACAGACTATTCAGGCGAAAAACATGGAAAAACACATGTGCCATGGACAAAACATGGGTTGTTTTGCGATAGAAGGGATTGGTTTGGTCATCAATCCATTGACCAGAGGGTTTTGCTTTTTTAAGACAAAGCTTTCTCATCCGCTAGTCCTTGGGTCCGGAAGGAGGTCTGGGATTTAGATTGGGATTTATATAGGAAATTATAAGGACTCCCATTGATTCAATGGATTGGTTTAAGGGAAAATCTACAGGAAAGCCCCATATTTAATGGGAAAACCTATGGTTTCCTGTAGATTTTCCCTTAAACCAATCCATTGATTGATGGATGATCATAACCCCTGGCAAACGCTTCGCGATTTTCCCCTCACATCACCGATGGGAAAGATGGGCCATAAATTGACACCTCCCAGGCCCACCTTGAGCGGTGTGCCTGAAGAACCAGGCCAGCTGAGAGCTGCGAAAATGGCTTGTCTTGTTGGAATCCAAAAACCAAGGGATCTTGCTTTATCATGGTTTAGCAGCTTAGCATCATTTCTTTAAAGTGAAATTTGCGGGAGCTGTCTCCCATGTTGAGACAAATGACACATCCATTGGTGGCAATGCTGGTGAGTGTTCAGGACATGAACATGAATAAAAACAAGTTTTCGCGACTTCCCGCTGCAAGGTGGTGCCCCCCCCCTCAGTTATATATAAATGGCTTATAATCCCATTAACTATAGATATATTTCACTTATAAACTTATAAACCATAGTGAAATTGGACTTAAAAAGTAACTTAGCTAACTATGGGGCACCACCCTGTACCCAATATGGTTCATTCATGTGATGCCAAGATTGACTGGTTATCCTCAACACGCCATGCCGAATTTTGACCCGTTTTGGTTGAGCTTGTGTGAGCTTCTACCCGACTTCACGACGTCCATCCATCCATCCATCCATCCCATCCCATCCCATCCCATCCCATCCCATCCCATCCCATCCCATCCATCCGTATATAATATAGATAAATAAAATTAAATAAATAAATCAATAAATAAATCAATGAATGAATGAATAAATAAAAAAATAAATATAGATACGATATATGTATATATGTATATATATACACACATACACACACACATATATATATATATAGATGTATATCCATATCTCCCAACAAAATGCGAAGTTTTCAGCACCTCTGAGGCGGCCCTCCATCCGTGCCGGATGCGCCGGCGCGCGCCCCGAGCCCGGCTGGCGCCGAGCGGGCGCCCGAAAGTCTCGAGACGGCGGAGCAGCTGGAGCAACTGCGGCAAATTCTCAGTGGACAGGTGGGTAAAACCATGGGAAAACCATGGGAAAACCATGGGAAAATGGAGATTTCACTGTGGAAATCTGTGGATGTGGAAAATTTTAAACTGGAAAATATGGAGAATGAGAATGGGAATGGTTTTTTTAGATGGTATTTTTTTGGGATTTTTAAGAGGGGAAAATTGAGGGGATGAAACCAACAATCATGGTGATATTTTTATGGGGATGTGGAGATAGAATGAAGATGCCAACAATATCCATTTAAGGGTAGTGCCTCAGTTCGTGCCTCAGTTCGGAATCGCTAAGTTGGAAGAAATTTCACTCAGCATCTCATTCGGGTTGATGTTTATGACCTTGTACCGGTGGGTAGGAGGGCTGAAGATTGGACCATACACATATACTATAATATATATATATATGTATACACATTTAATGTACTATATAGGAAGAGAAGATTGATTAGAGGAGGAGGTGCCGCAGAAATTTGAGTAATCATCAAACCAAATAGTATTGAGAATCTTATATATATATACACACCTGGAATCGTGATGGATTTGAAATGATGAAACGACTGATCATGGTGACATCAGTGCATCACAAAAATCACGCGAAGGTGGCGCCCAGCACCGACGTTGTGCCGCCGCCGCCGCCCGAAGACGTCGCGCCGGCGAGTCTCACGGCGCCGCCGCCGCCGCCCTGGACGAGGCCAATGACGTCAATGACGTGTGATTTTGCAGAAATGGTTGGTATGACGGTATGAAACATCTCTCGAATTTTCGGATTTTGTTACTGAGGTTGCCGCATTTGATTTTTACCGGTAACAGTATGCTCTTCACAGGCCGCAGCCGCAGCCACCGCCACCGAGCGGATCGCTTGAAAAGGGCGACGGGATGCGTGTTTTTTTTAGGTAGTGGCCGGTAGTGGAAGACAGTGTTTAGGTGATTTTCCAAGTAGATCAAACAACACAAATTGGGTTGGGTTATATAATTATATATTAATATATAGTTATGTAACATTAGATAATTCTTGTTAGACGGTTTGCGGATTGAGTGATCTAAGTATGGCAAGTTTATGGCTTTGAAAAGTCCAATCCAGTGATCTTACCCTCTGGTAATTTAACATAGCGAACTGGAAAATCACCATGCTTTTTTGATGGGTCAATCCACTATTTCTATGGCCATTTTCAATAGCTTTTTGTATGTTTACCAGGCCGGGTAAATGGCCATCAGATGATCAGCCTCCCATTTTTGGAGTCCCAGCAGGCGGCCCAGGGCCGATGGCATGGTGACGTTTGGGAATCCCCATGATCCATGGGATTCGGCGCAGATGACGACTGGTTGGTATTGAAAACAGTGATATTTATGGTCCAATAACTATGGTTTATAGGTGATATATCTATAATTAATGGGATTATAATCTGGTTGGTGCTTTGGAACCATCGAATTTTATGATTTTCCATTTCATATGTGGGATGTCATCCTTCCCAACTGACGAACTCCATCAGTTTTCAGAGGGGTAGGTATACCACCAACCAGATATTGTGATGATTGATCAATGATTATTTTGATACGGAAAACCATGTGAAGAAAAATGGGACTTCGAAGTACCATTAGCTGATTCCCGAAGTACCGAAAGTGGGTTCGTACTACAGTGAATCTTGGCAAAGTTGTGGCCCCGGCCATGGGTACCAAATTTTTGACCAAACCGGCAACCAAGAGGTGCACTTGGCCGCTGGCAACATCATTTGTGAGGATGGGTCAGAAGTATGTAATCACACCACAAAGTTTTCGTTTGACATGTTTTGACTACAACTGAACATCCTAACAAGGTAAAAGTGAAGTGAAGTGACAAGTTTACTAGTGGGTTTCTGCTGGCGCTTGCCAGAAACGAACGTCAAGCTAAGGCTCAGTTACTCAAAGGTGATCCTCAAACAATAATAGATGATAGACCCTCTGGTAATTTAACATAGCTATGGAAAATCACCATGCTATTAATGGGTAAATCCACTATTTCTATGGCCATTTTCAATAGCTTTTTGTATGTTTACCAGAGGGTAGATGGTTGAGATTCGCTCATCTATGGTACACAACCGTCGCGAATGTACAACGGCTCTAGCACCACTAGTCACAGTGGAGACCTGGTGAGCGCTGGAAGGCACAGCTTATCACAGCTTGGTTGAAGGGAGTTGTTTAGGAAACTAAGGGTTGGAATATCTACATATGGCTATGGATCAATACCTATACATACCATTTTTAGTGGGATGAACATCCATAAATCCCAGCTATTTTGATGTGAACTACAGGGGTTTTCCAGGTTTTGACACACTGCCACATATCTCTACCCTGCGGCAATCCAATGTGGCCATGGGAAATCCAATGTGGTAAGGGAGATTTTTTTTTGGGGACCTTCCCTGGTGGATGTTCCATTGCCGTGGGAGGAATCCAGAGAATGGAGTTGGAAGGCCATACCATTCCCCATCTTTCCATATAAAATTTTCACCAGCCTATCATTGGTGGTGCCCCCCACTTGGGTTGGTTTAGTGTGAGTAAGTTTATCATTGGAGGTTCACGGTAGAAGTATCCATTATTAGATGGGTTTGTAAAACTGGTAATCCAACTTGGCAATTGAACATCCCATGGAAACGGGGTTCTAATGGGAAACTCCAATGTAAATTGGAGGATGTTTGCCATATTTCATTACCAGAGCGTATGGGAGGCACCACCTGGGTAGGAGTTTAGTCCCCACATCGCATCTGCATTGTCACCCTCAGGGCCGCGATGGAGTTCACAGACCTTGAGCCGAACCTGCAGTGGGGCCCTAAAACCGGCGGCTGTGGCACGGGGGAAATGTCAAAATAGGATTGATAGAGCCATGGTTTGTCTTCTGGTAGTCAAACGTGGCTGGCCGGGAAACCCCGGAACTAAATGGTGTTTTAATGGGACAATTATTCTTGCATTTATATTATAAATGATGAATCTTCCAGCGTCCAAGTACCAGAGGGTACAAACTTCTGCTGCCAGGCCGAGTCCAAGTTGGTTGGGTTGATCTACAGATATGGGGTGAAAAATATGCCCCAAGTTATGGCAATTTCAATGAGGCAAACGAGGCTTTCAAACATCAAATTTGTTCTTTTCCTGCTAAATTTGCAGACACACCCATATCCCAAGTACAGTGACATCTGGCAGAAAGCAAAATTTAAGCAGAGATGTGGTTCTTACCAATTCCCGCCTAAGAATCACAAATCGAATCCCCAACACATATGGAATGTCTTTCACAGGCTCATCCAGTGGGTCCAGGCTCCCATTCGCCCGGTTTTAATCGCCATCTCTTGGGGGCTTCGAGTTCTAAAATGGTCAGGTCGGTGGCCTCTGGGGGCTATGTCTTGAACTGCCAGGAGCGGTGGGATTTCACAACTCTACACACAGTTTATATACATATATGTATATATATATGATCATATGTACATTATCTTGGTACATGTACTACATGTACCACACCAACCAGTGAAATCGTTAAACTTTATCCATATGTATATATATATATAATATGGTGGTTTCTTTAAAATGGGGGATCCCCAAGTCACCATGGGTTTCAATGTGACCCCACTGGATGGTTAGGAGGAAGTCATCCCCAAATGGCGAATCAACGTTTCAGCTATTTCCAGGTTGGTGAATCACTGTAACTTGGCGACACACACACACAGATATATATATATATTATATACACATACATATGATATCCACTATACTATATATATATTATAGGTATATTCATTGGTATATTATGCTCTTTATGCATTATCTTAGTAAATTTCAATAAACTACAATACAATACGATACAATTAAACATGCACATAGAATACACATGATATAACTGTTATAACATACTATGATCCCAAATGATATAAAATAATATTGTACAATACAATACAGATGGAGTGCTGCATAAGAATAGGAAAGGTCGCAGTTCAGGGTCCCTTAAATTCTTACTGCTTTCTCACTCTTATCTTGCACCTGGGGCTTAAGGAGCTTGGGGATGCAGAAAAAAGTGTTTCAGGGCCTAAACAGTTTTGTTTGGTGGGGCTAGGGGCCAGGTGGAAGATGAGAGAAGCTGCTGCAGAAGCACCAACGTACCAAGTTGCACCCTATGATGTCGCATAGTAATCCAAGAATTTAGTTGCTCCATGAGAGGTTCCCCCCAAATCCTTACGGTTGTGAGAATCCGATCTAGCCTCACAAGATATTATATTATATTGTGTTGTGTTGCATTACATTCACTATTATAATACGTTATGTGATTTTACTTTTGTTATTATGCCCATTTGACATATCACGTACTGTATATATACGTATATATATAGCCTTTCTAGAGTGGATGGATCCAAATTTGGCACACAACATTCACTTCCAGTCTGTGGTTTTCTAGTGCTTACTTCATTGTCTTCTTGTCATGATCGGCACCATGTTACTTTTAAATGTTGTTCCCCGGATATGTTCGTTGCCAAAGCCCACAAGTATGAGTAGCCGTAACCCCATTTGATACATTTTCCATCATTTTCCTACTATTGTTTTTGTATGTTCAGTGCTTCTTACCTCATTCATATACCACTTCATGCATGTTTTAGTAGTGGTAATTACCTCACACAAAACTATATTGCCTGCAATTCATCTATTCTAACTTTGAAGTACTATTGTCCAAATTACTTTTTGAACAAGTTATGCGTACACATATTGTCCCAAATATTCTTACCCTGCAAATTCACCAACAATCTTTCGAAGCTGGCAGGAGATTTCGGCCTTGAAAGCTGGGTAGGGAACCCTTGATTCACAGTTCACCAACCACCAATGGCATACAACAGCACGTATGACTTTCAAATCTTAACCAGCTATATGTTAGTAAAGCAACAATAAACCATATTTTGATGGTTGATACCAACTACTATTTATGGTGATTCTGGGGATGGTTTACTGTTGCTCTACTAACATTAGTTGGTTTTGGCAGTAATTATTTCCAAGTTGCGACAACCAGGATGCATAGGCGTGCTTTTCTTTCAGTTGAAATCTATCGCTGGGTGCCTCTGACAATTAGGGTACTCCAAAAACCACTGGTTTTCCCGTTAGAAATAGCTGACAACTTGGATGATAACTTGGGTCTCGCATTTAAACTAGAACTCCTCATATGGAATATAACAATGGGATATAACTAACAAGTATGATTTTCGAAACACCTCATAGGCAGAGGCCACGGGGAATAGGAGGACTCATCGCATCATCGGCGACTGAAAGTTGACTGGACATTGACGAAGAACATCTAACAGGGATTTAACATGATTTAACATGATTTAACCACCATTTAACCAACATTCACCACTATTTTCGTGGGATTTCTCCAACTTCTGAGTTACTCCAATCAACAGCACCTGATCACTCGAGGTTGGCCTTGATGAAGAGCCAGGACAGCGATTTCCCAGCCAAGTTTGACTACTGGATGGTGATTGTATACCCAATGAATTCCCATGAAAATCTTATTTTGGAGGGTAAATGTATGTAAATGGGGTTGGGGTTCTGGAAATTTTTATGAAATTTTGAGATCCCAAATCGTTGAAATTTCAGGTCTCTGACATTGTCCCAGGAGCAGTTTCAGCAGGTCTGCTTCTGGGGCAAGGCCGGGGCGCATCGCCATGTCCAGAAACTGGATACCATGGGACCATCGGGACCATGGGGGACCATCTGCATGGCTAAAGTGGTGCCTCCAACCCTTTGCTAAGTTGCTTTGCTCCCGTAGGTAGACTACTTCTTAGGGTTTATGGTAGATTTGGTAGAATTATGCATAGATGGGTTTCGAAAGCAACAAGCATAATTGCGGGGCACCACTCTGTACTCTGTTTTTTCGGTTGCTAAAAGTCAACTATGGTGAATTCAGGCTGGCCCAGTTTTAAGAACACTCATAGATCTCAACATTGGGAGTAATGTTCCCCATTGGCTTCTTTAGTATTGGGTTCGTGTTTCTTGTGTATACCATGCCGGTACAAAAAATTACTCGCCACATACATGCATCGAGAACCCACCATCATTTTGTATATAATTTTCCTTGGGAAACCCGTTGATTTCGGTAACGATGTTGCTTATTACTTATACATATTCAGTATGTGTATGAAGTGAGATTATAGTCATACACATATAATACAGTATATGGTAGTATACGTGTAATATATATCTAAGTACTATACAGACTATAGACATATTCATGTAGCAGCTGCCTGTTGAAACTCACCCGGTGCAACCTTTGAGGTCTTTGGAGTCACGGCAGATTACTACGTGGTGCGTGGCCTCAGGGCCTCAGCGTTGTGTTGTAGGAGTGGCTGACGGGTCAGAGATTCCATATTTGGCTGGTGCTTTTGCCACAATAAATGGGAATATCATGGGAATATCATGGGAATATCATGTGAATATCATGTGAATATCATGGGAATATCATGGGGATATCATGTGATATTTGGAGTTTGGCCTTTTGTTTCTTTGGCAATTGATGCATAGGAGTTTGGAGTGAATCTTTGCGAATGGTAGCCAATGGGTTAAAAGATGCTGAATGGGTGTGCTTGAAAAGAATGCAAGCCCCCAAAATGGCTACTAGAAAATATGATGATTAACTGATTCAACACCGTATTCAGGTTTTATACCCTCTGGTATATAGTTGACAAAAGTATGGAACATCACCATTTTTGATATGTGCAATCTAGAACTGGGCCGTGCCTTCTTTTGCAAAGTTTTGCAACCTGTTAGTCTTTACCAGAGGGTGCCCCTTTTTGGCACGAAGCCTCCACTTGGGTCTGAGGGATCCCTTTCCTATTGAGGTGGTGAGGAGATGTGACAGTGCGAGCTCAACATCAAAAAAATGTGCTACTTTTCTGGTTTAACCTCTTGAAGAGCGCCATATCCATGCCTCAAACTTGACGACCTGCCAGGGTTTCCTTGGTCCCAGATCAATTTGAGAACCCAGATTCAGACTGAAAGGGCAAACCTCCTCCGCAATGTCAATGTATTTTTGTTCAACCCGAAAGGCTAATCACAAAGACTACAGCCCCAGACCAGCTGCAGCTAGAGGCCTATGGCCTCAAGGGAGGGGACTTTGAGTTCCCCACCAAGCACTTCTTCTTTGCTGGCAAGGACTTTCAGCCACTTGAACTTGAAAAAGACATGTGATGGGTTTTTAATCCCTTGGTCTCTGTCGGTGACATTGATCAGTGGGACATATACCGTTGGTACGGATGGAGTTTCATGTGCTGCCGTAGTTCAGAAGTTGGTAAGCACGTCCTATGTTGTTCATTTCTTTTAATTTGTTCTTGTTGGTTGTTGGTTGTTAAAGGCATCACCTGTCTCGATTTGTGTGGCGATTCCCCTAATGAGCCAGGGTGACCTTCCACCAGTCATGGGACAGCCCTCACCACCCCCTGGGGATCCCTGGGGCCCTGGCGTTCCAGCTACAGGTTCTCTGCTTTGACGGCACCCACACCGGAGGCGCAGTCGTCTTGATGTGGCGCAGTCGGCGGTCAGTTCACCCGGTCAGTTCACCCTGGCAGGTTCTCTAAGGGGGTTGCATTTTGGTAGCACATAGCACTATTTTGGGGGGACACCCCAACTCGTTTAACTGAGATGGAGTAATATGTGGAGAGGTATGGATAGGTCAAGTTACCTGTTCTTTTCCATGTTTTTTAGGGGTATAACATCCTTAAATCATCCATAGATCCAGCAATTTTTTGAGGGTAGCCACCAGGAAGCGGTGCGTTTGGTGGAGCTCTGTGGTGAAAAGCCTCTCACCGGTGTGGCCAGTTTCTTGGCAGCTTTGTGACCCTGAACAAACAGGCTTTTTCATTGAATCCACCAGGAAAAATATGGATTTTATGCTGATTTTGTTCTGTTGTTTTCAGTTGGATTCCAAGATATTGCTAATCTATATATATATATTATATATATATATATGTAATTATGTATATATATATTATCATAATGTATATATGTATATATATTATATGATATATATTTCATTATATATGTTATATATATATATTTTATGTCATATATTATATATTATTTATTACATATTGCATATTATATATTACATATTATATATTACATATCATATATTACACATTATATATTACATATCATATATTACACATTACATATTGTATATTATATACTATATATTACATATTATATATCATATATTATATGTTATATGTTATATGTTATATATCATATGTTATATGTTATATATTATATGTTATATATTATATATTATATGTTATATATTATGTATTATATATTATATATATTATGTATTGTATGTTATATATTATGCATCATATATATATATTATATATATATTATATATATATTATATATATTATATATATTATATATATTATATATATTATATATTATATATATTATATATTATATATATTATATATGTATAGATATATACACTTTTTTCCTAAGTTGGATTAGAATCATCAACAAATAGGCATCTGAGCATATTTGAACATTCAAGAAGTGGGGAATTTACCTCGCAACAAGCAGATTTTGAAACTCAAACGCAAGCACATGATATACGTACAACAAAGGAACCAAACTTGAATCACTTCAGAACCATTTGGATACACATGCAGGTTTTGGATTGAGCTTGCTCGTAGAACAATGAAATGATGATTGGACCGATCTTGATCCAAGTGCACACATGTGCACACCAGGTTCAATGATGTATCGCCCAAACAGAACTGCAATAAACTGCCATAGAACCGCCCAGACACGGAGGTTGCGGTCAAAAATTGTGGTTTCAAAGAGGTGTCATCCCTTCTTGGAATCATGGTCTCCAACCGACTTCTTGACTAATGGGATTGAAGCAGAATCGACCCAAATTTCAGTAGATTGAAGTTTTAGTTCCAGGTCAAGCCGTTTTTTTCCTAAGTTTTTGGCAGCCAAAGACTTGAGTCATGCCAGAAATTTCAAGCGGGAGTATCCGGATCAGAGGAGTAGATGTATGTGTACATGTATACGTATATATATATATATGTAGAGATACACATAGGGATGGAATATAAATTACAACGACCTCACCGCGACGTCACTGGAATGATGGCTAACGGGACAACTATCCCCTTAAATGGCAAAACTTTTTCATTTTCAGTGGTGAATTATTACGACTTATCCAGACATGTGTATATCGGGTTTGCGGTTTCATTTTTTTCCTCCAAATTTTCATCCCTATTTGGGAGGACGATTCCAGCTGACGATTTTGGTTTTCGGGTTGAAACCACCAGCCCGACACTTTTTTGTTTGTACAAGTCTATACATATGGCTATGGATCAATACCTATACATACCATTTTGAGTGGGTTATTCACATCCATAAATCCCAGCTATTTTGATGTGAACTTAGCAGGGGTACTATTGGTGGTTTTGACCCATCTGTGACAAATCCAAAAGAATCCAACGGTTAAAAATGTCGCCCTTGGGTAATTTTCCCCCCTTCGAATGACCAGAGAAAACACAGCAGTTAGCAAAACAACAGGCCCCCACTGTTACCGAGTATTGGTTTGATTGATTTTGATTGATTTTGTTGAGTAATATTGATATTTTATCAGCCAACCACCGGCTGAAAGTTCCTTGCTTTTCTGTATAGTTGCAAGTCAGCACGAAGATCGAACTTCAACAGCTTTTGTTGAGTAATATTGACATTTTTCTAGTACCCTCTGGTAAACTAACATAGCTATTGAAAACTGCCATTTATAGTGGATTTACCCATATAAAATGGTGATTTTCCATAGTTATGTTAGTTTACCAGAGGGTATGTGATAGTGATATTCACTGAAAAAACGGATCCGAAGACGATCCGATCTTCACTTCAGGCACTGCCTTGGAAGTTGCTACTGAAGAGGCCGTACTTGCTGTTGCTGGGATTTTTTGATGGGATTTTATCATGGTAAATCCCATCTGAGATTGGGATATCATGGATGTGATCTGTTTTTTTCATGATTTTTATGGCAATTTGATGCAATTTGGTTGATATTTGATATATAGATTGTAGTAGATTTACATATCAATGGGGATATCATGGGATTTAAAAGCAGCTAGAATCGAAAGTTGGAGTAGATTCATCCACAACGCAGGGGATGGTCATACCACCATTAATAAGGGAATTATAATGGCCATCCCCAGGATTCCCAATATACGTGGGATGAAGTGAACTCATACAATTACAATGTTTTGACCATGGCACATCTGAAGGTTAGGTGATGGTAGTTGGCCAAATGTTTTCTTTTGAATCGACATTTGTTACGGGTTGACAAGAACCATTTTCACGTATGAGTTCTCATGATTTCCGAAGCAATCGCCCAGGAATATGTACTGTAGGACTGTAGGATGTTGAACAATATGTTGATACCCTATGATGGGTATTTAACATAGCTATGGAAAATGACCATGTTTACAGTAATAGGTAACTCATCATACATCATCTATGAACGGTCCATTTTCCATGGCTCTGTTAAATAACCAGAGGGTAGTAGTTTAAGTTGTTAATAACCTATCTATTAGGTGAGTAGCCTGGCTGTTCTTCCACTCAATTGACATTCGGGCAGTTCTCTCTGCATTGTATATAATTGATGGCCAAGATTATTCAATATTCAGATTAAGCATCCTCAAATTTCGAACATGAGTGGTATGCCATAAACCCTGTTTGGGGATATGTTTAGTTTCTTTCATAGCGCCCCACAATGGCACAATTGGGGATGGCTTACTACTGGATTTGCCACAGAGTCTAATCTCGAGAGTCTTGATTTACCCAGTAAATTCACATAGTTATGGAACACCACCCTCATTTTTCATAGGTAAATGATCTATAAAAGGGCTGCCGCCCCTGCCGACCCTGGAAAACACCGGGAAACAAACTAGCAAAAGGAACCCCGCCAAGTCTCCAACGTCCCTTCTGGGTTTTTAGCTTTTTCCGCTTTCTGCAACATTTTGTAGCCAACAAGCCCGCCAAGCAGAAATGATATGCCTTTGTGACACTTGTGAAACGGCAAAACACCACCCTAATTTCGTGCCCAAAACATAGCAAAAGGAACCACAAAAAGTGCCTAACGTCCCTTCTGTAAAATCTAGACATGTTAGCTTTGCCACCTTTCTGCGTCTCGTCTGAATCCCTTCCAAAAGAGTTGGAAACGACGTTGCCAGCACGGCTGCAAGAAACACGCCGAAAAGCAGACAAGGCAGCCCAGAAGCAAAACACGGCTCCCGCAAGTAGTAGCCGTAGCAGTAGCACGAGCGGCTGTCGACATTGTAGTAGAGGACGGAGACATACGGAGACTTTCTGGTGGAGATAGCAGTTGTGCAGCCTCTCTTTTTCCCTTACGCGCTCACCCTTTCTGTCGGCCGGGGTCGGCGGATTTTCATGGGCCATGAACAATCCATATCTTTTACCATACCCTCTGGTAATTTAACATAGCTATTGAAAATGACCATAGAAATAGTGGATTTTCCCATTAAAAATGGTGATTTTCCATAGTTATGTTAGTTTACCGGAGGGTGTTCTATTTTTTTTTTAAAACCATAGCTACCTCAAGGATTCGATATAAATGTTCCATCGAAATCCACCTAGAGAAGGGGCCAGGAGATCACTTCAGTTGTCACGGTGAAGCGAACCAGTGACGCAGACATAGAATGATATAGGATATCAAAGGATATGATTTACAGATTTACAATGATTTACACATATCTCTACTAGCTATCATTTTCTTCATATATGCAACCATATATATATATACAAATATACACACACACATATATATATATATTTATACAGTCATACATTATTTATACATTATATACATATGTAATGTATATATATATGTTTCTATAATATATATATATAAACATACAAATACATGTGTACACTTGCTGTGAAGAACTGGGGGCTGTTTGTTTTCCCCCTGGCTTTCAGGAGCCGGCGGATCCACCTGATGAGCGCCATTCTCGGGTAGCGTATGGTGGTGAAAGGAGGATTTCACCAACAAATTCTTGTTGGATTTAGCAAAACTGGGGATTTTTCACAGATTTTCACAATCAACATTGGGATTTATAGATGATATTTTAGATGTATTTCCCATATGATGAAACAACCATCAAGGAATTGGGCGCCTGTTCGGTCCGACAATGTGTCTGCCATAGATGGGGAGATATCGGTTTATCGACGATTGGCAATGTTTCGTGTTGGCTCTCCAATCTAAATCTTGGTAAATTGCAGGTTCATGGATTGTGTTGTCATGTCATGTGTTTGCCGCAAATGGATTTGATATATGTCTATGTATATATATATGGCTATCTATGTAATATATATAAACATATGTATATATATATATATGTATATATGTATATATATATATGCATATATGTATATGTGTATATATATATATATACATGAAGGAATGCTTAATTACACGTATTGTGGAGTACCTCAGGCTAGCCTGCAGTGCAATCGCGACAAGTACCACAAGTAGCTGGCCATTGATGTTGACCCATCTACCTTGACAAGGTTACCCCAATAGCTGGATGGTTTATATTGGACAATCCATCTATAGAATGACTGACAACTGGGTGTACCCCTATGGATTGGAATCCCCCATATGAATGTATATGATATGATGGGTTGCCATACTTCCATGCAGTCAGAGTTCAGAGATCACTATTGAGAATTGTTGTGTTTTTTCTATAGTATAGACATTTATGAGACACATTGCTTTTCCGAAAACTCACATGGAACCTTGCTAGGTTCCCACATCCGACAAGAACCACTCCCCTGCTCAACCTTCTTCATGGTAAAACCGTAGAACCATTCCGCTGAGGCCTGTGCCGGAAGGACCAAAGAAGCTGACGGAGGCGCTGGTGATGTTTGTTGCGGATCTGGGCCCTCATTTGGAGTTGTCCACTCATCGGATATGGATTTGTCCAAAGAAACGGATTTTACAACCAATTTATACCGAATCTTAGTGACGAATAAAGACAAACCAGTGATTCTATGGGTGCATATACCTTACATGCATCATTTTTGCAGAAACTGTTCATGAAGATTTTGTCTTCGCTTTTGGAAATTTCGGGCTTTGCAACTGATGATTCAGAGGATTTCCCCATTGATAAACAATGGCGGTGGATGTTTCAGGATGGCCCTCCACTTCAATGGCGTTATTCATATAGCAAATGACATCTACAACCCTTATTTCAAAACAATGACACGATTTTTTGGTACTTACATACCACATCTGTATGACATTACATGGGTAGTTACCCTCTGGTAAACTAACATAGCTATGGAAAAACACCATTTTCAATGGGTAAATCTACTATAAATGGCCATTTTTAATAGCTATGTTAGTTTACCAGATCTTGATTCAATTGATTCCCAGAATTTTCCATACTTTCCCCATGGACTTTTCAGGTCGATCGTCTGGCTCAACTGGTGCTGGAAATCGATTTCGACACCTCCTGTGTTCCTCGAGGCCCGAAGCGCAAAGCTGGGGGATCCAGACCGTAGTTACCCTGCGAATTCGCATAGATTCGATGTGCGAAACTCATCATTTGTAGATGATGCTCCTCGGGAAATCATGGCTTTTCCATATCTGTGTAAATGTTTATCCCAAACATGTTTATCCCAAAATATATTCATGACTCGACTGCACCCCCCGACCGTAGGGGAAACATCGAAATTTTGATGTGGAAAAGCCATGAAGCTTTTCCCACAAAATGATCCACATTCATGGTGGCTTTTCCACATCTTTCCATGTAGAAACAGGAGGGTCTTTCCAAAAAGTTGGATGTAATCACTGACTATGTGCCATATGATTATGGCACAATTTAATGCACAAAAAGAAAACCAGTCCTGGTGCTAACTCTTTGTAAAAACATGTGGTATGATCCAGCCCTGGGTTGTTTTGTAGTATGAAGCAACCGCAAAACGATGGGAAAAGTCATATCCGACTAAGAAAATCTTGTTGGGATTTCAATTATATATCTATATTGTTTTCAACCTTACAAAAAGGATGAAGGCGTTGACATGACTATTTGCGATATTTTTAAGGGAGATGACCAACGGTTGAATCAACAGTTGGATTAACCATTTTGCTTGGAGGATGGGAACAATCAATCCATAGGGTTTCGACAAATGTACCCGACCTGGTAATTTGTTACATAACTATGGAAAATCACCATAGAAATAGTGAATTTGCCCATTAACAAAATGTTTTTTTTTTTTCATAGTTATGTAAACGTTTACCAGAGGGTACCAATAAGGATTCTCATTTTGCAATGGATGACCATAAGCCATATCCATTTTTGCGATGTTCTGACCATGTCACATACGATATGTATACTATGTGGATTATGTGGATTTATTTATTCTATTGTTACAGTATTATTATTACTATTATCTTGGGAGACCATGGGATAATGTATAACCAACATTAACCAACCATTTGGAATGGGATTACGCACATTGCCATACAATATATACATGTTGATATGTCATGTTTTTTTTATTGCACCAAGAATATCCAATTTGGGTCTGAAAATATGTCGATTATGATAAAACCTGAAATTTATATAATTAGTGGTATTGTGCCATATAATTTGTGTCATTAGTGTCATTGTTAATTTGATAAAACCTGATGACAGCCCCACTATTCTAGTGTCAGTCACATAGTTCCGTTTACGTTAAGTTCGTACTTTGACAAATGCCAATTTGACCCTGAACTGTTGGGAAGCGAATCTTTAGCCTGGTCATCAGCTGACCCGTTTGAGAAGAGCCCAAGATGTTCAACCTGCACTGAGAAGGGTAGCTGGCAATCGGCATCGATATTAATATGATCTTAGTCTGTGGCATCCATCGAAATACCAAACGAGTAGTGACCTCCAGTTGTTCGACGCGGATGTCGATATGAGTGGTGATATGAGTGGTTCAAAATTGAAGAACCGGGGATCCCACAATTTTTGGACATGTCACTCTTAGGATACCTACCATCTGGTTATGTAACATAGCCATGGAAAATCACAATTTTTAATAGGTAAACCATCTATAAATGGGCCATTTTCCATGGCTATGTTAAATAAGCAGAGGGTAATTTTGATCGGCTATCTGGACCTAATTGGAGGGTTCTATACTGAACATGTCCAATGAGTTGTGATTTATACTGAGATAGTTTCACTCGCTTTGAGGTCATGAGCGCGACAGCAAAGTTCTTACCCTCACACGGAAGTTGCCACAGTGATGCTACACTACAGCCAGCCTATTATTTAGGTTTCATGGTATTTTCACCTTGAAATCCACCGTCAACATCCATAAGCGCCAACAAAAAGTGTCTCTCAAAATATGGAAAACCGATGGAAAAACTGAGTTTCCCAATGGAGATTTAGCATGATTTAGCTATGTTACTACAACCAGCCTATTATTTAGGTGTCTTTTTTTTTTTTTTGTCATTTCACCCTGTCACTTTCCCGGCTTTCTCCATGCGGCTAGGCGCTTTCTGCCTGGATGCGGACCACGCCATCGTGGCATCCAAGGACTTCAAAGGCCGGGCCGGGCTGTTGGCATCGATGCACCATGAGGAGCCAACAAAATCATGCCATGGATACCCTCCAGTAAATTAACATAGACCCTGAAAATCACCTATTTTTAGTGGAAACTAGTCTTCCAACCCCGATGACTGCCAGGGTCTATGTTAATTTACCAGAGGGTAATCCATATTAGCTGGTTGGTAATAGATAGTTGATTAGCTGGTTGGTATTATTTTTAGCTGGTTGGTAATATTAGATAGTGGATTATGGATTATCAACCATGCAATAAGTGTTTACTAATAGTAGCTATGGATAATATTGCCATCTTTTAATGGGCAAATCAACTATAAATGGCTATGTGAAAAATAGCATTGTTGTATGTTTACCAGAGGGTAACCAACCACTTTTTATTTGCTGTTTAATCACATACTGTGGATGGTTGCGAAATCCTGCACCACCTTGGATGGTTGAAACCCTATAAAGAATGGGATGTTTACCATCTATCAATAATGACTACTGTACCTATTTGGAGGTTTCCTAAGTCATGGGGGTACCACCAGTTATCATCTATTTTTGTTTGGGATTTTCCACAAACCATCCAGCTATTGGGGATCCCCCATCTTAGGAGACCGCCAGATGTGGGGTGGGGTGGGCTAATAATGTTCAAGTGCATTTGCCCACATACTAGATGCTACGCTACTTGAAGTTCACTATGCCTGCAAATACACAGGCAAAAATCATTTCGGAACCAATGTCCGCGGCCCGACAGGAAAACAAGTCAGAAAATGCTCTTGCTGAGATAATATCAAAACGACTGGAGGGTTTCTACGCTCGTGCAACCTAAAATGGGAATACTGTGATATAACGAGTATCTAATTAACTAATGATGATCTGGCTGGTGGTTCAACTTATTCGTTTTTGTAAAAGGGGGTTGGAACCACCAACCAGTTATGATGGGCCATGATAGAGTTTCAAGAGCATATTATCATGGCTTCTGGATACTTGTGGATGCCCGTGGATGCTTATGATGACTCATGATGGATACCTATGGATACTGATGATGGATGCTTATGGATGCCTATCATTTCCATGGTAATTGAGCCAATGAAACGGGGTAGGTTTTGTTTCTGGAACACTGTTTTGGGAGTAGCAACTGCGATGAATTGGAATTTATCCAAGAAAAACACACAGTATAATATAAGTACAGTAACATGAATAAGGTACAACCATGGGATACTTATTTGGCTCCTGTTTCCAATTCTTTAAAGCTTTGGTATTTTCTCTGCCTCAAAACGGGATCATGATTATGGATGGGTGGCTCAACATCCCACTTGGCTTGATTACCCTCTGGTAATTTAACATAGCTATTGAAAATGGCCATTTATAGTGAGTTTTCCCATTAAAAATGGTGGATCTTTCCATAGTTATGTTAAATTACCAGAGGGTATATCAGAATATCTGATAATATATCATAATTAATCGATAAATATCCATAGTATGATAGTATCAAATATATAATGAACCCACAATATGATAGTATATTATTAACCCATGTTTAACCCAAAATGCTGGGATGCTATGTCCTAAATATGTCACACTCTATATCATAATTAAGCATAATTCACACATATCAAGCCATTTTTAGCTAATATTAACTCATATCAAGCCATATCAAGCCATAATAACTCATATCAAGCCATATTAAGCCATATTAAGCCATATTAAGCCTATTAAGCCATATTAAGCCATATGAACCCATTATGGTCCCAGTCATATCTCAACAACCCCAGTCCAACAACCCAGGCCTGGGCTCTGACGCACTGGCCCTGACCAGTTACGTGCACTTCCGAGCTCCGGTGAGTGCGGAGCCCGGAACGAGGAATTTCTGTGATATCATAGTGATTCTCAAATGAATGGCATATTAATGGGATATATATATATTATAATATATATAATATATATTAATATATATAATATATATATATATAATATACATAATATATAGTATATAATATAAAATATATGATATATATAACATATAATATATAATATATATATATATATAATGTATATAACATAATATTATATATATATATGATATATATCCAGTCCATCATTCAGGTATAATGGTGACAAAAAGGGGACTATCAAAAATGGGAGACTGATGGACTATTGGTGATTCTCTCTGGTAATGACTAACAGTGAGCTATGGAGAATCGCCACTTTTCACGGGTGATTGTGGTTAAATCATCTGTAAATGAAAAAAAGGGCCATTTTCGATAGCTATCTCAGACTACCGGAGGGTTTTCCCAACTGGTTTAAAGGGTGAGTGAAGTGCCCAAAAATAGGATCTTCAGCCACTAAACTTGCATTATTTGTGCCCAATACTGCCAATACTGGACTATGAATGTAGGTAAATTATGGTACATTGCAAGTTTAAACACCAAACTTGGGGATTTTCGCTTGAACAAATGGGGATTTGACCAATAGCTTGTAGACATCTATAGCTATGTTTCCTGAGCTATCCACCTTTTACAGCTACCAGTATAGCATTCCGAAAAGCCACTACGTCACTACGATACCATTAAAGATATATCTAAGTGTCTTGAATCGGTTGCATTCACCATTCACACCATTCAGCCAAAGATGGCTTATCCAAACGCAACAAGCCATGCTATATATCATTACTATACCATTGCTACACCCGTGCCATATTGCTTTTCTATTATTATACCATGTGGACCCCCCCCAGTTATTATCTGGTTTATAGGCCCCATTGACTATACGTAGTTCTCTACCATAAACATCCATAGACCATATATAATTAACCTATAGTTATACCATTCCTATACCATTCCTATACCATAAAAAATGGTGAACTGCTGCGACATTTGTTCGCAAGCCGAGGCATTGCCGCCCTCCGCAGCCTAGCACGAAAGGATGCACAGGTGCGACGAGCCGCGGAGTGCCCGGGTGCCCCCAAGGCTGAATAGTAAGGTGTGTCTATGAATGATGGTTAATAAGGGGAATCATCCCAAAATGACCTTATTTCAGGTTAGTGAATAGTTGTAATTTGCCCAGATTAACGGATATTAATAGATTGTGGTCACGATTATTCATGAATGATAGTGGTTAATAGGCATGACTCATTAATAGATATTAATAGATGAATGATGGTGAATACTATATAAATTATACCAAATTGTCTATGGTTAATGATTAATAATGGTGAACATCTACGTATAATTAATATCAATAATGTCCACTACATATATCTGTGAATAGTGGTGAATAGGTAATCTCTTTCCGCGTTCATCTCTAGGGTCATTTCATCTCCTACTTTTTACTATGGTTTCTGGGTGGAGTTTAAAGGCTGAACGGGGAAAGCGATCTTTCCACGTTCTAACTTGGGTCATAACTCATGTCAAGATCTCAGATTTGCCGGGACAGTTGGATGATGATGATGATGATGATGATCCAATTTTCCTGATGTTGAACTATACCAACATATGTCGCGATCCCTTGCTTTTCCCGAAACGAAAAACGGAGAGATCTTGCAAAAACAGTGTGACCATGTGCCTTCGCCGATGAGAAACAAACAACTTCAGGACTTCAAGCAGTTCTTTGTGCCACGTCCATGTGGGTTCCAAAATGATTGGAGGCCCCTCAACCAGGTACTTTGTTCTGGTGTCCCCATTCAAGACTACATGTCGTACTTAGATTGTTTTGGTGGGGTGCATATTAGGCACTCAACATCCTAGCAATTTTTATGGTTCATTGCAAACAATGCCAAAGGTCTACGCATATATCCAAGTTATAAGCCATAAAGCATCTATAGATCATCTATAAATCATCTATAGATCATCTATAAATCATCTATAGATCATTTATAAATCATCTATACTGTAGATCATCTATAGATCATCTATAATCTATCTATCAGTCTCAAGGATCTCAATCTGTTTTCCCCAAGAAATCTCCGATTTTCAGCTCGTTGTGATCGTGGCTGACCAGGTCCACGGACCCCACATCCTGGATGGCTTAGATAGCGATCAGCCAAAGGGCTGCTGGGCCCTTCGGAAGGAGCTGGGGCCCGGGGATCTCGGTGTCATCCGAGTATGAGACGTGGTGAAGATGAACACGTTGTACATAACATTCTCGTTTTTTTGTTTTGAAGAAGTAGTAGTGTCGGAATGTTTAGTCTATTATACATATGTAACATTGTATTAAACTAACATTGTATTAAACATGTAGAATTCAGTCTAATGCATATATATATATATATGTATATATGTATACATATGTGTATACAGATACACGTATACGATCAGTATGTGCATATATATATATATATACAGTAATATAACGCAAACACACACACACACATATATATATATATATATGCAGACACACATATACAATCAATCAGTATATATGCGTAAATGGTGTTACAAGATTTTACCACCACCCATGTGGTTGAAAGCAAGGAGGAATTAACTGTGTACCCCCATCATTGCTGGGAATCCACAACGAAACCAGCTGCGGGCAGCATTCAGCTGGGGTCTCCGCTACGAAACACTCATGTGGATCATATAGACATGGATGGAAACATATCGAACCCAAAGAAGCTCATCTAAATGGGTTGACATTTACCATCCTAACATAATGGATAATTACTAAATATTAATAACATTACTAAACTCGCTCAGGCTATTCTCTGCATACTTGCCCTCGGCATGATGAACTCTGTGGCTGTTTCTGTCTAACCCACCTCCATGTGACAGTTTTGATAGATCCTTTGACCCGCTATCTCTTTTTGGTCTGATCTAATAAACACATACATAGTAAGTTTGTATCTAATACTAAATAGAATAATTGATAGTCAAACAGACTCAGTAACACACTAGACTAGACAGGAAATAGAAATATGATAGATACTCTGATACAGATTGTAACCTTTCTATTTTCTGCCTAGCCTAGTGTGGTACTGTAATCTGATCCAGTCCGTCCTACAGAGTTTAACACATCCATTATAATATATACATATACATACATACACGAGTACACGCATGCATGTGTATAATATGTATACATATGTGGGTATGGATGAAACAAAACGGCATGCGTCTTTCATTTATGATCCATACGCATGTATGTATATATATATAATATCCATAGATCGCATATAAATATATTTAATTGGTGGATATATATATATATACATATACATATATATACATATATATACACATATATACATATATATATACATATATATACATATATATATACATATATATACATATATACATATATATATATATACATATATATATTTCTTTGAATATGATTATGCAATCATCCATTGGTGGATAATATATACCCATACATATTCGCAATGTTATTCCGCAAAGAAATATCTGCATCCTCTCCAGCAATCTTTGGTTTGTCTGTGTCAGGATCCCACCGCCAGTTTGGTGACTTTAAGATCTTTGAGTTGGCCCGGATACATCGCCTTCCATGTCGCAAGCCCTGGATGCGAAGTGGAAGTGGCTAGGATTGCCATCGACATTAGGGAACCATTTTTGGGGATTGGTGACCTTATCGAAATTGAGGATTTTTTTGGGGGTTTAATATGGTTTACCCTCCAGTAAATTAACATAGACCCTGCCAGTCATCGGGGTTGGAAGGCTAGTTTCCCCTATAAATTGGTCATTTTCAGGGTCTATTTCTGTTAATTTACCAGAGGCTAAATCCTATTAAGTCCCATTAGATCCCATTAAACCACCATAAATCATACTATATCATTTACCAGAGGCTAATGGGCTTTTAAACATCTCCATGGTTTTTCATTGAGGATCCAATGGGATGCCATTGGGTCCATTTGGCTATTTTTTGGGGCAGGGTAAAACATTGAGGCGCCTGAAACCAACAAGTTTGGTGGCATCTATTTCGGATATGCGCAGAAGGACTTGTCCTTGTCCCTTGGCTGCGGATGGTCGGGGTGGGGTGAGGATCTGGGCCTCCGCAGCGGGGTAGCGGTTCCGCAACCATCATAGACATGGGCAATAGAGTAGGTAATAACAATAAGAAGTGACACTAATGATGAAAAACACGAACAATGGCTATGAATATCTATAATATCTAAAATTACCTACATATTATATATCTATAATTATATATAATTGATAGTCTGCAACAGCTGAAATTGGAGGGCATTCTACTCCATGGCCACAACGACCTCAGGCCCTTTGTGCTTTGAGACACAAAAAGCAGCGGCTCAGCTCAGCGTTCGTGGCCAGGCAGCCGTTTCACCCATTCTGTTTGGGATTCCCATGGCTTGTTGGACGGCCACCGATACAAAGACCAACATAGAGCTGCCATGGAGCCGTTTTTTATGCCCAATGTAGTTGAAACTGATGGTTCCCGGTCGCTGAACTATATATGTAACTGCAACTGATTGTTGACAACAAATTAATCAATTCACATGTGCCTATGATATGTATTGGTATGATTCAATATGTATAATTGATGGAACAAAAACGAACCATTGGTAACCAAGTGGATAATTCAAATACACAAACCGCTGTCCAAGTTTCACCGTTTCCTTCCGTGAACCCTCCCACGTGGAGAACCTCTCCCAAGGGTTCGCTTGTCTCTGTGAAACCTCTTGAATTGAGAAGTACTGCGCATGGAAAAGATCCACTGGCGATACCCCCCCTAAGTTCAGCATGGAACCCAGGTTCAATAGTGTCCTCTGATTATTTAACATAGCTATGGAAAACGGCCCATTTATAGATGATTTATAGATATTTATAGATTTGCTACAAAACAAGGTGATTTTCCAGTTCGCTATGTTAAATAACCAGAGTGTCTGGAAGACGATCTTTGCCAACCAAATATTATGCGCAAGACCTCACAATAGCTGACCAATCCCCATAAATGATGGTGAGTAAGAAGATGTCAGGAGAACATTCCCCCAAAATCGGCGAATTGTTGGGTGGTTCAATGAATTGTTGATTATCATTCGCCAATTCATTCGCCCAGACATGTGGGGCTGGAAGAAATAATCTCTTGGGAGCGCCGCAGGATGTTTCAAGATGTCTGGTCTTTATGTTTGGTGTTTGTTTAGGAAGATTCTGATTTCAGATGCTCCCATTACAACACTTACTGACACGGGTTTCGGTTTCAGTTGTTTGTCCTTTTCCTGATGACAGGGATCTCGAATGGTTTTGATTTGTGTGGTAACTCAACAAATCACACCGCATTCTGATGGGTGAATAGTGAAAAACATCTCAAAAAGTGAAAACTATAGGTGACACGTATCAGGATCTGTTCAATCTGCGCTTTTTGCCAATCAATTTTTAAGAATACAGTGACCGCTATTGCCCAAAGATTTGCCAAGCCACGTTGGAAGCCACAGATGAGATGTGTCCATTCTTGACTGCCCTTGTAATCACTAGGTAAAGAAATCAGCATGGGATAGCAATATATGGAGGTTTCCTAAAATAGGGGTACCCCTAAATCATCCATTTTGGGGTACCCCCCCCATTTTAGGAAACCTCCATGTAGACCCAATACAGGTCAAGAAGAACACACCATGCCATGGCTCGCTGTTGTTTTTGTCCCGATAGTTTTCTGATTTTTTTGGCACCCACTCTGAACATGGGAAGAGTTGGAAGGTGGCATTTCACTCCCACCAAGATTGGTGAGTTTCTGGATGGGTTGCAACTTTCCAAGCATTTAATGGAACAGTCTTCGCCTCTCTTCCCTTCTGGGCTGCAGCTTCCAACTGGCCCCAGCCTGGGGTATTGCGCGATGGGCGCGCGATGGGCCACCACCCAGGCTGAATACATATTGTCATGGGCAAAAATTGGGTCAAAAGCTAAGACCTGCTTGGAAACACAATTTGACTGGCCCTGTTGGGTAGCAACTACTGTATCTCATTTTTGACCAATGCCATCTTGTTGATTACGTTACCATCGGGGCACATGAAAAGGAAGTGTTAAAAAATAGATGTTGGCTAGATGTCCCACAAGAACCAGACGATGTTTCAAAACGTCGAACGGTCGAATGAACAACGCACGTTGAAGCTATGTTCAGAAAAAACTTATATCCCATCCTCAGGCCCCTAGATATCTTTAGCAAAACTTTTTCAGCCATCCCCCCTCCCCAAAATTCAGCAAACTTGGAATTAACTCCAGCTGAATCTTCCCAGCACGATGTGTTGCTTGGAGCCATGACGACCTCACCTTCAGAGTCTGGTGCCATCGCACCACAGCCTCGTTTGTCCGAAGGTGTGGATTTTTTCTGGGACATCCATGATGACTTGGTAGCCGATTGTAGCCATCAAATGGATTAAAATGGGGAAATATCCATGGTTTCTTTGGAAACAATCCACATTTCTGGTGGATGTCATGCAAGTTTACTGGGGGGTATATCATGGTATATCTGATTTTGTCTGAACATAAGTACCCCAAAAACCCATGGTTCTCGAAAAAAAACCTGGACCATGGATGGCTGAACCTGGACATATGTTTGAATCTGTTGGAAGTCGATGATTTCGCAATCCCACAGTACTAGCCCTCTGTGAAAATTGGGCCCAAAAATGGATACATCATGATACATCCATTCCTAAACCAGTGCGTCTAGCCGGGAGTGTTCATTCATACCGGCAGTGGTTTTATGCAATACAGCATACTTACAGGTATGCACATACAGCTATTGTTTTTTTAGATTTCATATGACATGTGATGACAGAAAGACTGCTTTCCATCTACAATATATTTGTTACTTTCTGGGCAATCGACACATTTTTTCTAACTCAGAAGTGCTAAAAACAGATGTAGAGCAAAGGTTGCCCGCAGATACTTGGTGCAGTTTTGAAGCAAGCTGATCCAGATGTACTATCATGTTGTTATTCTATATCCGACCTCTAATTCTATCTCTGTTGCGAAGTTGGCTCAAACATCAAGCAAAATCAGTGGCTAGCAGTTTTCTTTTTTTGGGTGAATATCCAATTGTTGCTGGTTCACGCCAAATTCTCCCCGTTCTTTCAAAACTCTGGTCCAATTCTACCTCCTTTCTATATCCATCTACATTTGGGCCAAAGTCCACTAAATTGGGCTATTGGAGACACTTTTGATCAGAAGCACAGAACTTTAGTTTGCTACTGGGACATACTTGGTCATGGTTGCATTTCATTAAGATTGTAGAGTTTTTTCCATCAACGAATAGTGGGATAGGTACCCCTTGCAATCCACAGGTCGATTGAATCCTCCATGCCAGGTCCGGATGGGGTCCGGATGGCATCCAAAGCTAGGGATGTTTACCCTCAGCAGGGTGGATCTTTCCAGTTCTGTAAACGTTTACCAGGTCGGGTATCGTGGTATCTTTTTTTGGGGTGCAATTTGGTCAAGATAGTTGGAGTTGACCATGTTTCTACTGGTGATGTTGATATATGCATGTATGTGCATATATTAATTATATATATATATCAAAGGGGATAGCATGGGATCTACAACCAACTATCATCAAAGTTGGATTAGATTCGATTAAGCCATAACATGTTGGGGGATGGTCATCAATCCATTTTCAGGTCTATATACACATGATGTTTGGATTCTCATTATAATCATTATCAGATGGAAGGCATTTACGATTTTTTCTGTGAAATATCCATTCGTTGTTCTTGGGATTGGGATGCTTGGAACATGGGAGTTTATGTGGGACATCCATGATTTACAATGAACAATACATACATTTCACTAGGAAAAATATGGAGATATCATTGGCATGGTAATGGAGATAGTTCACCAACACAAAAAAGGTGTGTCTGGGGTATACCCCTCAAATAGCAATCTTTTAAAGGGAACATGATGATAAACCATGGGAACTGCGGGTTACCCATTAGACAAAAACATACACATTGGTATGGCTCAAAATGAAAGACCTGGGGGACAGACTTTAGTCCATGTGTCGTATTAATTAGTATATTAAGAAGTATTAACCATCCAATGATCTAATTTTGGCCCATACCTATATATATATATATGGAGGTTTCCGTAAATGGAGGATCCCCAAAATGGTTGGTTTATAATGGAAAATCCTACTAAAATGGATGATTTAACAGTTTAGGGGTACCTCTATTTCAGGAAACCTTCATATATATATACATACATACATATATATATATAAGAGACTATAAGGATGCCTTATTTTCAACCTATGATATCGAATGACGGAAATGTGGACCCACCGGGTGGAGATGACTGAGCGCAAAATATTGTTTTAACCACGCCCAAGCTGGGTGGTGCCCCAGTTCGTTAGCCAAGTTGGAAAATCCATAGGAAAACTGTAGGAAAATTGGAATTTCATGGGATTTATGGCTGATTTATGATAGCTAAGTTGGTTTGGTCCAATTTCACTATGGTTTTTGTTGGTGATATATCGAACTAGTCAGTGGGATAAGCCATTTATAACTGGGGGCACCACCTAGAAGCTAGGTGAATCATACGAATCCCACCTTGGATTGGTACCCGGTAGCTTGAGCCGTCCGTGAGTACGAAAGTACAAGTGCATAGAAATTTTCCTACCCGCAAACGCCAACCAATCATGTTTCTGAAGATCAATGAAATCATAGAAAGCCAGTTGGCACTTATTTTGCCCAAAAAAAAATGCGACTGTTTTGATTGGTCAGTAGTTTCATCTGCGACTGGTGGATTCCCCATTTCGTGGAGTCAGGATGATGTGAATCCGGAAACCTGGCCGTTTTCCCCACATATAATTATGATTAATATTATCCATATACTGTATGTATATATGTAATATATATAATCATACATATACATGATGTATTCGAATGTTATATTTATATAATACAATACATATATCTATATATATATGATTGTGTATATACATGTCAATGCCGCACCTTACGGCCCATCCCTCCGAAGTTCGCCAATAAAGCGCCCGGACAGGTCCAGAAATTGGAGCAGCAGAGCGATGCGCAGCTTGATACATGCAGGGACACCCGGTGGAGCCTCCAAAGTCCTAGGTTTTACCATGGATGATGGTTAGTTAGGGGGTTAGGGAGTTATACTAGCCTTCATTGGGGCGAATTGTATCTAAATGTCTTTGTACCGATTTAGGAAAGAATTTCGAGGCAGCACCTCAGAGCCAATGCAGACCAAGCGCCAGAGCTACGCTCCTCCAACACAACATCCTTCGACGTGGTTGCTGCCATTTCTCAGCCAAGAACCAAGTGTCAGCAGTGCAACCAGAATATAGATGTCATATTCATACTACAAACAATGTGGATCTAAAGTAATTTATATACAGTAAATCCAGTGATAGCTTTTACTGTGCACATGTCTTGGTCGTATGTAATTATACCCTCTGGTTATTTAACGTAGCCATGGAAAGATCCACCCATTTTTAATAGGTAAACCCAGGTAAACCATCTATTTCGATTAGGGCCATCTATACCATGGCTATGTTAGTCATAACCAGATGGTACAACTATAGATACATGCTATCATTGCCGCACCCATTGTCGAAAAGCGGTTTTTTTTCAGGGCTGTAAGCCTTGGATGGTGCAAGTAAACTAACGTAGCTAACTGGAAAATCCACCCATTTTTTTAATGGGTAAATCCACTATTTCGACTGGGCCATTTTCAATAGCTACGTAACAAATTACCGGAGGGTAAAAGCCGATGCCCAAATAGTGGTTTTGTGACGGTTCTATCTTTTTGCTGGTTATTATATGTTATTATGTCGTAATCTAGATGAGGAAGATTGTGTAGATGCTGGGCATGAATGCCACCACCAAAAAGCATTGCTGTGAGCATTGCTGCGAGTTTTCAGATTTATAGATTTGAGATGCCCATTGCTGAGCAGACCCCGCGCATTTGATGTTAGGATGGTAGAAGTAGTCACAGTCATCCAGTGTTTGACAGACAGAGAATGGGGATTCAATCAACTACAGCTGGGGATTCTGTCAACCTGGGGAGATATTTTATCACGTCTTGCGCTTGCCCATGATTTGATTGTAGAACTACCCTCTGGTGAACTAACATAGCAATGGAAAATGGCTATTTATAGTGGATTTTCCCATCAAAAATGGTGATTTTCCATTGCTATGTTAGTTCACCAGAGGGTATCCATAGTTGATGGTGACAAATGCTCCAATTTCATGATTCCTCATGGTGTTTGCTGACCCGTGGGAATAATGTCCAACTTGAGTAATTTGCAAACAGCGATACACCAAAATAATATGGTTTATCACCATCTTCCCTGTCAACATGTTTTTGGCAAGTTTAGGGGGTATACCTTTTTTTTTGGGCAAAACTAAAAGACGAAGCCCAGATATTGACACCCCTTCTTCCACCATGATACCTCCCAGTTTTTGCTGGGGAAACTAATATATTGTTGGTCATCAAATAGGTTTTTCATGGTTTTTATCATTGCTCCTGTGATGAAAAACATGGGACGTGTCCATCAATTTCTTGACTTTCAGTTTCTCCATGGAAAATTGTGAATTTCCATGGATTCACAGCAATGTATATATTCCTGGTAATGCCTCCATTAAAAACCCTGCGAAACAACCATATCATACATCAACATAAAACCCATAGTACCCTGGTATGGTTGGTTATATACCGTATACCCCACTTTGTGTGTATTTGTGATGCTTAAACCAACCATACTTATACATCTATAATTATAGTATATATATATGTATACCTATATACATATATTATATATATATACATACATATGATATATACCTATATTACAATTCAGCCAGATGATCCGATGAAAATAAATCATGACAAATCCCCACACCCAGCATTTTTTTTTGCCCGGAAAACCCAGGTGGCCGCCTGGTGGCGGTGCTTCAGAAGGCGACGGAGGCGTTGAACAGCTGCGGTGTCGCGCTGCAACGCGAGGTGCGGACATTGTCATCCAGTGGGAGATGAAGCCCATAAAATTGGCGAGTTTTCATGGGAAAAATGGGAAAACATGATGATTGAATATTATGATTGATAAATTTGGATCTTATGCATCTTCCGGAATTTTGGGAAGGATTCATGATTTTTGGATATTCTGATTGGTGAGTTTGTTGAAATTCTATATACTTGAAATAGTAGCTAAAAGGATCTAAAAGGGATGGTTTCATGATCATGGAAGAAACTTATGAAATGTTTGAGTTTGATCAAAAGATGGAACACATGATGAAACTCGGGTATCCAATTCCCTGCTTGGAATTGGAGTTGAAACGGGATGATTTTTATCACAGGGCATCCAAGATCAGGAAAACTCATCTAAAAACGAGATTTTCCCCGTCATTTTTGCATGAGTGGAATGGAAGGCTACAGTGACTGTCAAATACCTTGCGTACAATTACGCCATATATACCCAACTTTATCTATAATATGTTTTGATATTATATATCTACATATGCACTATACACGTGTACATAATCCAGATATGTGCACACATATATACACATGTATCTGTATCTACATACATATACATATGTACTCTACATATATATATATATACACACAGGTAGGATGGATAAGCTGAACCCGAAGACTTTCCAAGGACCGGGTTCCCAAGCAGGTAGCCAGCTCTTTGCCGCCCTTGTCTTCTAGCTTCACCTCAGAACCAGGCAGACGAGTTCGATAGTTCGATGTTGTTTTTTCCCCATCAAACATGAGGATTTACCGAGGATTTTTTGTTTCGGAGATCATGGGGATACTTTTTCGGCGGAAGTGGCGGAAGTGGTGATCCACTTGGGTCACCATGCTGCGCTCAGGGAATGGGCAGTGGCTATATGGCTTTGGCCAACATTGGGGTTTTACCTGGACAAACATAGGCTACACCCAATGCAGCACCCATATGGTTGCAGTTCCGGATTCGATGGCAGAAAATGGGTAGCAACTCTGCCGTGCCTTGCTGTCCTGTGAAGTCTGGAAAAGGACCACTGCAATCTTCTTGCAAGGTGACCCCCAGTTATGTTTGTTGATGTTTGTTGGTTTATACATTGATAAACCAATGGGTAAACTATGGATATATCATGATATATCTACCAGTCTATAGTGAAGTTACTTAATCTGATTGGTGGTTTGGAACATGTTTTTTTTTTTTCCCATCATATTGGGAATGTCATCATAGGGATATATTTCATGTACCATCTGGTTGTTTAACAAAGCCATGGAAAATGGCCCATTTATAAATGGTTTACCTATTAAAAATGGGTGGATCTTTCCATGGCTATGTTAAATAACCAGATGGTATTTTATCCAGATCTATGGTCATTTGATCCCATTAAATATCTCATCAGTACATATCCCCATTAAAATTAATCATTTCACTGTAGATTTTCCAATTCATCACTCCACTGGTCCCTGCCCAGGTGGATCGCATGACTCCGAAGAGCTCAGTAGGTGCGGCAGGTGTACTTACAGTACCCGACCTGGTAAACGTTTACATAACGAACTGGAAAATCACCATGCTATCAATGGGGAAATCCACTATTTCTATGGTCATTTTCAATAGCTATGTAACAAATTACCAGAGGGTACGGTATCTATTGGTTAATCTGATGGTTATCCAAAACGGTTTGTTGGATAGTTGGCCAGTGCCGTTGCTTTCTTTTGCTCCCTTTCGTTGATTGTCACGCCACAGTCAGTGAACAAGACGGACATGCAGGTGTTTTGGAAAATTGGGTATACCCGGTATACCCCGCAATTTATTGGCCATTATGGCAATTTGAAATGCTAAAGTGTGGTTTCAAACCATCAGACCATGGGGTATAACGGTGGGGTTGGGAAAACACCGTTCCGGTGTATCAAACCCATGTAGGGATGCAGCAATGCAGCATCTCGGACTTACGTCAAACAGGGGGAAAGGCCTGAAGGCCCCCCGAGAAACTCGGACGGAACCATGATTATTCTATGTTACTAACCAGTTGTTCCCATGAGTCCTTCTTTACCTTCCAGTCTTGCTGGCTAACCTCCTCCTTCTTTGTTGCTTGACCATTTTATCCCTTGTCGAATGATTCTTAGCCACCACACCTTTTTTTGTCGATTGCTTGCTTGTGAACTCATTTGAGCACTGTTCAAAATCCTTGTTCATGCGTAGTTCTGCTGGGATTATACTAACACAAATGTGAGCATTATATTGAGGGTTGTCATGAATTCATGAGGGAATCCCAGTGGCACAAACCACTGGACCAGGTCCATCCTGGTTGCTTGCGAGAATCTGGGTGCTGTGTTGCTCACCATTGCAGCCGTCTTGACAGGTCCCGGTGGTGCGCCATTTTTTTTTGTGTTTTTCAGAGGATTTGGTGATTTTGGTGGAAGGGGAAGCAGCGGAAGGGGAGAAATCATCAAAATATCTCAAAATCCTGTTTGTGGAAGGGTGTCCCTTGGGAAAAGGTAATTACGTGGCTTATCCCATCAAAAAATGTGCCGTACAACATATGTTTTTCGTGGTCAAAACACGCAATTGCTTTGCCATGAAATGAAGGTGGTCATCCCCTTTTTCTTTTGGAGCCATGTACATTAATGTGGGTGAAGCAATGCCGCAAACCATCCCCCAAATCACCATAGGTGGTATATATAAACCATTCCCAGTCATGGGTAATTTTTGTGACATTGTTTTACCCACATTAATCATCATTACTCATCCATTAATCATCCATTATTAACCATCAATCACCATTAATCACCATTATTCAACATGAACCACCTCTGCTAAACTAACCTAACTATGGAACATCACCATTTTATAGCTGGGTAAATCAACGAACTTTCTATGGGCCATGGAAGCCCCAGTTCCTTTCCGCTTCGCCATGGGATGACCTCATCGCGCTGACGTAGGCGACCTGCTGACGCCTCTGGTGGAGTTGCGTCGTACAGTGCACCAGGCCCGGCCTGGAGTGACCCTGGGATCCGTGGGAGCACGGCCTGGGGTGAAACCATAGGGAAAAACATGGGAAGAACCAACGGCAGATGAGACACTTTTTGGTGAAGAAAAATATGAAACATGGAGGGAACAACTGCAAAAAAAACACCAAAGATGATGGTTGATGGTGATTTAAGCTTGACAAATAGTAATCAAAAGTGGTGATATTCAACGAGATTATCAGGAATATAGGAAGTTGGGGTTGTACATGGGGAGTATGATGGATTCCAATACGCGATTAACCAACCAGTAGCTTTGGGGATAACCGAAGGTGAACGGTTTCCGGTTGTGGGGGTACATTGATGAAAAAGACCCCGGACCTTACCCAACAGAAAGGGAACACAGTATAATATTTATAATATTTATAATATATAAAATATATTAAGATATGATGGTTCAATGCTTGAACTTCCGTTTTTTTGCCGCTAGTCATGTAGTGACCCACTTCAGTCAGCGCTGGGATATGATGGATGTGACGGGATCATGGGATCCAATATACCCAAGCTGGTTATGACTAACATCGCCATGGTTTTTCGATGGCCCTAATCGAAATAGATGGTGAACAACTGGGTTTAGCTAGCTATAAAATGGCTGGATCTTTCCATGGCGAACTGTTAGTCATAACCAGATGGTATATTGGTGATTATTGGTGTTTAAACCAGAAAAAGAAACACAAATTTCGCTGAGCCGTCAGTTGATGTCAGTTGTTCTTTTTGCTAAATTTGTCATGTATCTTCTGAGTTGATATCTTCTTATTGATACTGTATCTCAAAACCAAATAACGTCGTCTTTGTCCCAGCCTGTTTTCGTTGTGTTTTCTCCAGGAGCGACAGGACTTGAAGCAAGAGCTGGAACGCTTGGAGCAGAGGGTGCAGCGGCTCTGGGGAAAGGGGAGCCATTTTTTTTTTTGATTCCTTCCCCCTCTCTACTAGTCTACTGTGCTGCTTTTCTGTTTTTTTTTTGCTTTTTTTTTTTTGCTTCTCTGCTTTTTTGCTTTTCTGTTTTTTTTGTTTCTATGTATTTTTGCTTTTCTGCTTTTTTGTTTCTCTGTTTTCTGTTCTCTGCTTTGTATTTTTTTATGCTTTCGTAGTTTTGTTTTTCGACCTGCTTCCTTGTTGTTCTGCTTGATTACAAGTGCAGCTACAACTACATGAAGAACAGCACCAGCAGCACAAACAACAAGAACATCAAATACAAAGGGAAGAACGAGAACAACAAAGACAATAAAAACAACAGGAACAACAAGAACAACAAGAGAAACAAGAGAAACAAGAACAACTACAACGGCAAAGGAGGAACACAACCGAAGTTGTCTCTGTGTTCCTTGGGGGGGACGCTCTGCGCCCTTGTTTCTGTTTTGGACTAAACCCTACCAGGGCATATGCATGAGCATTGAGCACAATTTAAATATGCTGTCAAGGCTCAAGAGAGATATAGAGATTATAGAGGTGTGTACAATTTGTAGACTAGGCTCTGCACTGACTGGCTATTTGGCTGATAGAGCAGGGGGAATCATCAGAAGTGTGTTTTACACCGGAAGTCAATCATCAAGAGTATGTAGAATTCACGGGCCGCAGGAGAATTTAGGCAACCATAAATGGGGGCCATTTGCCAACAATGCATGGGAATATACATATTATACATGTATATTTGGGTACATCAACTGGTGAAAGGGTAGTCTACTTACTTGCATAACCAGGTGTCCAGCCATGCAGGTGGGAGAATTGGAGATCGGTCAAGTGAAGTCACATTTTCGGATCCCATTGAATGGGGTTGCTCCTACCCCACGATAGAGAGAACCACCACAAAGGAGAAATGCAGATTGTCCAACTCAACCAATCCATTTTGCTGGTGGGTTTCGCAATTTCTGATCTTTGAAACACAATTTTTGCTGTTTAAACATCATTTTTGCTGGTCAACCCGTCATTTTTGCCGGTGAAAGCACACTGTTTGCCGTTGATCACAGCGAACTTTGCGGAGCCAGGAGGTGATGTGCTGCGAAGCCATGGCCGAAAGCATCTCGAGGAAGGAGAAGGTCTCGGGAGAGCTGCAGGAGACCGTCGCCGGTGGCTGGTGATGGCTGGTGATGGTTGGTGATGGCTGGTGGCGAACTGGGCCAACAGGATTTATGGCCAGATTTTTGGGAAATCGATATGGGATTCAGCGGGATGAACTTGGGATGAACTTGGCCAGATTTCATGAGATTTCAGTCAGCAAAATTGGGTTTATGACTCACTTGAATTGGCTTTGATGGTATATCGAACTAGTTGCTGTTCGATGGGTTTTTATGAAGCAACAAACATAACCGGGCCGAGCCTTCCTGTAGATGAAGAGTTTATGTGCTGGATTTGTATTGATTCGTTGGCCAGCTACCTAGACATTGGATTTGTATGGATTTGTATTGATGAGTAGAATTGTCCCACCGCATGTCACTGAATGTATCTATAATTCTAAAGTAGAGTTTGCATGAGTTTGCAGTAGGTCAGTGGGTCTGATTCGCTGGTCATAGATGGCGGAACAGATGAGCTATTCTGCAAACAAGACGTGTTTTTTTCTTTTCTTTTTCTTGCTAACTAAGAGTTTTGCTACGGATATGGCTTCAAACATCACCGAACATATGCGTAAGTATATACCAACACCTGGATATAGACAGCAGATCACAGCAATTACTTCGGAGATATACTGAACTGATAAATGACCAATCAAGAGACAGCAGGTAGGAGTTCAAAGCCATATGGTAGGAGTTCAAAAAGTTTCCCACCTATAAATCCGCATTTTTCGGCCCTGCCATCGAACTGTGAGAGGAGCGTCTCCAGCAGAGCCAAGCGAAGAAGGGCGACCGCAGTCGCATGGTGCGATGGATTCTGAAAAAAAGTTCGAAGGCGCTGGACGTTTTAGGGGAGATTTACCCTCATGGCCATCGAACATACTGTAAGATATTGTATGAAAGTTTGTAAGTGGTCTTAATGGAAACTTATCATTGTTTTTTTTTGCATTTTCCATCATCTTTGACAGACTATATCATTAGGATTCAACCCATGGCCCTCGGTCGGTGACGGGGCACCTTCTTGGAGGTTGACTACCGATATCTACCGATGACTTAAGCAATCAAGATGCTGAAACAGTTGGCTTTTTTCCACGATGCGGATTTTTCTTAGTAAGATTCAATCGTCAAGCATGGTTTGGAAGATGCGGATTGATGTTTAACATGAATTAACCCTCAAAAATGCTCTGGAAGATGCGGATTAAACTTTAACATGATTTACACCTCAATAATGGTACAGCAGGAAGACAAACGCGATTTCACAGCCATCAGCCAGGTGTGGTATGTCGTCCCAGCTATCCAGGGGCCCATCCACGACACCCCGATTCTTTCGTTGGGCTCACTGGTTCAATACCTCTGAATCACCGCGGAAGGATCCGTAGCTCAGCTTGAGCCCCAATATCATGGCCGTGAAAAACAGGGGTTGTATCATGTTATATCCCAACTATTCCCAACTCAAGGGAGTTATTATCAGTATTTATCAGTTATATCATGTTATATCCCAAGTGATATATCCCAACTCAAGTGTTATATCCCAACTCAAGGGGGAAAGGGTTTATAACATTTTATAACCATGGCAACTGCACCGCCGAAGGCCGAAGGCAAACTCCAGGCAGCTGCGCACGCGCAGACGGCGGCAGTGGAAGAGCTGGCTGGGCGATTAGACCAGCGACTGGGCAGAGGGAGTGGTTTGGATCCATATGGAGGTTTCCTGAAATAGGGGTACCCCTAGACCATCCATTTTAATACGATTTTCCCGTGTAAAGCATCAATTTTTGGGGTATCCCCACTTGAGGAACCCCCCATGTTATTAGCGGAGTATGATTGGATGATGATTGGAATAGTGAAAACACGGTAATTTAAGCCTGTAGTCATGGTAACCATCAACAATAGGAACTATAAGAGGGATGTAAGTTGATATAACCATATACAACCCCATTAAGTAGTTCGATATATCTACCATGAACGCTTAAGTGATTGGAGTTATAAACCAACTTAGCTAACTATGGGGCACCACCTGGTACCTATGCACTAGCTCGGCCAATCCATCGAAATTCTTAGTTTCCAAATATCCCAGGCATTTTCCTTTTCCAGGTTACAATACACCAGAGGTTGACACATAATTCTTTTTGATTGCACATAATTGACACATGTGTTTTTTTGGTTGAACCCTTTCATTTCTTGGAGAAATCACGTTAATTAAATCATGTTTTTTTGATAGTTCGATCCAAATGTTGACCATCAAATCGAGAGCTCGCAATTCTTAAGCATGAACTCCCTAGCTTTCGTTGGGAATCCATTTATTTTGACCATGAAATACCCAAAAAATCCCAGCTGCGCTTCTGGTGCCAAGGTTGGCGTTGGTTCAAACCCAGCGGCAGGACGCAGCGGAGGTGGCGCGATGGATACGTGTCGGGAGCACCGGAGGATTGGCCATTTAGGGGTGTCATAATTTGACTATGGTTATGATGAATATCTATGGTTACTAATATGGATTATGAATATCTATGAATTATCTATGGATTATGATATATTATCAATAATTATCTATGAATTATGGATTTTGGAAAATCCATGGTTACAAAAAACCCAACTATTATCCCAAACTATTCCCACTCTTATCTAGCCAGGGATTATTGGAACTCCCATGAAATATCCACAAAAAAGTATTAAGGGCAGCACCACTGTAAAACCACTATAGATGATATGAGGGTTCTTCAAATGGGGGATGGATCCCCACAACCATGGGTTTCAATATCAAAAATTGTCTAATTGTTTAAATTATTTCAGGGTACCAGCATTTTAGGAAGCATCCATATAGTTAAAGGTTTATATCCCCATGATATTCCCATTATATCTCCATAAAACTATGAATATGCCATTGGATTATGGGATATCCTTCATTGGATGTATGGATGATAAACATGCATTGTATCCCTATGATGTTCCCATTTATTTCCATTGGAAATTAAAGCAATTATATATCACTATATCTCAATTATATCCCCATTGAGGGTTATATTCCCATTGGATTATTGGAACATTAAATCCTCATTAACCCCTTGTTGAGGATTATATTTTCATTATATATATATATATTCCATTAATCATTATATCATTATATCCCTATTGTATTCCCATTATATTCCCTATAAATTGTATTCCTATTAAGGATGATAGTTGGGATTTCATGGGAGTTCCAATAATCCCTGGCTAGATAAGAGTGGGAATAGTTTGGGGATGATATCTCCATCGTTAAGGATTGGCCTTTCGAGGCCTTCTCTGCCCTGCTGCGGCGCCTGACGCAGCGCCGCCAGCAGCTGCTGCGCGCCTCGCTGGGACGCTGCGCCGCAGCCTTTGGAGAAGGCGGCCACCAAAAAAAAACTGGGAAACAGGGGATGTTCACCGTGAAAATGGGGAAAATGTAGGTTTTTTTCGAGAAAAACATGAATTTTCACCGATTTTCACCGGGGAGAATGAGGAGTTCACTAGGGACACTTGGTAAAACGAAGGGGATTTTCCTTCGGAAGATGGGATTGAAGTAGGAAAAATGCTGATGTGGGGGATCCAAATGCAGAGATTTAGCCTTGAAACATCCATACGGGGCCTTTACCATCGCAAGATGTGGGGAGCTAGCGGACAAAAATGTAGGGAATGGTATCACAATTTAATTTCACGGTAGTATGGGGATGTAATGGTGATACAATGAGGATATAGTGGTGCTGTCCTCCTTAGCTAACTTGGTGAAAAAGTTCAGTAGGTTAAGTGTTGGGTTTATAAACCAACAAACCTAACTGGGGGACACCACCTTGTAACGTGGTTTTTACCCATGTACGTGCACCCAATGATAAACCATCTTTTGGGGATGGTCACTTTTTTTATTTCATCTTTGGCAAGCTTGGGGATGGTTTGTCATCGGGTTTAACACATTAAGTGTCAATCATTTTAACATCATTTTAACATCAATGATACCAGTTTAACATCAGTGTTTAACACAATTATGATGATCATATTTACACATGAAAGTGACCATGATACCAATATTTTCATCATCATCATTCTGTAGATATTTGATCCAACGAAATTCTGATAAACCACGGGTCAAATGCATCATGATACTAGTCACACATACTCATGGTTCTCAGTAAAATCACATTTTTTTATAAAAAATACTGGGCACATCTTTCTAGTTCTAGTAATTCAACGGGATTACGTTTCAAATTGTTTGGGACCTCCGAAACAAATCCGAGTCCAAGTGGCAACGCTTTTATTGTGACATGGTCCTTTTCTTGTTTATTATAGAGTAATCACCATCGGCTTTTTGAATTTCAAAACCATTTTGGGTACGTGATGCAACTCCTGAAATACCAAATGCCAGTCACCGAAATACATTTTGCCAATCATCAAGATATTGCGATCATCGCCATGTTTCGTTTGTGATGATATCAGCCCCGAATTTGCTGAGGGTGGAAAAAACATGTCAGGACATCGGCAAAAGATGGACATTTGCTCTCAAGAAAGAGGGGATAATAGCAATCCATCGATCCATGAAATTCCATGAAATTCCATGAATGGATGGATCTATGCATCCATCATTGGCAAATATTGATCAAGATAGTCAGATACTGACTGATAACATGGTATTACAATAAATCAAATATAAATCATTCGGTTAATATCGACTTTGTCACACTGGACTGATTGCCAGCAGCTGAAACGTTCAAATAGCCCATCAAGTCACAACCGGTGAATGGACATGAATGGTCAAGACCCAATAACGATCACAATTCCGTCAGCAAACTCAGAACGACATGGTGCTATTCACAAGAAACCCATGAATCTGTTGAATGGAGGCAATCATGCGGGTATTGCCAACAAGAAGGAGATCTGGCAAACAATCTATTGAATTGAAGCCAAGGAGACACACATCATTTTTCTGACGGATTCCAATCAATATTACAACCATTACAACCACCAACCTGCAGGATTTCAGTTCAGATCCCTAAACCAATCCACGAGTCATCAAACATGGGACACTTCAATGGGTAGAACCTGGATTAGAATTTCCAATACGACTCATTTTGCCCTTCATCTCTCAGATACAAGCACCATAATAATTATATTTTTTTAATCCTTTGTAGTAAGGGGAATCCACAGTAGGGCCATTTTCCCAGGTGCCGCATGTCTCCAGTCGGCCTTCGGCGAGGTGGGATTTTTGGTAAGATTCCAAGGAATGGCCACGGTTTTCCATGGGAAAGTTGCTGGTAATCAAACATGGCTGGAAAATATACCCTCTGGTAAACTAACATAGCTATGGAAAATCACCATTTTTAATGGGAAAACTCACTATAAATGGCCATTTTCAATAGCTATGTTAGTTTACCAGAGGGTATACCATGTTGTTCGTTCGGTGACCGGTGATTTTCCAATATTTTCCATAGCTAGCCATGCTTCATTGCTGGTCAGATGAACCCCCCCAGAATCCGTTAGCCTGGGATATATATATATTTGGTGCTGATACCAGGATACCCAAAAAATCCAAGGGTTTAGAACCTCATGTTCTCCATTATTTGATTGCCATATATTTGGGGCCCCTCTTTGGAAAAAAACAATTGGATGGTGTTGCTGATATCTTCCATTATCACATCTCCATTTTGTCAAACCAGGTTCCCAAGTAGATAACCACATTTCCAAAATTTCTGCTATAGTTGATGGTGATTTTGATATAACAAGGAACCCATTTTCATAACATGGAGAGTTAATTTTCCGTCTCCCCTCACAGGAATTCGGTTGTGAGCCAAAAAAAGTTCACCACTTGTTGAAAATCCTCATTTATGGATGATTTGCCTATTAAAAATGGTGATTTTCCACAGTTTTTTGTTAGTTTGAGGGTATACCAGATCATCCCAGTCCCCGGCTTCAGGCCGCGGCTGCGAGCTCACCCAGCTCACCCAGCTCACCGGCCAAGGTGCAGCTTCGGGTGTTCTGCGATACATATGGCACCCCCCAAAAAAAGATGGACACATCATTTACCATCTGGTAGTTTGTTACATAGCTATGGAAAATCACCATTTATAGTGGATTTACCCATTAAAATTGGTGATTTTCCATAGTTATGTTAGTTTACCAGAGGGTATCATTGGATTGGTTTAAGGGAAAATTTACAGGACAGCCCCATATTTGGATGGCAAAAACCATAGAGTTTCCGGTGAAAAGAGTTTCCCTGAAACCAATCCAATGGATTTACCAAGTGTTTTGCTAGGGATTTACTTGTTTTTTTGGGGATTGAGATAATTGTTTGGAGTTTTAAAGGGATTTTGATGTATACAAGTTGGTGCCGCCTAGTTATATACCTAGTTATGTTTGTTGGTTGATAAACCCATCCAAGTATGAATATATCGACCATAAAACACTTGACCCTCCTTAGCTATATGGTATTGATAGACATACACATATTTATATATATATACATACATATACACATACATAATCATACATATATATTTGTCACATATATATATATATATACATATACATATATATATATATATATTCATCCTGAAGTATATATATATAAGACATGAGATTTTCAACAATTTTCTCCAACTATTCGTGAGGATTTCTTGAGACTTCCATCAGGCACGTGCCAGCGTGCCACCTTTGCGCCTTGCCGAGTTGCCGCTGGAAGAAGAGGCAGATCCCAGCCGGAGCTTTTCCGAGGGAAAAGCTCCGGATTTTGACCATCAAATAGGGGAATCTATGGGAAAAAATGAGATAAACATGGGGTAATATGACAATATGGAATAATATAAATGGGATATGATCACCTATTCTTGATTTTAACATATGGGGTAAAACTTATAAAAACCAAGAATAATGGGGATATTAGTGGGATATAATAGGATATAGGGATTAATGATGATCTAATCATGCTTTTTTTTTGCAAGATGATAGTGTTTTTCTTCTGAGTTTAGCACCAGATTTATGAGGCATTTCAAGATTTGACCTGATGCTGCCAGATGTTTACCATAGTTTGCCAGATGTTTACCGCATTTTACCAGATTTTAGAGTTTTGTCATGTGTTTTCAGATGCCAATCCAAATCCAATACGCTGAAATCCCGAATGTTGCATGACCGTTGTAAAAACCATACCCCAAACATCCCCAAACAAGGGGTTCTCATTGGGGTTTGCCATGTCTTATGTGCTAAAGAGATGATGAATTAGCTGTGAGAAACGATGCGAGGGGTTGATTTTGCTTACTTGAGTAACTGGCCAACCCTTTTCGATTCCCTGGCAACTTGTTTGGCAGCTTGTGGGGGATGACATTTACTAGTTCCTTCAATATGGCATGATTACAGTAACAAGCTGTACTGGGGAGCCCACGTCGCCGTCATGCGTATCTTGGTTATCCATTTGTATCCATTTGTTGGAGATTTCTCACAAGCATGATTTCCTATTGCCATGGTTGATGACCAAGGAACATATATAATCATATATATATAATTACATATATATATATATATATTTGTATATTATATTGATGGGTCCACAAATGGAGAACACCGAAAAACATCGAACAACGGCAGTGTCAATACCGAAATGAGGTCTGAAACCAATTGGTTTTTGTGGCATCCCATGTTTGAGATTTTGCAGGTCAGTTCACTCCCCATGGGCGAGGTACATGTGATGAATACCGACTCCATGGCGACTCCCTCTGGCAGTTCCATGGGCGGTCCCTCGGTTGTGAATGCAATGGTAGGGAAAATCTGCAGTGACACCCCGTGGGTCTCTCTCTCACATGAAATTGGGGGTGCAACTTAACCAGTTTCCTGCCTTTCACTGGTTGAACATGGAAAAGGACAATCAACTCACCATTTGCCTGAGGAAATTCATCCACAATGGAACACATTTGTTGTTTTTTGTTTGTTTATGGGCCGAAGTGTAGCTGATGCTGCAGACCTCATTTCCGGGCATTTCATGTTCATTCTTCGATACACTTGGTCAAAATTAGAACAAATCAACAAACACTTGTGATTGACACAGATGACATACATGTGCGAGTTTTCCCCTATTTTTTTTTCAATTGGGTATACCGCATTTCTAGACACACCCACATTTGGGCGGAAACGTAGCATTTTGCCAATTTTCGGCGAAGGGATGTTTCACTCTACAGGGTCTTCCATATCCCATTGACACGGATGCAATGATCCCCTCGGATGCTGAACGCATCACAGAGATGGAACATCAGAGCTGTCTTTGAGCTTCAAAACCTCAGGAGTGAATTCGTTACCCGACCTGGTAAACGTTTACATAACGAACTGGAAAATCACCATGCTATCAATGGGTAAATCCACTATTTCGACTGGGCCATTTTCAATAGCTACGTAACAAATTACCAGGCCGGGTACATTCCTTTGTTGGTAAAGAATTTTGGCCACACCCCAAGCCGGCGCCCCAGAAACTGATTTGGATTCTTCCATGATCCCAAGAGTGTTCACTCACAAACAGCTATGTTTGTTGTTTAGATTCAGCCATCTCACTTATTAGATGATATAGTATGATTTATGGTGGTTTAATGGGATCTAATGGGACTTAATAGGATTTACCCTCTGGTAAATTAACAGTTTGACCCTGAAAATCACCAATTTTTAGAGGAAACTCATCTTTCAACCCCGACAACTGGCAGGGTCTATGTTAATTTACTGGAGGGTAGATGATATAATATGATATAATGTCATGATATATCTACATAGTCTCTATCGGATTTTTAGCCATGAGTTAAGCTACTGAACTTTCCAGCAACTTCGCTCGGGATTTTTACAGCACCCCCTCGCGCCATCATGTCAGGTGAAATCCTGAATTGCGACAGCGACAGCGATGCCGCGGGAGAAAGCTGTGACGTCGCTGTTGATCTCAAGTCTCCAGGTGGGCTTATTGAACTGGCAGAGAAGCTACAGTACTTAGAACATCTTAAACCAGCAAAAATCAGGCAACAATCAACCATCATGTGGGTTTTTACACAATAATAACCATCCTCCAGTCATCAGCATTTTTTTTTATAGGTGCTATATATAAACCTTTCCCAGTCATGGGTGGTTTATGCAATTGTTTTAACCACCTGAGTTTTTTTTTTGTGCAACCACCAAGCAGTGGGAAAATGTCGCTTGGAGGAAACCTGGCCGTGGGATGTGGATCTCAACACACTGTGACTTTGTAACGAAACTGATTATATAAAAGCGGTTGAAACGCTGGGTTCACCAGCATACTTTGGTTGTAGTTACACTAGATAACTATAATTCAATATAATAGATTCACTAGATAACTATAATAATTTATGTTTTTCCCCACCTGCCAGGTGAGGGTCTCTAGATTTTAACAAAGGTGCAACTCCTCTCCTGTCCTCTCTTCTCCTCCTACAGACCGGGGGCTCACAGCAAGTGCCTCGCCAGCTCCTCGCCAGCTTGAGCTCAGTCTAGGCAGGCATGGACCCGAACAGAGACCAGACAGCAGAATGCTAGATAGAACTAGAACATGAGAATATATGTCAGATATAATGCCAGATAGAATGTCAGAGTAGATGTCAGATAGACTGTGATAATGTTTTTCAGATACATTGCCAGATAGAAGGTCAGAATATCTGTCAGATAGAATGCCAAAAAGATCCAAAAAGGATGCCAGATAGAATGTCAGATAGAATGCCAGATGGAATGCCAGAAAGAATATCAGAAGAATGTCCGAATATATGTCAGATCGGATGAATTCTTGACAGTTGTCTAAAATGCCACGGTGGGGATCACTCGAAGTAAAGTATTCTTTCTGTTGATAGCAGAACATCATATCAATCAATGTCATTCATATGACTATGAAGTCACAGACATCTTAGAATGATAGGATGAAATCCAAAAGGAAAATCCCAGAATCATCACCAAATCCGCTATGACTATTATCACTATGACTCATATCATAGTCATATGTCTGCGATTCCCTAACATTTCCCAAGATATCCCAAGATTCATCTGGGATTCATATATGGTGGTTTCCTAAAATAGGGCTACCGCCAAATCATCCATTTTAGTTGGATTTTCCATGGTTTTTCCATCATAAACCATTATAAATCATCCATTTTGGGCTACCTCTATGTATGGAAAGCTTCATATGACTATGAAATCCCAAATACAGAGGTTGGTAACTGTCCCATTTTGGGAATATTGGACATCACCTTATAGTAGCCATTATAGACCATATACCTAATGGTTGGGTGATGTTCAATGGGGACATTTAATGACCCATGAAATAAATCCAAAGTTGTCATCATGTTTTGCAGGCCGCTCGTCCGGCCTGCGCCAAGCTGCCAGCGCTGCCAGCGCTGCCAGCGCTAGCGGCGCTCTCCGTGGCTGCTGAGCCGACGGCGAGGCGGAGGATTGTTGCTGGGCAAATTATAACGACCTCACTGCGACCTCACTGGAATAGTGGTTAGTAAGGGAAATCATCCCCAAATGGCCTTAATTCAGGTTAGTGAATTATAATAATTTACCCAGATAGAATAAGTATATTTACTGGTTGGTGGTTTGGAACATGACTTTTATTTTTCCATATACTGAGAATAATCACCCCAACTGACTCATATTTTTCAGACGGGTTGAAACCACCAACCAGATTTATATTCATAAAATTCATAAAGGATATTGATTATTTTTGACTTTTGTCCCTTTGTCTTAGCGCACTGGGACGTGCGGATAGACTCGCACAATTCACTCTGGATTTCCCCTTTGTCATAGCGCACTGAGATATTGCTTTATCATATTATTACATATTATACCGGTTTTAACTGGATATATAACATATTATGACTAGACCTAATTAACTAGGTCCCCGTTCTATATTAATGCTGGTATCTAACCATCTACTGTTCCAAGATGTGTATACTATATATAATATAATATATATATATAATATAATATATATATATATACACGTATGTATATGAATGTATGCATGTCTAGTTAGTTGTGTGCATCTGTAAATGTATATGTGGATGTATATGTATATTGTATACGCATTCTGCAACCTAAGGCCTATATAGGTGTGTATATTGTTATAATACCCCTCTTGTAGTCAAACCTAGCTTGCTGGAAATCCAGCATTTAGTTTGATGGTTGTCCCAGTATGTCCCAATTCTTAACCTCCATTGGTGGATTGCTTTGACTGCTGGAGGGTTTTTTTTGGGGATACAACCAGGTAACATCAGATAACATCAGTGGGGCCAAACTGGGATGGCCGGAAAATGAGGAACAGTCAGCATGGTATAGAACTACAGTCTTACCCAAGTGGCCTTTTTTTGGGCATTTCATTGGGCAAGCCGCTGGTGTGTTGGTTCGTTTGATACCCTCTGGTAATTTGTTACATAGCTATTGAACATGACCATTTATAGTGGATTTTCCCATTAAAAATGGTGCTTTTCCATAGTTATGTAAATGTTTACCAGAGGGTACTTGTTTTTGATACTTGCAATTTTGACGGGAATATGTACCAAGTCACTGCAATTTTGGCAGAGTATCCAAGATTGGTCAACTCCGAGAATGGCCACATCTCATTGGTCAATCTCACCATGATGAGGATCCGGGGGAACTTTTTTTGACTGATGAACAAATGAGTGTATTTCGGTTTTGTGAACAACTCTAGTTTGTTCATATATCTACATACATATATATATATCATTATATATCTACATATACATATATATATATACATATATATATATACATCATTATATATACATATATATATATCATTATATATACACATATATATATATATCATTATATATACATATATATATATATCATTATATATACATATATATATACATACACATAAATAAATATTTTAAAATATCATATGTACATATGTATTCCCATCATACGCGCAGACCCCGTGGTTTGCCCACGAACAGAGTAGCGTACAAACCAATGAATTTCAAACCAAACGTTTCTTTTGGGGTTTGCATAAGATATAAAATCTCCCGACCCCTTGGAACAATAACCCTACCGCAAATTACAGGAGATGTGTTTTTGTTTACATAAGCTATAACACCCCCTGCCCCCATGGAACAAGTAACCATACCATACTTCAGTCGTATCATGATTCATGATCATCATCATCGTCATCATCGTCGTCATCATCATCATCATCATCATCGTGGGGAGTCCGGGCAAACCATAGGGTCTTTCCGTCATCATGTGTATATATATATAGGCTATATTATATATGAAGAATAAAGTGGACTCACAACGTATGTGTATCAAGTGAGAATATGATATGTATGTGTATATATTTGTGTATTCATGTATACTGACGTATGTTCACCAAGTTCACCCCAACAATGACCAGGGGCCTTATTTGGGCGTCCAAAATGAACGGATCCTGTGAACCAAGGTTTTTGTGTGAAATGCCAAGCCTCACCCTGCCGACTACCGAAGAAAAGGGAATTGAAAATAGGAATGCTACTTTTCAGGTCTATTCAACATCGAGAGTTCTAAGAGGTCATTGGAGATTTACCCCAAGCTGACTCTGTTGCAATGATCTTGCAGGGCAGACGGCAGACTTTCTGTTGAGTACACGTACATTTTCATTTTGCTTTTTTAGATGTGTTTTTATTGCTTGACTTTGGTTGATTACATCCTTGGTTTCCGATTTTTTTAAAGGTATACTATTGGTTCTACTCCATTTGTGTTGGTCAGAAGTGTCTCTTTGGCAGATTCCATCGCATTTCATGCATGCTCAATCAATGGTGATTGATTGACGGGGATAGCAATTACTTAGTTCATTGTAATTTATCGATTAATAACTATAATTTCAATCATCCATAATTCATCATATTGATGCATTTTTCTTGGGTGCCTATTCTTAACCATGATCTCAACTTCATCCCTTTAGTCAAGCAGCCAGGCATCCTGAACATCTTCCACGAAGTGGAAGATGTTTGACGCAAAGCGACGCCTTTAGAAAAGGTGCTTTTTGATGCCGGAGCCACGGATGGTGCAAACCAGGCCCTTGGCCAGTGATAAACCATGATAAAACGACCCATTTGGGAATGGTTTGTGCAACCTATTTATGGTGATTTGGGGGGTGGCTTATTATTGTTTTACCATGTTTTACCCACATCAAACACATGATAAACCACTTGGGCCTTGGGAATACTCTCAGATTGCCAAGGCATGTGATTTATTTTTGCTGTCCTGAGTAGATGAATTGGGATCTGCACATTGTGGAAACCATCGGTTCCAACGTGGATACAGGTGACCGTCCAAGTCGGTCTGTGGTTAGCAATCGCATACCCCTGGCCCTAGTATTGAATATCCTTCATATGGGCCCCACAAATGAACGATCCAATACTAAACCATGTCTTCTAGGAAGGTATTGAAGATTAGGAGGAAAACATTAGTTAGTTTAGAACTTGTGATTCCAAAACTCTAGAGGTGATTTTCAAAATCTGTCAGTTTGGGGGACTTGCCAGGACTTTCCAAGTGGGATGTCCAACCCAAGCACAGCTGCTAAACTGCGTTCCTTCCTTGTGGACTTCGACGTCTCCACTGATCCGTAGCTTTGATGCTGGAATCAGCTGGAATGGCGAGATCCAAAGGTCGAGGAAAAATGGCAAGCTGGTACTAAACTCTTGGCAGTGGCATCACAGAAATCTATCTCGAAACATCCAAAGTGTCAAAGCTGTCAAAGATCCAACCACGGCAATCCTGAGACACGTTAGAGGATATTAGCATGGACAAGTTAGAGGATATTAGCCTCATCATCACTGGAATATGGTTGGACCCCCAGTCAATTAGCAAAGCTCAGCACACATCTTGCAGTGGGTTTGTCAACTCCATTGCGTTAGTCATCCTCTTACCAATTGAAACAGACATAACTTGGAAGTGAACCTAGCTTTTTCAGACACACCTGACGGAAACCATCCTTTCGCTGAAACGTTCTGCTGGCCATGACGTAGGGCCATACCTCGCGATGAAGGAGGAGTGGTCATCCGATGGGGGAATGATCCCCCATTAACATTGGCATATTTTTAAGGGCTTCATCCACCAGCCAGAATCAAGTGGTGAAATATGGCGTAAAAAAACAGTCAGCAGAGATGGTGCTGGGATATCGCTGTGAGTAGGAGAAGCATCTTGCTATGGGTGGATTTCCATGTATTTTCCGTTGCCAGACTAGAAGATTTAGGGGAAAACCACCCATAAATTCAAGTTAATCATCAGTTTCCCCATTGAACTTGTCGCAAATTAAGGCTAGTCCCCCACTTTCAGACAGACTCTTATGAGGGCAGATTTTTCTTGTGGGCTTTCTTTGCGAAAATGAGGAACCTCCGAAATAAAAAGCCATCAAAAGACACGGTAGTCCGATTTGGTAGGGAAAGCACCATGGCGTATCTGCAGTATCTATCCCACATTTGGGAAGCCACGTGGTTCTTGTTTAAAACCAGAACTGATTTGATCAGACTTTCTCTGTCCCATGGCCGCACCCAAGCAGTTGGATATGGAGTGATAGGATGAGAGCCATGTGATTATCCAGCGGAGAACTAGCATGGTGATGGATGGACATTCGACGATTGACAATGGGGAATTTTCCATTCTGATGGTTCCAGATAGCTACAAGCCTGCATGGCAATATGAATTTGATGGTCATGTGGATTTGTTTGAAAAGAGGGAACTCCCAAGTCCCATAATTATCATGCTTTATCCGGTTTATCACAAAATTTGCACACATTTGCCATAAATACTGTAGCAAAAAAATGGTTTCTCCGCCATGTTCAGACGTGCGTCTGAAGTTGCGCCCGAGTATGTCGTGTGTTGGTTGGGGTCGTTTGACACATGGAGCCTCAAATTTAACATCAATATCTGAATCATGGTCGATAATGATCAAACCGATAGTGTAAACACGTGCAGGGCCCGCAGGGCGGTTCCTTTGTAAACTTATCCCTGATGGACGACGCCATGTCTATCATCCAACTGAAGGTGCAATGTTCATTTTGTTTGATGGTTACTGTAAACCAGAGAAACAAATAGTCAGCACTTTCAACTTTCAATGTTGGAGAATCCAGCTCCGTTCCATTCACCAACGGGATTTCAGCTCAGATCTAGGCATTATTTGAACGGTACCCACTTTTGAGGTACGTACCCAGGTTAGATTAGTTGCTGTATAAATCCTTCATATATGTATGCGACTCATCTCAAATAATAGTTGATACCAACATGGTCAAGACCCCAATTTTCTGTTGATAGAACCTCCCCCAATTCTTGGAGCTTCAGAATGTTTAATGCTCCATTTGTTTGTAAACCCTAATAGGTTTGCTAGAATGGTTAAGACCCCAAATAGATTTGTTTGAACATGTTGTCCCTCAAAATTCCGTCGCCATATTGATCATCATTATATTCCAGGATATGGGGATTGGTCAATATCTCTAAACCCATATTTATTTAGGTGGGTGAACATACGTCAATCCCAGCTATTTTGGTATCAGCTTTGATGGGCAAATTGCAGGTTTTCATCCATATCCATGATGGTTTATTCACACTTTAGGAACTAGCCACATCCCGCACAATATAACTATAATATATATATATATTATGTAATATATATATATACATATTACATAATATATCTATATTATAATATATATATGTATATTTATATTACATAATATATCTATATATCTTATACATAATATACATATACATGTCAAGCCGTGATTAAGTCAACCAATAAAATCCCCGGTGTTTCGCCATCTCAGGAGGCGCCAGCATCGCCCAGAGGCACATCGTCATAGACTCTGTAAACGAAGAGATGTCCAAAAGCCACCATGAAAGTAGATCTCTGGTTGGTTTCCAAAAAGAGGGGTACCCCCAAATCATCCATTTATAGATGGCATTTTCCATTATACACCATTATAAACCACCACATTCAATTTTGTGGGGGGAAAACATGGGTCAAATTTTGAGGATCATCGCAGAAGATCTACATCATGATAGATCATTTTCCGAGGAACTCATGGTTCCCGCAGGGATTCCAAGCCACCAAGCCACCAGCCCTTGACGCACCCGTTCTTGGTCGTATTGGGGGAGGAGCAAGCAACCAACTTTCTACAGGTGCCCTTGCAAACTAAACCACTTTTTTTGCCAAAAAGGTCCTTGTATATATATATATATACACACACACTATTCATCCAGAATCGGGATATATCATCCACAGATCTGCCATGGTCGAAAGTTGGATGATGTATTTATATAGCTGTTACTATGGGATTACCACTATGGGACGGATGACCATACCACAGCAACATCACATCTTTGGACCATGGTACATATCCTTATATAGTGAAAGTTCATGAATATGATTAATAAGATTATATATCACATTATATAATGTTAAATTTATATTATATATGTATATATATAATATAATATATCACACATATATATATAATACATTATAGTATATTATACATATATATATATATTATAGTGTATACATGTGTATACAATAAATCCCATCTCTTGACCATGGCTATGAGGTCTTCTGGGCTTCGTCCAGACCTTGGAGAGCAGCTTCGGTCGGAGGTCGCCGGGGCGGTGAGCCGAGCCAAAAAGATCGGGTGGGAGATCATGGGGAGATGATATGGATACAATGGGGATGTAACAACTTTATATGGGATAGAATGGGAATAGAATGGGAATTTATGGGATTTCATAAGGGTTTAATGGGATTTAATGGGATTTAATGGGATATAATGGGATTTAATGGGATATAATGGCATATCATGGCATATCATGGGATATATGTTAATGGATATGGCCAACGAACTAACTTGATAACTAAATTGTGGACAATTTTTTTCAGATCGGCTGGACAGCGATCCCAGATTCAGCCTTGAAATGGAGTGACAAGGCTGGGAAATCACCAAAAGTTTATGAACGATTTTGCTGGGAAAATTGGGAAAATCATCGGAATATATTACTTGGGGATTTTCCGGCAAGCCATGTGACTGACTACCGGACGGTGACTTCTGACTAGGGATGGGTCTTTTGACCTATGACACCAGATTTTTGGTTGGCATGAACTGAGAAATAAATTCCAGTTATTTTTATTATTTTTGATGTGAACTTATCTACAGTACATAGTTCTAAATCTGTATATATATATATATGTATGTGAATAGATATTGCTAGGGCCTATTTTGATGATAACACGACTGGTTGTGGACATCCCCCGATTCATATGGATGTATCTCAAACTGGGGAAATATCTTTTAATGGGAAATATGATGATAAAAATTCAATTTGTGTACCCTATTTTCAGTGAAGCCCAAGTTTCAAATGGCTACATATGGGGATTATAAACAGGTGAGATTGTAACTGAAATCATGTATGGTTGGATAAATGGATAGGAACAGCGTTGTACATATGCATCGGCCGGGAACATGAGTTGATTGGGAACGTTACCCATTGGATATTGGTTGCATACTCCCAAGCCATTGAAGCTGGTTGTGTTTAAGGGGTGATTCATCTAGAAATGGGTATTTGTCCTTGGCTACTGCGGCTATTTTACATTGAGGTCACAACTGGACATGGGAATTGCCCTGAAGCTGTACGAGACATCACAGAAATTCTGCTCCAGTTGGCCAGCTAGGGAAACTTCCACTGATCCAGTTGGGAAAATGAGACTGTTTGGTGGTTTCAAACATGTAACTTTTGGCTGAAACCAAAATTTGATGATCAATTTTGAGTCAAACAGTATCATGTTTGAGTCAAATTTCAATCATGTTTGGTGATACAGTATGATGATCCAAATTGACTCACACTGTAACTTTTGGAATGGGAATGGGTCTAGAAACCAGCAACCAGAAGATGTGCCGGTTTCTTTTAAACAGTGTAGTCATGATGCTTGGGGTGACTCCTAGGCGCTTCGTAGCTGGGATCGTGTGTTTTCTATTTCAGGGTGGATACGAACCTGTTCTTTGAGAGTACTCAAATTTCCTGGTTGGCCAAAGCATTGTTGAAACCCTCGTATTGCATAGAACCATGTGGAACCCACTTGAACCCATCCTCAATAGGAAATGTAAGATCTCAGGTAATTCACTCGCAGAATTCCCTCGCATCTCCATGGCAGCTTGTGTCAAACACGCCCACCATTGTTCATCAAAACTATTTTTCTATTCAAAAAACATCAAATAACTTAATCGCATTCAAAAGGAAGGCACCATCTATGGACTGTATATCCCTAAATGCCCTGGTTAATCATTATTTGTTCCCATCAGCTTGCAATAAATTGGGTGGTATATTCTATTTTCAGACTCAAATCCAAATATCATATTCTTGGCTAAAGATGTATATATCCCATTAAGTTATATCACCATTATATCCATCCATCAGTTTTATCTATCTTCACCAAGTTCAGTGTAGGCAGTATAGGCATCGATCCAGCCGAACCCACGAACCTTTACAACCAGCTGCCCTTCAGTAGTTCAACATAGCTATTGAAGCCATGGCCCATCTAGTTCGACTGATAAAGAAGATGGTGATGTTCCATAACAGTTTTTGTTTACCCAAAAGTTCAGGCCAATCAATCTGTTTGCATCAAAGATTGGCCCCATTTTGCAGGTTCTTGCTGTTCATGTGCATGAACTACTTTGGCCTCAAAGGCATTGCATTTGCCGTGCTTCAGTGGCTCGGATGAATATTTTCATGACCAGTGGGATGTCGGATGGCAGTCGGATGGCGATTTGTGAATATCTTTGAAAACACGTATGGCTTGTTGCAGGTCTCCAAGATGCATTTATTATCATTTATTATCGTTCGTTACATTTTATTGTTTAGTATCAACATGTATCAAAGCATCTTCGTTTTGTCGGAAAACAACAAGTGCCCAACATTGATGAAACCCTGGGCCCGAGGACGTCTCTGCCTTTGGGTGCCTTCAATGTGACAGCGGGGGATTTTTTTCCGAGAACTGTGAAAAGTACAGTAAGTCTGTCTGCAACCACGGTTTTTCCATTGTTCTTCTTCCTCAAGTCTTCAATTTTTTCCTCAAATTTCGGACTGTTTTACTCCCTATTTCTGGGAAGTCTCCCCCAAGATAAAGAGTCCCAGCATGTGTTGAGTTGCTGGCAGCATCTGGAAGCTATGTCATTGCCATGTGTTTTGGTGGCGACCCGAGCAATGCCCGTCATGTAGTCATGGTGAACAAAAACAATGACCAGATTTACGGCAAATGTATCAGAAGCAACAAACATGGGTCATGATGGGAATATACTTGAATATTACCCTCTGGTAATTTAACATAGCTATTGAACATGGCCCAGTCGAAATAGTGGATTTTCCCATGAATAGCATGGTGGATCTTTCCAGTTCGCTATGTAAACGTTTGCCAGGTCGGGTACCACATATGGCATCTGGAAATTTGGCACTCGATAAAGTTTCCCATTTGGCACTCGACCATGGATGACAATGGCCCAGTGAGTTCCATCTTTGACCAAAAACAAATAGCATGGTATAGCTATGCCTCCACAATGCGGTTGATGTCACCGTTTTTTTGTTTAGCCAGGTTATTAGTTATCCATCTACATGTAATTATATATATATATATTGATATAGTTTGATGTATGATATCTATAGTCACTACAGTCTATAGTATGCATATCTTATAAACAATCATATGGATATAATTCTATGTACATTGACAACATGTTTTTTTCTTTTTTTTATTTAAGGGCTGCCGCCCCTGCCGCCGACCCCGGAAAAGAGAAACTCGCAATGGTGTCAGCTGGCTTCATTCGAATGTTCTGTGAGTTGTCAGCCTGGATGCTTTATATATACATTATATATATATGCATCAAATAGTATATACTTGTGTGTTGAATTGAAATTTTGCCAGTCCCTATCCCTGCCATGAAGCTCAAGCATCCATCCTTTTGCTTTCCGTTTTTCGGGGGTGGTGTGTCCTCCTCCCCGTGCGCGAGACATAGTCTTCGCACGGGAAAGGCACATCAGTGAATCATAAAGAGTTGTTTGAAAGCAAAAGAATGGATGCTGACTGGCTGTCCTGGATCATGAGCATGGTGTCTAAGGACGTTGAAAAACTGAACTTTGGCAACCCACGCGTTTCCTTACCACGCCCTATCAAAACAAGAAACCAACTTACGAAACATCTATAAACGATGGTTTTTTTCATTGGATTCACCATGGGTTTCTATAATATATATATATATATAAGTATGTATATGTATACGTATATGTGAATCTATATGTAGATCTATACGTATAATATATATTTATATATACAGATAGTTAATTACAGAACATACATGGAATCACTTCAGTTGTATGTACATTCACGAATAGTCCGCAGATGGAAAATCTGCGGTCAGGTTTTCATGGCGAAGAAAGAGCAGAGAAACGAATATAGTGGGAGGCACGTCAAAAAGTACTTCGTTAACACGGCCTTTTCAAAAATGATGAGATTGCGGGCGAACCGAGGGATCATTATTTCAGACACGGTGACGTGATCACCTGAGCAGTGTGCAAAATCCCTTTTCATTCCATTGAATCCTGGTTGGTTTTAAGGATTTCCCTATTGGATGATTATCTCAAGCTTCAATATCGTTTCTAGGGATGGCTGGTCGGACTCAGGTCTTCTTGCTTGATGTCCGTTTGTGTTAGATAAACTTCAGAAAATTGTGCATTCTTTTCGGAGCAACCACCAAAACAACCTGAGCAGTGTTCAAAAGCTCTTTGTGCTTCCATGAAATATTGCTTGGTGAATAGAGAGTGTCCTATCGTGGAGTATGAAAGAATCTCCAATGTGTGCAGGGTTGTTGCTAATCCTCGAACTGCCTCTGGTAATTAGTTACAAAATTATGGAACATGACCCAGTCGAAGGAGTGGATTTGCCCATTGATTCCATTGTGAAACTTTTATAGTTTTCTGTAAACGTTCACCAGAGGGTCAATTTCACAAAATCCCATGAAAAATTATCGTTTTCCTATTGTCTTCCTATGGTTTTTCTGTAAATCATCAACCATTTTCGAACAGGGCAACTTAAGTTTCGTACTTGTTTCACCTGGTGCTGGCCTTTTTTTCGCTCCAAATTCTTAGATGTCGCTGACATCATTGCAGGCACTGCAACGCTCCTGCACGGAACAAGGTAGTCAATAGATGTCAATAACATCCTGGTTTTCAGTCTAGCATTCTGGATGGTTTATACCCCCTGTTTAACGGTGAGTATGGGGATACCTACGTTAGATTATTTTCCGAGCAACACAACCAGATTCAGATTTCCAGGAGATTTCTCAGTGGGCCACGTGGTTGGCAGGTTTAGGCAACGATCCATTGCCATGGATGATGGATGCAGTTTTCGTGAAAGTTGTGCAGCGGAAATTGTGAGGAATGACCGGAGGGTAACCATGTTGAATCAGGTGAACCAAGGAAGGGAATTTGATGGGGCAAATTGTCCACTTCTTGCCCTGACAGGAACATGTTTACCGAAAATCGCTGATATAACCTTCTGGTTTCAGCAAAGAACGTGGCATTGAACATACCCATGGCCTGAGTGGAGCTTTCGAATGGTTGAATTTTATGGATTTCATACCTGGGAAAATTCATCGAACAAGCAATCCAGGCTGGATCCACGGGTAGATTCAGATGGTTCAATCAAACATATGTTTATCTCAATGGATTGATGCAGGGTGCTCGAGTTCGTTCGCCTAGTTGGTGCAGATGAGTTCAAAACTGGCCCAGTCGAAATGACGCGAGTTTTTCATAGTTATGTAGACGTTTACCAGAGGGTAAGTCCAAGAACTTTATTTTTTGGGGTGTGATATTGAATTAGAAAGCATGGGACTATTTTCGCCATTTATGGAAAATCACACTAGCAACAGTACCAGTTTCTCAGCGGCAGCCAATGTCTTCACAACTCCACCGATCCATTGACTCTCTGGCTATTTTACATAGCTTCTGGTAATGACAAACACTGTGCGAACTTGAAGCCATGGATGAGTCGAAATGATGTGAGTTTGGTATGAACCATAGTGATGATCCAACTGGGATACAGGAGGTTGTCCAAAAGGGGCTGCATACAAGATTTCTACATGATTTACCTCGATTTACGTCTGAATGGTAATTTTCCGTTGCTCGCTTAGATATTGTTAGATAATAGTAATAGCGTAAATGGGTTTATTCACATGTTCAGCGAAAAAAACATTCTAACATCCTGTTTCTATATGTTTCCATTCATTTCACCACAATGTTGGTCAATCAAACATGCCTGGAAAAGAACTGCTGGAAATTGCCAGGGGAAAAGCACTGAATTTTTGATTTTTCAAGAACACTAAATGTTTGTTTCGGAATAAAGATGTGAACGATCAGTCACGTTCGGGTTTGTCTGATGGGTAGGGTATCGTAAAGCATAAGATTTAAGTTCTTTGCAAGGTCAGTGTGCTTCTTTGATTGTGTTAAGTCCGATCATCAGTGGTGGGTATGGACCGCAGTCTTGCAGCGTCTTTTGAAGCAAGGCAGGGGCTCATGGATTGAAACAAGAGGGACAATGTATATAGGTATACAGCGTGATCACATTGAATAAGGACATTTTTATGCGTATCTGCGGACATTTGATATTAGTGGTTCTTCTCAGCAAGGTTATTTCCCACCACAGTCTCCAGAAAAGCAGTCTGGACACAAGAGGAATTTTCGTGTCTAAATGTACATTTCCTAATAGCTATAGCTTTAGGCTTGTCTCCGAATGTGATCGGCCTGTTTGTTCGTCATGTCGCTGGATGTGTATCGGCTGTCTCCAGCTCGCTATGAATTTCTGCGTGACATCGGACGAGAAGTTTTTCGAAGTCAGAGCAGCGGTAGTGGCACATTGGTTGATGCGGTGGCGAGTGTAGACATTGCGGGGTACATTGGTCGGCGGGGGAAGCTGTTTCGAACGCAGGATGCTTGCGAGACCTTCTTACATAAGAATCTGAAAGACTTTACCGATTTGGCACAATTTACGCGTGTGATGACGCCTGAATTTGCGGGAGCTTTGCATGAACTTGAAGCACAAAGGGTGGAGAGACCGAAGGTGTTCGCCATAGGGGCGCTGCTGGAGCATGGTTTGTCTATCCGCTTGATCACAGAGGGAAAGGACGCTGAGCTGGAAGAAGTCGCGCGCAGATTGGAGGAGCTGCTTTCGGATTGGAAGAAGGGGGTTCGAGGGAAGACATCCGGCACAGCATTTGCATCTTGGCAGAAGACATTGTCAGCCGCCCGGCACTTCGTGAATCTTTTTCAGGGAGTGGTGGAAAGGAGGCAGGACAAGCGTGCGCGCCTTGAAGATTTTCCGTCTCAGGTGGGTTTGTGGCACAAGCCTGTGAATTTTGTGGAGCTAGGCCGCGGCCTGCGGGTGTTGTTCGGGGAGGATGACGTGCGCTCGATTGTGGTGTTCCTTGCCCAGATGTATTTGTTGATTCGCAAATTGCTTGAGTTGCATCGAGCTTCCGAGCTGTCTGCGCAAGACTTTTCTTATTCATTTTGCAATGTGTTGGGGTTTGGCTCATGGAGCAAGGTGATGATGTGGAGCTGTCGAGCCAATCCAAGAGTTCAGTACAGGATTGGGCAATCCTTCTTGCAGGATGAGGTGACCTTTTTGAATTCTTGTAGGCTACTTCGATTGCACTGTGTTGATTCAGTGAATGATCCGGTCCAGGTACAGACGCGGAAGAACATTATGAGCTGTTCAACAGATTGTAGTGCAATGGATCGCTCCCGGACCATTCTTCGTGCAGTGATGGTTGTGCATGCAACGCGTCACTACGAGTTCTCTTCATGTATCCGAAATCAAACCTTGCTGTCGCCAGACCAGGTCCTGGCTTGCTTTTCTCGTGGTCATGTTGATGAGGGCCTGGTGCGACGGTCAACGTCCGAGGGTCGGTTCATGTGTGGCCCTGCTTCGCAAGTCCTCGAGCTTTTGGGACGCCCGAATGTGATGGATACTTTCACGGGCGGAGTTTACCACAGAGATTTTGAGCAAGCAGTGCTCCATTTCAATGCTTTGAGTGGTGCTGCGGGCATTGACGACGCGGCGATTTTGGACCAGGTTTGGGACTTGATCAAAGGTTTCAAAGGATTTGGAGGTGCTGGCAATTGCGAGGGTGGCAACGTGAAAGGGTTCGTGGCGAAGAATATTGTGTACCAAGGCTTGCGGAACATTTTGCATGAGTGTGGCCAGAAGCGTGCTCAGTCGGAGAGGTTTGTTTCTGGCCTGAACCCTTGCAAGCTGGTGACGGTAGCTTTGCAGAAGCGTTCTTGCTCTCGAAGTGAACACAAACAGTTTTACAAAGATGTTCTTGTTGGTTTGCGTGGTGTGCGTGTGCAGTATGGCACAGGGGAGCTGTGTGATTTTTGCGGCGTTGATGTTATGATTCTTCAAGACAATTTATGCAAATTGGTCGAGGTGCTGCAGACAACCTTCACCGGATTATTTTTCGGGAAGAGCCGGTGTTCTGTGGAGGGAGAAGCTTCGAGCTCGAGTTCAGCTTCTGATTGATGTACCCAACCTGTCGGGTGTGATCAAGATGTATTGGGTTATTGTCTCGGAAGAGATGGTGTTCGGTGGAAGCAGCAGCTTCGATCTCAAAGGCAAGTCCATGACCTGGTCTTTGCTGGTTGGTGCTCGGCTCATTTGGTCGGTGACGACGGGGAGACGCTGAAGTGACTTGTCTGACAAAAACATTCATTCAGCAATCAACTAAAAGTATCATTGTGACGATTATCGTTGTTACGTATCATCATTCACTGTCATTCAGGAGCATTCGCCAGCACAACCCGTGTGACTATTGGCATTCTGTTTCATGAGCAGTATTTGCATTGTGGTGCAGTAGTATTTGTTATCATTCCTTATCAGTATTGTCAATCAGCTCACCACTATGGTAGATGTACACCTCAGTTGCCATGACCTTATAATGTTTAAAACTTTGATGACATAGAATGTGGAAGAAGCACGGACATGTATGTGTATATATACCCGTAATACCGCACAAGGAGGTGGCGGAAGTTTCAAAGATAGGTTCGATGCTGTGAATGATGGAAGGCAGAGCAAACCCACTGATGGATTGACGAGTGGTTGGGGGCAGCGCAGTGTTGTTGGAATGTTGTAATGTTGTAATGTTCTAATGTTGTATTGCAGTTGTAGTTGTAGTTGTAGTGATGGTGGTAGTCGTTGTGGTTGTGGTTGTGGTCGTGGTTTGGACTCTGGTTGTGGTTGTGGTTGTGAATGTGGTTGTGATGGTGGTTGTGGTTGTGGTTGTGGTTGTGGTTGTGGTTGTGGTTGTGGTTGTGGTTGTCGTTGTCGTTGTCGTTGTCGTTGTCGTTGTTGTTGTTGTTGTTGTTGTTGTTGTTGTTGTTGTTATGTTGTTGTTGTTGTTGTCGTTGTCGTTGTCGTTGTTGTTGTGGTTGTTGTTGTTGTTGTTGTTGTTGTTGTTGTCGTCGTCGTCGTCGTCGTCGTTGTTGTTGTTGTTGTCGTCGTCGTCGTTGTTGTTGTTGTTATTGTTGTTGTTGTCGTGGTTCTTGTTGTGGTATTGGTTTAATTACTTAAGTTAGTTAAGATAGTTAAATTAGTTCAGTTCGTCAATTGAGCCACGTTCAAAACTGCCGGCAATTGATTTTAGTATTCGGTGGAATTTATTCTTTAAAAAATTGAATGGCGTCACGCGCGCGCAAGCTTTTCACAAGCTTCGCGCAAGCTCATGTACGCGCAAGCTTCGCGCAAGCCCGAAATCACGTAGATAATTGAAACAGAAATGAATGAATATACAACGAAAAGGGTTACACAACATAATGAGACCTGGGACGAGACGAGATGGGTGACGAGTTCCGTTGCTTCCTTGTTGCATTGTTTGCTTGGTATGTCGGCCCTCTGGCTTGCAAAGGTATAGTCAGTTTAAGCAAACAAGACTTTGAATGGATGTCATGGATTTTGAATGGTAATAGGCCATGGAGGCAACTGTTGCATGTAATTTTGACCCTTGACGATTTCACACATCCTGAATTTTGCGCAAGGTTCGCGCAAGGTTCGCGCAAGCAAAGGGGTTCCTGGCCACTATGCCCCACAGAAACCGGTAGCAAGATGATCGTAGACTCACCATATTGGCTACATTTTGCTACTATACTCTTTCTGAGCGGGACACTAAGCAAAACCACTGCACGGACTGGGAGCCATGCCACCGTACTGATTGTACCCTGGCTCAAGGCCATACACTCACTGGAGGCATTCAGGGACTACACTGCTGGCAAAATAGGAACTGCGTTGATTGGAGCCTAGAAGGCAAGAAGCCACCGGACAAGCCAAGAAGTCGAGAAGCTGAGAAACAACCGAGCGAGCCGAGAATCTGAGAAGCCAAGAAACCCAAGTCCGAAATCAGCTTCGTGCCTGCATCGCGCAAGCAAAAATGCACCAAATCTCAGGAATTCATCTTCGCGCAAGGTCGCGCAAGCTCAGTTTGAAAAATTGACCGCGCGCAAGCTCCCATTGTGGTCGCGCAAGGATGGCGCAAGGATTTCGCGAACGAAAGATGAATAATTTCCATTCAGTTTTAATTGAAGTTTTGAACACCGCTCAATTGACATTTCAAAATACGCTCAAAACCGTTAGGTTGTAACACTTTTGACTTGGAAATGTGCTTCGCGTCGCAACGGCGTGATTGCCATCGAAGTGTCAAAAAGTGGTTCGAGGATGTGGTGCTTGCAACATTTTCATTTGGACAGGTGTTTCGCGCCACAGCGCCATGTACTTTTTAGACAGCATAAGTTCCAAAACTGGCCCGAACGTTTGGTCATTTTAATAGTTTGATTTGAAATGTGCTTCGCGCCACAACAGTGTGCACTGGTTGGACATCTCAATTTCCAAATGCGGTCTGTACCCGTTTTTTTTTGCAATGCTTTTTACTTGGAAATGTGTTTCGCGCCACAACGGCCTGCAATGTTTCATCATTCGTCTGGCCAGCTGACTCCGCACCCGCCACAAATCATTGGATAAACACGGTGTTTCGCGACTTACCTAGCTTTTCGCGCATCTTTATCTTCTCGTTTCTGATTATCTCCTTCTTTGACTCTTTCCGTTTCTGATTTTCTCTCTTTTGACTTTCTCCACGGCTGAGCTTCTTCCTGGCTGCACTTTTCCATCTATTCATATTGTCGGATGTTTAGCTTCCAAACTTCTTTCGGTAAAGATTTTTGAGTCTCAAACTGGTTTTGTCGAAATTTAGCGACCCCTGTTATGCGTTACGAATTTGCCATGGCGAGAAGTAAAAACTTGTGTCTCTCGGGAAGTATTTGCTAAATGTTTAGGACTGAAGCAACATCAAATTTCGGCACTTATTGAATTGGCCTTTTCAACATTTTGTCGGGCAGGTTTGGACCTTCAACTTGTCATCGTGCTCGAACAAGTGTAATGGTCATGATGGGTGTGACTTCAGTCAATGCCTTTGTGAACCCTTGCGGTCGCATTCTCAGAGAGTCGGAAGGTAGTTTTCCAAGAGAGTGCTAAAGTCTGTGAGAATGTATAGTATGAGATGTTTTGCCTTTAGCCAAAATTATTGAATATTATTCAGTAGGTTTCAACGATCTTGTTAAATGAAAGGCTTATAGGCACTTTGGACGCTTTGTTCATCAACTGGATGTGGCTTGCGAAAGAGAGGATGAATGAGGTACGCGAATACAGTACATGTTTGGCGATTGAGGATTGGCAAAGTGGATCGATGGTGATTGCAAAAAAACGCTGACGATAAGGACCACCCATTTGTTGTCAGTGCAGCTAAATCTTTCTGAGTTGTTTGTTTTCCCGTGGTATGTCACAAGTGAAGGAACATATATGAATGTATACTACAATACTGTACGATGTGTGGTTCGTATGTATATGTATATATATATATTTAGATATATATATATATATTTGGATATATATATATACATATATATATGTATATATATATATATACATATATGTATATTATATGTATATATTGATAAATGCATATGTATATGTATATATGGATCATATATCGTATGGTATTGTAGTATTTGCTTTGCATTTTGGACTGTTGTTGCACTTAAGCAACGGCAAAGGAGCATGTCATCATCACAGTCGCCGGTTGTTGATGACTCATTTGCTCACTGTCGATGTCGAACATGCATTGTTGGTTTTCGGGTGCCACGTATTCTGAAAGTAATTTGGGATGCTTCCAGGAGCATAAAGAAACCAAACAATCAACCACGCTCTTTCACATGCAGCCTTCCTGCAGTACCTTTCATTTTATGCCACAAGGTTGACTCTGTAAGACACCCAAAATGACGATGTTATCTGTCTTGCCATGTCTTGTGCCAATTAAGCGAAGGATCCTTTGGAGGCCAAGGAGAGCATTGACGCAGCCAAAAATTCGAAGATGAAAGTTGCCAAGGTCAGATCTGGCGAGATATTGGTGGGGTTGAGTGGTTAAGCTCGAATTGGGGATAGAACATTTATTATCAGAATGGATAGGATGTATAGATTTATATCATAGGCTTGTTTGAAACATGGACAAAAACCCAAAAAGCTTGGTTTCAACCACCATTTTCCCTGAGAACAGCTATTAAGGATGGCGATGTTACGGTGGTATACCTGCGCTGACAGACACTCCCTGCGCTGGTTGGAACAAAAGGCAAACATTTTTTTCAGGTTTGCGGCTGATTTTTGCGGTGATGGTTGCAGTGGATATAGACTTGTGTTTTTTCTGTTTTTTTCAAACTGAGGTTCGATGGACAAGGCACTTGTTTCTTTCCCGAATGCGTAGCGAAGGGTTCTCGTTTTACCTTTGGGGGTCTGGGGGTGGAGGTGTGTTCGCGAGGCGCCGTGTTTTCTGAAGTGCCTAACGTGTCTTCTGAATCCCCAGAATTACTACCCAAATACTAGCCAAATATATGCCAAACATGTACTTCAACTGATATTAATTTCGTGCCAAAAACGCGCCAAAATCTAGCGAGAAAAAGTGCCTAACGTGTCTTCTGAATCCCAGAATTACTACCCAAATACTAGCGAAATATATGCCAAACATGTACTTCAAATATGTACCAGACATGTACATCAACTGGCACCTTCCAAAACATGTACTTCAACTGATACTTTCCAAGCAAGGTTCCTAAAGCTTCAAGGGACAGGACTCGAAACGCTCAAACACCACCTAATTTTGTGCCAAAAACGCGCCAAAATCTAGCGAGAAAAAGTGCTAACGTGTCTTCTGAATCCCCAGAATTACTACCCAAATACTAGCCAAATACATGCCAAACATGTACTTCAACTGATACTTTCCAAGCAAGGTTCCTAAAGCTTCAAGGGACAGGACTCGAAACGCTCAAACACCACCTAATTTTGTGTCAAAAACGCGCCAAAATCTAGCGAGAAAAAGTGCCTAACGTGTCTTCTGAATCCCCAGAATTACTACCCAAAATACTAGCCAAATATATGCCAAACATGTACTTCAAATATGTACCAGGCATGTACTTCAACTGACACCTTCCAAAACATGTACTTCAACTGATACTTTCCAAGCAAGGTTCCTAAAGCTTCAAGGGGCAGGACTCGAAACGCTCAAACACCACCTAATTTTGTGTCAAAAACGCGCCAAAATCTAGCGAGAAAAAGTGCCTAACGTGTCTTCTGAATCCCCAGAATTACTACCCAAAATACTAGCCAAATATATGCCAAACATGTACTTCAAATATGTACCAGGCATGTACTTCAACTGACACCTTCCAAAACATGTACTTCAACTGATACTTTCCAAGCAAGGTTCCTAAAGCTTCAAGGGGCAGGACTCGAAACGCTCAAACACCACCTAATTTCGTGCCAAAAACGCGCCAAAATCTAGCGAGAAAAAGTGCCTACCGTGTCTTCTGAATCCCCAGAATTACTACCCAAATACGAGCCAAATATCTGCCAAACATGTACTTCAAATATGTACCAGACATGTACTTCAACTGACACCTTCCAAACCCTGCTTGGCAACAGCTACAACAAGGTTGTTGTTGTTGTTGTTGTTGTGGTTGTTGTTGTTGTTGAAACCTCTCTTCCCTAACGCGCTCCCCCTTGCTCGGCCGGGGTCGGCGGATATATGTAGACCGATCATCTGCATATAGATTTAGGACTGCTGAAGTCCTACCTGGGACCTACCTGAGACTCTCGGTGATGGGTTTCCTGTAGTTTCACCCATCTCACATTGATATATGGGAGAAACTCCATAAATGGGGGTACCCCAGTAGCTGGATGGTTTATTTCATGGAACATCCTAATCTAAAATGGATGATAACTGGGGGTACCCCCATGACTTAGGAAACCCCCATATCATGATACATCTATGCCATGAATCCCATTGCTTAACCTCCTGAACTAGACCAACTAAGGGGGCCTTTGGTCACAGCTTTGCCAATGGTTTTCAGTGTAAAGTTGGTGCGTCCCTTCGGTTGATTCCCCTTCGCCAGTCCGGCCCGGGGTGCAGTTGGGGTTGATGACCGAACCATGGGAATTGGCCCATAAGTTGGGATATGACCCCTATAGCTATACCCTCTGGTAAACTAACATAGCTATGGAAAATCACTATTTTTAATGGGTAAATTCACTATAGATGGCCATTTTCAATAGCTATGTTAGTTTACCAGAGGGTAGTTACATCCAATTATATCTGGACCTCACCCCCAAACACATGTTTTTGACCCTGGCATATGGAATGTTTAAAACCAGCTAGCACGTTCAGGATGTTGACCCAAATTTTGAGGGCTAAGCGCAGTGTCTTCAAGCTGTGTTGGGCTAGAAATTTGGGGCTGATGCCTTCCATGGTAGAATTCCACTGAGATTGGTTGCACATTGGTTTCATGTCTCTTGTTTTCCATGGCTAAAGACAATCTCACATCCAACGGCTTGCTAAACTTGCCATTCCAGAGCCAGTCGCCCTGAGAATCTCTAGCTGTGACGCGAATGTCGCTCCCCACGATTCTACAGCACGAGGCATGCTCAGAAGTAGCGCTGTAGCTCTAATGTTGTGGTTGCGCTCTGCCATTGCTGCTTGGCCACGAGCAAGGAGCAACTTTCCAGCGACGTTGTAAGCCGCTTTTGGGCTCGGGTTGGCCCTGCTGATTTGCTTTCCATGGCGGCCCACTCTTGCAAGGCAGGCTCGCCAAGCAACCAATGGAAACATGTTAAGCAATCGCGGGGAAACCAAATCTATGCTGCCCCTATCGCCTATCACCCCTTCATAGCCACGGCTGCGCGATTCTTCAGCCGCTGGCCATCTGGAATTTCCATGTGCTGAGGGCTTCGATGTTGCCCTACTTTCAAAAGATGGACGTCAAGGCGGGGCTTTGCACATGCTAGGCAACGGCAGTGGTGGTGCTGCTGTTTCAGGTCAACATTTTTCTGTTCCGCATGTGCTTCTCAAGCAAAAGTAGTATGTGGTTGTTAAATCACGGGATTGCAATTTAGAGGAGTCACTTCGCCCAACCTCAGGGCGTTGAATTCCAGTTGGCCAGCGTGGTTGCCATGATCCCATGGTCCATGTGCCTTGGTTTTGATGCGTCATGTGGTCGTACATGGCTGGCCCGAGTGCAGCAACTAACGTGCTTTGCAAAGACAACGCCACGAGCTTGCTGGCCGGCCCCCAAGTTTGGATCCCTACATGATGCATCATAGTTGGGACCCCTGTTGTAAACAAAGTTGAAAGACTTTGAAAGTTTCCGAAACAGAAAACTCGCAATCATGCTGACGCCCAAAATTGCGGGTTCTGATGCATAAAAAAGGCAACGTGAATGCATATGAAGGTTTGGCACAAAACCGCGCAGTGTTTTTTCAGCATTGAAACCCGTCAATCCGTCAAACGGTGGAAATACCATGCGCCAAGGAAAGGCTTCATTGGCGTCCTCAGTGACATTGTTCCAATAGGAGCATCTTCGGGGCTTTCGGGGTGCCAGCAAAGGGCAGTGTGTTCCTGCTTCGGCTTTGAGCCAGGAACCCATGAAAGGCGTACATTTCAGGTGCAGCACATAAAACTATATGTATGGATGATAATTGGGGTATTTGCTGTACACGTGAACAAATGCATTTATATAGATCTACCAACTGTGCATGGAACATTTGGTACACGGAGAAACACAGTTCATTCCCAGAACTGAAACGATAAGCGCTGGAAATTGACACTGGGTTATCCATCATTATTCGCACTTGTGAATTTACAGCTTAAAGTGGTAGGTGAAAAAATTGCCGTTGATGTCTACGCTTAAAAAAAATACTTTACTTCGAGTTATCCCCACCATGACATTTATACATTTTGTTACTGGTAAATCTTCTGGCATTCTATCTGACATACCTTCTGGCATTTTATCTGGCATATCTTCTGGCATTCTATCTGGCATATCTTCTGGCATTCTATCTGGCATATCTTCTGCAATCTGTTCTGGCACATCTTCTGGTCTATCTGGCATATCTTCTGGCATATCTTCTGACTTTCTATCTGGCATTCTATCTGGCAAATCTTCTGGCATTCTATCTGGCAAACATTCTGGCACTTTATCTGGCATACCTACTGGCATTCTATCTGACATTCTATCTGGCATACCTTCTGGCATATCTTCTGGCAGTTTATCTGGCATATCTTCTGGCATTCTATCTGGCATTCTATCTGGCCGTTGAGGTCCAGCGGTGCACACTGAGCTGGGAAGGTCCCAGGTTGAGGTCCAGCGGTGCACACTGAGCTGGGCAGGTCCCAGGTTGAGGTCCAGCGGTGCACACTGAGCTGGGCAGGTCCCCGGTTGAGGTCCAGCGGTGCACACTGAGCTGGGCAGCTCGCAGGTTGAGGTCCAGCGGTGCACACTGAGCTGGGCAGCTCGCAGGTTGACGTCCAGCAGTGCGCACTGAGCTGGGAAGTTGGCGAAGAGCTTGGCGACGAGTTGGCAAGGTTGGCAAGGCGGAAGTGGAGGTGGAAGAGGCGGAGGCGAGGAGGAGGGCGAGGAGGACAGCTAGTCGAGGAGGAGGAGGAGGAGAAGGAGGAGGCGGAGGAGGAGGAGGAAGCGGCGGGCATGCGCTCTGATAAAATCTAACAAGCCTCACCTGGCAGGTGGGGAACAAACACATGATGTTTGATTCCCATCGTATTGGAAAAGTCAAATTGGCCCGTTTGTTTTTATTGCCGTCCATGTTCCTTAACATAAATATCATATGCATGGATTGTCCATGTTCCCCGGGAGGGCAATTGCAATGGCAGGGGCTGAACAGAACTCTACATGTAAATGTATGTAAATGTTACGGTGTTACGTGGAAATAGTCGGTCAGAGGAAGAGTCAATGCATCCAGAAAGACAAATAGAATGAGATGCCAGTTGGAATCATTCCAGCGCTGCCCAAAACCATCATAGCACGGGACTCAAGTATTGAGAAACAATAAACGGCACAACATTTTTTTTGAATCTTGTGGCCATCCTGTGTGGGATTGTCTGAGAATGGGATCCCCCAAAATTTTTCATGGTTCAAAACCATTCAACAGGCCATAACTGGAGGTGTATTACATACATCCTATATTGATGTGTATGTGTTTTTCATGTTTTTTCATCAAAATCCCCATGATGGCTATATATCTTACCAGCTCAATCCCCATGATCTTTGGGGAACGCCATTTGCACATATAAAAAAACAACATCTATTGACATGTTTCGAGGACGCTTCCATAAGCGCGGCTACTTGCTGGTGTCGTCCCTACTGGGCCTGGTGGGCATCGGTATGTTGGGCTTCTTCGAACAAGGTCGATCAGGCCCGGGGGCTTTTCCCTGGGCGATGAGAACATGAGGTACCCTCTGGTAAACATACAAAAAACTATAGAAAATCACCATTTTTTATAGGTAAATCAACATAAATCACCTATAAATGGCAATTTTCAATAGCTATGTTAAATTACCGGAGGGTACTGTATTGCAATATCTTGGAGCCAAACCTTTCATTTTGCATTGATAGTTTTGCTCATTCTTTGGAAACCAAGAAACCAAAAACCCAAAAAACAGAAACCAGACTGAAAATCCACCTGCCCAAAACAAAAAACAAGAGCACCAATGAAAAACACCGAACATTTGATGACTCCCATCGAAAATTGATGACACACAATGACACAAAAACATGAAGAGTGCCAGATTCCAGGCCAAACAAATAAACACGTAATAAAAAAAACGCAGCAAAACATTCCAACCCTATTCAAATATTCCAATTTTTCATAGTTAAATTTCTAACATGTTTGATAGTTAAACCTCCTGTTTTCAGAAGAATAATGCATGTCGGAATAAGAATTGTTGATAATAGTTAGCTTGTACGATGCTTGGGCGTTCAAACAACCAAAATTGTTGAGTTTGTGCCATTGACCTGATCTTCTGCGCAAATCAACGCAAATAGTAATACACCCACAAATACCCGCAAAATGCATGTATCAAACCTGCAACGGCAACAATCCGCAAAACGTGGGAAAATGACCAAAAGGATCCAAAAAACAAACGACCAACATTTTCTGATAGTCTGATAGTCCAGGACATTTTTTTTCTTCTCTTGAACCAATCCATTGATAATCGAGTCATTAAATATATCCTGGTTGATTGGTTAGTTGGGGCTTATACTGCCTAATTTGTTGATATTTGTTGAGGATTATGATATCCATAGCGAAACCATACGAAACCATTACCAGCCTTTTTTTTTCGTTCGACGCCAGGTGACCCTTGGTTCGCAGCCGTGTTGTTTGCCATGGCCTTTGCTTTCATCGCCACATTTGACCTGATACTGGGCGATGATGTTCGTGGCGGGCAATCTACATAATCTACCATCATCACGGGTGATTTAACATGATTTAACCACTAAAAAAAAAATGACGGTTTCACCATGCGAAATGGCAATTTTTTCTAGGACATTGATGGAATTCAACCGGGATTGAATGGGATATCATGGGATAATAATGCATGTAGCCATTGGGAATGGGAGGATTTAGAGGCAAATGAGGCAAGGGGGCATGCGGGATTTATGAGAAATTGATGGGATTTATTCGACATTCTATTGACATATCATGAGATTATGGTATAATTTAATGATATCATGATATCATGAGATGGTATTTCACCAATCATTGGGAATGAACTGATTTACTCGATGAAATAGGGGTTTTCATTGGGGAAACATGGTGATATGATGGGGATTGGGGATATCATTTTTTGCCGAGGGAAGCCGACAGATCATCCCAGTTACCTCACTCGGGTGTCGCCATACCGATCTGGACAAGCTATGGCAGCTGGTTTTCTCCGAGGGTCTGCTGGTGGGTGAAAACCAGTGAAAAGCCCATCGTATTTTGGATGTAGGAAAAGCAGGAGGCTATCTGGGTACACCTCTAGAATTGGGATGATGTCTGTTATGACCGGCCCATGGAGATAGTGACCTGGTGGCCACGGCGGCGCCCCGAAAGCCGCGAGGCTTTGTGAAGGCAAGTACTCCGAGGTGATGAGAGAGCAGCAGGCCCGAGGATTCGAAAGCGAACGTGGTGATTTAAGCATCAATGATGGGATACTCTATATATATATACGGATATATGATATATGGGTGCAAGTCAAATTATAATTTCCGGAACAAGGTCCGGGACCACACCCGTTCCATACCCCCGTTCCATACCTCCGTTCCATACCTGTTTGAAGGATCCGTTACATACCTCTGATCCATACGTTCTGATATATACGCATATATAACTATATATATTATATAAATGGGCTAACGCCCAGGTGCCGCCGACCCCCTTTCAAGGGCGGAGCGGCGGGGAACGGTCAAAACGGCCCACACGTGCAGTAGTCCAAACGTACAAATATTATGGAACTTTTGAAGGACTAGGTAGTGTAAACATAGATTGTGGGACAATGAATCGAATGTATTGATATCAGGGATTTCCGTGTCTGTTCATCGTAGGGTTGTGAGGTTCTGAAGCCTTCAAAAGCTGCTGCGGAGGTTTTGAGGGTTTTAAGGGCCTTGGAAAGCTGCTGCGGAGGTTTTGAGGGTTTTAAGGCCTGCCCAAAACGTGCCACGTGGCAGTTTCGAAGCCCAATAGAAACAGCTTGTGGGGCCTAGGGAGGTACCATGGCCAAAGCAAGCGGGACGCCTGCGAAAGCTGCTGCGGAGGGTTGTGAGGTGCTGAGGCCTTCGAAAGCTGCTGCGGAGGTTTTGAGGGTTTTAAGGCCTGCCCAAAACGTGCCACGTAGCAGTTTCGAAGCCAATAGAAAGAGGTTGTGGTGCCTAGTACCATGACCGAAAGCTGCTGCGGAGGGTTGTGAGGTTCTGAGGCCTTTGAAAGCTGCTGCGGAGGTTTTGAGGGTTTGAAGGCCTGCCCAAAACGTGCCACGTAGCAGTTTTCGAAGCCCAATAGAAACAGCTTGTGGGGCCTAGGGAGGTACCATGGCCGAAAGCTGCTGCGGAGGGTTGTGAGGTTCTGAGGCCTTCGAAAGCTGCTGCGGAGGTTTTGAGGGTTTTAAGGTGTGCCCAAAACGTGCCACGTGGCAGTTTCGAAGCCCAATAGAAACAACTCGTGGGGCCTAGGGAGGCACCATGGCCAAAAGCTGCTGCGGAGGGTTGTGAGGTGCTGCGGAGGTTTTGAGGGTTTTAAGGCCTGCCCAAAACGTGCCACGTAGCAGTTTCGAAGCCCAATAGAAACAGCTTGTGTGGCCTAGGGAGGTACCATGACCGAAAGCTGCTGCGGAGGGTTGTGCGGTTCTGAAGCCTTCGAAAGCTGCTGCGGAGGTTTTGAGGGTTTTAAGGCCTGCCCAAAACGTGCCAAATAGAAACAGCTTGTGGGGCCTAGGGAGGTACCATGGCCGAAAGCTGCTGCGGAGGGTTCGGAGGTTTTGAGGGTTTGAAGGCCTGCCCAAAACGTGCCACGTAGCAGTTTCGAAGCCCAATAGAAACAGCTTGTGGGGCCTAGGGAGGTACCATGGCAAAGCAGGCGGGACGCCTTCGAAAGCTGCTGCGGAGGGTTTTGAGGTTCTAAATCCTTCGAGGTTTTGAAGGTTTAAGGGGTGCCCAAAACGTGCCACGTAGCAGTTTCGAAGCCCAATAGAAACAGCTTGTGGGGCCTAGGGAGGTACCATCGCAAAGCAGGCGGGACGCCTTCGAAAGCTGCTGCGGACGGTTTTGAGGTCGGAGGTTTTGAGAGTTTTAAGGGGTGCCCAAAACGTGCCACGTAGCAGTTTCGAAGCCCAATAGAAACAGCTTGTGGGGCCTAGGGAGGTACCATGACCGAAAGCTGCTGCGGAGGGTTGTGAGGTTCTGAGGCCTTCGAAAGCTGCTGCGGAGGTTGTGAGGGTTTTAAGGCCTGCCCAAAACGTGCCACGTAGCAGTTTCGAAGCCCAATAGAAACAGCTTGTGGGGCCTAGGGAGGTACCATGGCCGAAAGCTGCTGCAGAGGGTTGTGAGGTTCTGAGGCCTTCGAAAGCTGCTGCGGAGGTTTTGAGGGTTTGAAGGCCTGCCCAAAACGTGCCACGTAGCAGTTTCGAAGCCCAATAGAATCAGCTTGTGGGGCCTAGGGAGGTACCATGGCAAAGCAAGTGGGACGCCTTCGAAAGCTGCTGCGGTTGTGAGGTGCTGAGGCCTTCGAAAGCTGCTGCGGAGGTTTTGAGGGTTATAAGGCCTGCCCAAAACGTGCCACGTAGCAGTTTCGAAGCCCAATAGAAACAGCTTGTGGGGCCGTGGGGCCTAGGGAGGTACCATGGCAAAGCAAGTGGGACGCCTTCGAAAGCTGCTGCGGAAGGTTGTGAGGTTTTGAGGCCTTCGAAAGCTGCTAGAGGAACTTGGAAAGGTTCCGAGGCTTCGAAGCCAAAGCCGGCACAGGGTCATGCCGCACACCTACGGTGATCCCGGGCGCCGCCCCGCCTAGGCCAAGGCTAGGCAGGGGTCGGCGGATATATATATATATTTGAATTGTGCCATCTGATTTTACATTTGTACGCACATACATGAGCGCACATGCATGCATGAGTGCATACATGCAAGAATACATTTACTATGCCCAAGCCCTGTGATTGCGTTGGCAAGTCTGTGCCTGCAGCACTTACAGCTGCTACCTACTTTGTTGTGTGATGGTAGGGATGTGCTTGGCGGCTGCCAGCTGGCAGTCTAAGAATGGATTGCTTGTAACCCTCCCTACCTGTCAACCTGTGGCAGGTTTGCGCCTGCACCACTTACAGCTGCTGCCTGCTGCGGCACAGCTGTGATGTTTGATGGCAGAGATGCGCTTGGCTGCTGCCAGCTGGCAGTCTAAGCATTGTTTGCTGCGCTATTCTGGCTCCAAACGGCCATTTTTGATGTGCTGCGTGGTGGTGCTGGAGTGGGCCGTTTCGTTCCAGACCCCGTTCGATACCGTTCCATACCCGTTCCAGACCTGGAAGGTTCTCACATAGACTGCTCCTAAGCCATCCTTTGCGCGTGGGTTATGGGAGCCTGGGGTCTTGTACGCGGGGACACAATCTACCCCATAGGGACCTCTGAGTTTTAAGAGTAGGAGGTGGGACCTGCGTGACAGGTCTGGACAGCTTCACATGGTAGCCAGTGGGTGACGCTGGCTACCGGTTGTGTCCTATCTAGTGCAGGACCACTAGCCATGCAAGGCAAACCTGCGTTGAACAGGTGTACAACAAGGATGTCGTGCAGATGAGAAGTGAAAATGAGCGGCAGCCAGCGTGAGTAGCTTCAACGTGCATATCTTTGGGATGAATATTATATACATTACATATATACAGTTTACATATATATATATATACATATATATATATATACATATATATATATATATATATATGTAAAGCCTATATTTCATCACACTCCAAAGGTCCGGAACAAGACCAGTTACGAAACCGCTTCGTTCCTTACGTCCGGAACACCGCGGAACGTTCCATGCACAATTTTGACCCGCAACCATATATATGATATATTATATGTTTATATTTGATAAATGTAAATGTATAGATATGTATATGTATAGATATATGTACATATATAAATATTTCTATATATATATATATATATTTATATATATTTATATATATATATTTATATATATATAGGCACCTGGTTTGTGTGGAAACCGGGGATACACCACTTGTGTCGATCAGACAATGGGAACAAGATGATTAATGATCAACTCTGATGCTTTTGGGCATTCCGCATTTTTGGTCAAGGCCATATTGGAATTTGCACCAGCCAGCACCAGCAAACCATCCCACTGAAGGGTTAGCAATTTAGATCCATATCCGCCTCAGAGTTGATTCCTCAGTCTGAAGGTTGGATATTACGTCAGGATATGATTGTACTGTTTGTACGAGTTAGTTTCAATCAAACTCTACAACATCCATTCTTTTTTGGTGAAGTCTCATCATGTAATCATCTCAATGTTTGCTAGGTAATTGTGGGTTTTTGAAAGCCACAATCCAGATTTAGTGCATTGGTTTATATTTTCAATTTGACTTAAGGCTACGATGGTAGATTGTGTATTTTTGCTGGTCCTAGCTCTCAAGTCTGGGGTACATGCTTATAAACACTTGTTATAATGTGGTAAACCCATCCTAATTTCAGAAACCATCCGCAATATCCCAAACATGCCCGATAGACTTGAATGTGGCAAATCCACTAGTGAGCCATCGCCCCTTTCTGTACCAGTTTGGGGAAATATTTAGAAACCATACTGGGTTGGTCCAAAAAAAATGCTGGGAACCCTCTTTTTCCATCCAGGCGGGCTCGGAAGTGCTGACCTTCGCAGCTTTGACAAATGGCAGATGTCATAGGGGATTTTGTCAAGAATCATGGTAATATGATGGACATTATATATATAAATATTATATATATATACATACATATTCAAGATTATTTAAGTATATATACACATGATATCACATGATATATTAAGGGTTTATATGATATTATGGATGCGTATATATGATACCAGGAATGAATACATATATATATATATAATAAAGGACAATAGAATATTGAAATATGAAGATAGGAATATACTTATATATATATGTTCAATGGGGATATACTGTAACCGACAACCTATTATATTTGGATGTGTCTGAACATGGGGCGTTCCATGGTGTAACATCAAAATTGCAATTTTAATGGGGATGTGGTTTAGGGCACCCTGCTGTTTGGGAACTCACTTCTTTTCGATTTCCTCACAAAGGGGCCAGGGGCTCAGGTATATATCCACCATTTGCGGGATCTTCAGGGACTTTGTCCCCCAAAGATTGAATTCCATAAAATCTGGGTAGACCAAAAGCCAAAAGGCATTCATGGGGTTACCCACCAAAACGGAGATACTTTCGAACAGTCTTGCGAGTAGCAGAAGAGATACATACAACAACTTCAATACCTATGAATATGTATAAGTATATTCATTGCATCCCATTTTTTTATCCCATTGATGTCCTAAAAATGATTGGTGGACAGATTTCTTTGATGTTCAATCTACTGGGGAGAATGAAGAATCCAGCAGTAGACTGGCCAGTTTTGGGAATGCTTTTAAGTTGTATGGAATTGTGTCAACTAGCCAGTATCTTCCATAGATAATCATAGATACCCCTTTGGTATTTTATACAACAGAGCTACGGAACATGCCCCATGTAGAGATTATATCTAAATTATATACCAATGAAACATGGTGATCTTCCATGGCTAAGCCAAGTTCCGAGTCCGAGATGGTATATCAGTTGAAGATATAGTGCCGATTTGTAGGTTATCAGTCGAACATTGGGGAGAGGCCACAGCCATGCATAACCTGCGGATAATGGCGGGTATAGTTGCTGTATCTCAACATGTTTCTCCATCTCATGGGGGATGAGAAAACTCTGCGATCCCCCGAAAAAAATCATGGGTTCAACCCCAGGTTTGGGATAACTTCCCTTTACCCCTTTTTGTTAATCCTCCCTGGGTTTGTTTGAATTTGGATATTTCGTTGCGGCCCACCCCCATCTTTGAGCGTCATATTGCTATTGTGACAGGAGTAGCCACTTTTCCCCAAGCGAATTGTCTACAAAGAACTTGCTGTGACTTCAGCCACTCTAAAACCATCCTCCGAAAATTTTGAAACATCGTTTTTCATCGTTTTTCCCATGGTTTTTCCCCAGTCAACTCCTCATCTTTGATGCTGAACATCCATCATTTTTCCCCACGCAGTGTGGATCCCCCAACCCCAACCACCGAGGTCTGGGCCTCTGTCCAACTCGGAGCCCTTCTGGCTTCACTGCTGTTGATGGCAGTCATCGATGATGTGCTGCCCAGGTATCTCAGCGCTGCTATGAAAAATACTCACCGGGGGAGGGGGATATTCCGTGATATTCCATTGATCTGACTTGGGGTATATATAATATATATATATATATTATATATACATATATATATATATTGGTTCTTACGCGTTGACTAACTGGGATGCACATCCAAGCAACGTGGTAAACCCAATGCCACGAACCATCCCCAATATTTTCATAAATGGGTAGAAAAATAATCCCCAAATGGTAGTTGTGTATTCCCACATGACTACAACTATTACAAATTAACCAGGAAATTTCCCAAGGTGCACACTGGCATCCCTATGTCCCATTAAATCCCATGCAAAGTCCAAATTTTTGGTTAAACCATTAGTATCCCAGTTTAATATACACATTATACCCAGCGATATACCCAACGATCTCCCTCATAAATCCCATGAAAGATGTGATTTCCTAACTAGACAATCCCAGGGATTTCCCTAGGGATTTCCCTAGGGATTTCCCTTGGGAAATGGTATCCCGTCAGGATGGGGCCCCAGTTAGGAATCGCTAAGTTGGTGCAAATAACTATAACAAGTTGGTCTAAGATACGCAAATAATTCTTCTATTTAGACGGGGTTTTCTCAACCAACAAACATAACTGGGCACCATCAAAATCATGGGTTTACTAAACTGGTCTAATTTGGGATGATTATTTTGAACTACCACCATTTTGAGAAACCTATATATATATATAATTATATATATATATATTACACATAATATATATATAGTACACATAATATATACACATATGAATATATATATATATACACATATGTATATATCCCATGGTTTTTTTTGAATCAAAAAAGGCACTTGATCTTCTGCATGCTCCCCTTCACCATGCTGGCCGCCTGGCGCACCGCCGCTGGGGATCTGCCCGAAGAACCCGCACCTTGCCGCGACACTTTTTGGGCGCGACCTGGGAAATGATGCCGGGAAATGCGTGTTTTTTTCCAGGGAAAAACCTGGGAAATGATGGGAAATGTTGGTTCTTTTCTAGGGAAATATCTCCGGAAATGGGATGAAGCAGATGAATCTTGGAACTGGTTTGAAGATATTTAAGATATTTAAGGATGCTTAAGAGAACATCAAGAGGACAATTCCATGTTGTTTCGAAAAATGAACACATGAGTGTCTGCTAAAAATCGTCAAACCGTGGTTTCTGTACAATCCTTCCAGTTACACAAGACTAGGAACCCATCGGACAAAAGCTCAGGATAGAGAAGGACATTGGTCACATTGACCAACTGATCTGAAATTCGGATCATCAGATATCCACAAGAGGTATGCTAGTGACAGGGAATGGGATGGAATGCCCACTCTGGATCCATCGGGGGTCAAACAGACCTATGGAAAAATCCCAAGCTTCACCTTAGAATTGGATGGATGGTCGCCCCAAAATTTGATGGAAAATCAACGAAAATAGGATATTTTAAGATAATTCAACCATTTTTAGCAATCCCCATTCTGATGAGTTGTTTCAAGCTCTAGCATTGCACAAGGCTCAGGCATCGTTGGACATGCCAGGGGCACACCATGGATTTGACACCAGTTGGAAATTCTTGGAGGCAGCGATGCCGAACGCCGAGCTTTCAGAATCCGTTGCTGGCGCCTCTTCCAAAGAAATCATCAAAAAACACATTCAAGAAGATGATTCAATATGGGGTCTCAACGGTCTCAACCAAGAAACATGAGCTTTGAAATGCAAATTTACATTAAATCAACAGAACTGAAAACCATTTAAGGATTTGGGTCAAAACTTGGATGCCCAAAAAAATGGAACGGCAACAAAAGCAACAATGCCCAAATGTTGAAGGCGCTTCTCGGCCTTCAATTGACAAGTGGGTGTGGGTTTGATTCATGTAAAATCAGTTCTCATCAACAAAACTCGGGAAATACTCAACTACTCTACGCACTACTCTCTTAGTGTTTTGGTGGTTTCATTTTTGCTGGTAGGATGTTTCATCGCTGTTTGGCATGAGCAACCCCCAAGTTATATTGTTTTTTGTGATTGGTTGAACCTGTCAAACAGCACTTGTTGCATGCGTGATTCAACATACCGGTATATCAATGTATATCACACCTGCCACGGAACATGTTGCATCAAAAAAGAGTTGTATCGCCACAAATGCACACAATTCTGATTCCCCCCTAGCTCTTGGTCTTTTTTTAAATATGTCTTCCGCCCATCAGTGAACTTACACCCCAAAACCTCATCAACCAGCCATATTTTCCGGGTTTCCTAAGTCATGGAATAAACCCACAGTTATCATCCATTTAAAATAAACCATGGAATAAACCCCAGTTATCATCCATTTAATAAGCCTTAAGTCATATTACCCCAGTTAAGTCATTACCCCAGTTATTAGCCCAGTTAAGTCATTGGGATTCTCCATGAGCGAGGCACGGAGTTGGAAATCGCTACGAGCCAAGGTGCGAGCCAGTGGAAGTGGGAAAAAAAACTGGATGAATTGAACATGCTTTAGTTAATAGTAATAATATATATATAATGAATTCATAGTAATAATGATGATAACAATAATAATAATAAATGAATATGTTAATATATGTAAACTATATGTTTGTATACTTACGATTCACATCTGGGCTGGATGTTTTTGCCCTCTAACCCTCAAAATCAAACACATCCCCCCAAAGTACCAGTGACTTACCCACAGATGGCCCTCTAAATCAACAAGGTACTCCTATTCCTTATTAAACACCCACCTTATTTTCTAGTAGTCCTAGTAGTCGGGGGATTTCCACATCAGAATGACATCATCCCCGGCCGGGAACGAGGCGTTTTCCGAGCCTCACCTGTTTCAGTTGGATCTTCGGCCGCACTGGGCTGGTGGGTTTGGCTGGATATACCCTCTGGTAATTTAACGTAGCTATTGAAAATGGCCATTAATAGTGGATTTTCCCATTAAAAATGGTGATTTTCCATAGCTATGTTAGTTTACCAGAGGGTACCCCACTTCAAAGAAACAATGAGAAATCTAAACTTTTGATACCACATGTTGACCCATACCTGGAGAGGAGTGAATGATTTGGATGCTATACAGCAAAAAAAGTATGTAGCGACCTGAACGGACTCACCAGACATAATGACTTGGGTATTCCCCCCAGCGGATACTGAAGATTATTGTTAGGGGGCACCACTAAAAATGTATTCGACAGTTTGCAGCCATATTTTTTGGCAGGACTAGGTGCCAAATCGGAAAAACTGACAATGTGGGTTGAGGATGGTTGGGGGATAATCCAAGATGTGCTGTATCCATATGTATCCATAATATGATGATATGATGGATGTCTAAAGTTTGGGAACTCTTCTTTAATGGAACGGATCACTTTTTTGTTCCAGCTTTGAGACTTCGTTTGGCAAGGTCAACCCCGCATTTTTACCCCGCATGAGATGAATTGGGGTTAGTCAATCCCTTGCCCCCAATGTTCAACGCCACAGAAACCATGGTTTCATAGGAACCGTTAAGGAACCATTACTTTTATGTTTAGTAGGGAATTTCCATGGGAATTTCCACATTTTTGTTGGGACCTTATTTTTCGGATGTTGAACATATGAACGGGGGGATGGTTGGGTGACACGCTGCTGACACGCCATCTGACACGCTGCCGAGGCCATGTTCATGGCGCTGGGGAGTTTGGTTCTGGCGGCCGTTGCCACCTTCCAAACTCCCAAGGTGGGATGCACCGGGAAAAAATGTGGTTGGTACCCAACCTGGTTATGACTAACATAGCTATGGAAAATCACCATTTTTAATGGGAAAATCCACTATAAATGGCCATTTTCAATAGCCATGTTAAATTACCAGAGGGTACCCTCTGGTTATGACTAACAGTTCGCCATGAGCCATGGTCAAAATATATGGCCCATAGAATCGAAATAGATGGTTTACCGTTCTTAAAAATGGTGATGATTTTCCATGGTAACTGGCATAATATAACTTATAAATAATTCCCAGCAAACTCACAAGTTTTTTTTTTTAAAGTTATATAAGGGTTGGTATAGGATGAATGGTGGTCATATGGAAATCTTGTGGGAAAACGGGCTAACCATATTGGGTCAACCTTGTAATGGGTAGCCCACCCTGATTGGCCATGGTACAAGCCACGAAATTTCCCATTCTTCGTATGAAAGCATCCACTTAAAGGGGGGTTACAGTAGCAAATTTGACCCATACCTGTTTTTTTTTGGGGGGTGTTATTTCAGCTGTTTTCCTCATGGAGGATGTGATAACTTTTCTTTTAGATGGGTAGCGAAGGCAGCAGGATTGGTGCAATTGGTGTATGCAGGATTCTGCACGGCTTGTTTGGAAAAACTGCATCACTGGAATCGCAGCATGACATGGCTCTGTGATGCTCTGTGATGTTCCCGCATTTGCTACAGTGTTACATGTCAGTAGCAGTACTTCTATACCCAAATCAACTATAGATTCGTTTTTTTTCAAGATTTTGTCAGATTGGTGATCGTTGCAGGACATGCCAATATTTTTTGTCCTAAAGCCCACGGCAGATTGAAACCAAGCTGTGGCCCACGATCGAAAATTGCTGTTCCCATTTAAGTAGCCATTTCTCCTCAGGGATTTCTTGTTGCCATCTTTGATCACTGGAGAGTGACCACCAAAGTTAAATACGTACAGTATATATGCATAGTATATATATATATTATATGCATATAGTATATATATATATATATCTGTAATGTATATATATATAGATATGTATATATAGTATATACAAAAATGCCAAACATCATCTGGTCCCCAACTATGTGGTTTTGGGCGCCCTGCATGATAGATGCTGAATTGGTTGAGCAGGGCTTTGGCAAAAAGACCGCAAGCACCAAATTTCCCCTCATTCCATTTCCGCCTAATTCTTTTTTTTTCCGCCTAATTCCGTTTTGTTCCGCCTAAATTCCGGTTTTTTCCGCCTAAATTCCGGCTAAACATGCCGAGGCCAAAAACTTGTTCAACATTCAACATGTTTTGAAAACGGGCCCCCATTGGTATTCCTTGATTCAAAAGTACAAACCAGTTGAGAGTTCAACCCCGTCGAGATTGGACCCGTTGGGGGATGCTTTTAAAAAAAGTGCCGACAGGAGTAAGGAAATGCCGACACATTGGATGTTCCGGGTAATTCCGCCTAGGAGCTAGAGTAGGCGCCGAGGGCAGAAAAATGTGCCCAATGGATCTTCTAGGTATATATAGATATATTATGATATATTATGATATATTCCCATTCTATTCCATTGTATCTCCATTTTCATCACTCAAATGCCATGATTCTCTTCAGTTTGGGGTACCAGGGCACCGTCCCTGGCTCGGCCAGTTACGCTTTTTCTTGGTGGTCTCAATCTCTTCGTGGCCTGGTGACATGGGAAGATGTTACAATGGGAAGCCCCCGAACGAAATTGGGCCTTTAATTTAATGGGTAAATCTTCAATGGATGAATTTCCAATGTTAGAGGGTACAGGTTCGGGCCGTGCCCCGGCTGAAAGTTGATGCTTTCCACGAAAAAAGATCAATCCTCTTTGATGTATACTAGACCTATTTGTACTTGATGATCCATACTTGGAACATCTTGGACGAAATACTGTATCCATACATACTGATACATAAATATATATATATATACTGTTACTGCACATTATATATATATGTAACTATATATATATATGTAACTATATATGTAACTATATATATATTTATACACATTGTTTTAATATGACTAACTATATGTGATGCCCTGAGCATCCAGCATCGCTGCCTTAGGCAATCCAATCCTGGGTCGCCAAGGTGTCTAATTCTCTTCTCCTTCCGCACATTGCCGAGAGTACTCGCCCGAAGCGACCTGGATTTCGTTGGATGAACATGATCATTGGATTGGCTTTGTTGGGAACATCTTAACCGGAAAACATCTACCGATTTTCCCATGAAAAAAAATCATGGGGGGTTCCTGTAATTTTTTCCCGCAAAGCAATCCAATGATCATTTATGTACCATTTTAATGGTGTTGATGCGAATTACAGGCTATCATGGTTTTGATTTACCACAAGACGATGGAGCAACAAAGACACAAAATGGCGGCTTCTGTAGCTGGTTTGTTGAGGTGGTCAGTACCGAATTCTGGCAAAAACAAAAACGAGATTCTGTGCAAAACAAGTTTTTTTCAACCCAGCATCAACAAGCGCCAGATAGTTAAAAGAATATACACATGAATAAAATCACATGATATCTTACATGAAAGACACCCGTGCTTTTCGTTCAAACAATCTCTCAAAAACATTGGAGAAATGATGACAGGCCGGTGCTCTTTAAGCGTTTTTTTAAAGGATGGGAATCTGAGTTTGGCTGAGGTAATCTCTACATGTTTCTCATCTCAATTGCCTACATGGACCTTTCGGGACCACTGGCCTACTGGTATACAGGCCCCAGGGGAACCAGGGGAACCCCCCAGGGAAATGATCTAATGCTGGATAAAAATCATTATAGATATAAACATATATTTGAATATACAAATCTAACTATTTATATGACTATATTTCTATATATGTATATAAATAACTACAGTATTATATATATACAGCTATGTATATATAACTATATATATGTACAGTTATATATATATACACCACATCACTTGCATATATTCACATGATATCCGCTTAATACATCTAGAGGATCATCTTATTGTGACAGCCACTTGTCACCGCAGATTTTTTGGATGAGCGCTTGCAGCCAGTGGTTGGTTCAATGGATGAGAACCGTCCAGTTGGAGGTTGATTCAGACGTGCACTACCCTCTGGTAAACATACAAAAAGCTATTGAACATGACCATTTATAGTTGATTTACCCATTAAAAATGGTGATTTTCCATAGTTATGTTAGTTTACCAGAGGGTATGTTAACTTTATGGATAGACATGGGATGTTTACCACCTATCTTCCATGAACTATGTCAACTCTATAAATAATGTGTGAACTACGGATCAGTAGATGTCATGGAACAATGTTATCACCATGTTGATCCCATAATAGTTACCATCCAGCATGTTGATTCATAGCTATATTATGGGATCATGATGCAAATGCTATAGCTATGTGGATCGCAGCCACAGTGAATGATTGCTTGGTGATTTCATTTCCTCCCATGTTCCCCTGGTTTTTTTCCCTCTCCAAGCAGGATTTTGCTCGATGATTGTTTCCGAACTCAACCTTTTTCTGGGCAGTTTAGTACTCACTCATCTTTTGCTGGAAATACAGATCTTTGCTTGCTGCTTCACCCCAGTAAGTGGGGTACAACCACAGAAAAAAAAGTAGGGTAGGCTTAGTCACGGTTTCAAATAGGCATAAATAGGCTTATAGCCCACTTCGTAACTGCGGTGAAGCACCAAGTAGTCAGCTAAACATTTAACGTTTGTAGGGTATCTAAGGTTGACCTGTCCGGCAGGTACTGAGAATTGCGTTGAGAATGGCCCACATTTCAGCTACTTGGCAGCGATGATTGATGAATGAATTGGGGATGGTTCATGGATGTTTGTGGCATTGGGTTTAGGGGCGTACCATTGGACCATGATCCTACTTGACTCTCGCACCTGTTGGATCCTTTTTTGCCATTTAGCTTCACCAGTTGTGAAGATGGTGAATTGGTACTGCTTGAGTGCAATCATTTAGAATTCATGTTGTTTCAAAAGTTCTTGGAATATGATGCAATCTGGGAAACTCGGCCATTGCACGACGAAGGCATGGCCGCCAACTCCGAATTCACAGCTGCACCGGATTTTTTTGGAGTGTGGAATCAGGGTGAATCACTTGCAATATGGGTTTCTCCAGAAAAGGTGGTATACCTCAAGAATTGTTTTTTGTGATGTTTTTGTGTTTTTCATGGGACAAGCCAGTGTAATTATGTACAAACCAGTGTAATCATGTACAAACCAGTGTAATATAGTGTAATAATTATGTAATTATATTAAACAATTGGATTTTGCACTATTCCCAAAAATTCAGGTACAAACCCATACCTAGCCAGCCAGCCAGCCAACAAAACCCTCAAACTCGATTGGCTTTCAAATCGCCCAGTGCTTCATGAATTATTGAGGGTGCAATATATACTATACAATTATACATAGTGTACAATTGTATATACATTTATGTAAACATATGTTTTAAATACAATTATATATATACATACACTAGTTGGTGGTGGTGTCAATTTTTTCTATGTTCAGGCCTACTCTGGATGATGATCTCGGATGTCAGTAGAGAATATCGGAAATCATCATTAAGAAGCATCATGAATCACCACATAGTAGCGTAAATCACCATAAATCACCATAAATCACCAATAAATCACCAATAAATCACCACAATTCACCATAAATCACCCAAATCCACCAAGAATCACCATGAATCACTCCAGGAATCACCATAAATCACTCCAAAAATCACTCCAAGAATCACCAGAAATCACCATGTATAAATCGCGGTGTGTCCGCAACTCGGCTGAGGCTACCACTATTACATTGCCGTCTCCAGTGTGGTTGGTTCCCTAGGCCGCAGGGAAGCCGCGGACCCCGTTTAAAGTGAGTAAACAATGGTAAAATGGCCCATGAAAATAGAGGATTTACCATGATTTACCATGATGTACCCTGATCTACCCATGAAAGGTGGTGATTTTACAGTTCGCAAACTCTTAAATGACCCATTTGCATCCATTTGCAATATATAATCATTAATAGATGCTTTACCTATGATAGATGGATGTTCGCAAACTGTGATAGTCATTAGCGGAGGGTTTTGTGTGAGCTGCAAAGTAATGTTTATGAAATGGAATGGAATTTGAGGTATGTACATATATATATAGTACATGTGATTGATTTTTCACATGTACTGCAGATGAACATTTTATGATATTTTATGCATGTATCATGAAAGGACAATGAACCATCGATCTGACGCCTGTGACATCCTGTGACCAGGTGCCATGCTTGGTGCAGTTCTCTTTCAATCCATGCAGGACTGGTCCTTTCGCAGTGCATTCATTGATGCTCGCCGAAGGGGAGATGGCTACAATAAATGTCTACTAATTTTTTTAGCAGTTAAGCCAGGATTAATCAAACATAGATGGCCGGGAAATCCCCTATATATACCTACTATTAGTCTATACAAATAACGTGGAGAGTGGGTAGGTTTTTTTGTTTGCACAGAGCTCATGGGTAGGTTTGCATGCCAGGTTTGCCGTGATGTCCTGGGTTGAGTGCCCTGTGAGGAATGTTGAGCCCTGTAGTTTTGGCTACCCTCTGGTAATTTGTTACATAGCTATTGAAAATGGCGATTTATAGTGGATTTACCCATAAAACATGGTGATTTTCCATAGTTTAGTTACCAGAGGGTAAGATTCAGGAGGGATTTGAACTTAGCTGGGAAAGTCGACTGCATATGGATTTGTCCAGGTTTGATTACCACAGGGCCAGGATGAATCAAGCACCAGTGGTCACCTATAGGAGGGGGGTGCCAGTTTCAACCCACTAATTAATCAACAGACTTTATTTCTCCGGGGTTGACACTACCACAACGGGTGAGATTTACCAGCAAACTCCTTGATTTATCGAGGATCAAATGGATGAACATGGAATATAATCCAGATAGCAACCAGCGAAAACGAGATTTAAACCCCCAGTGAACCAGCAAAAAACCGGGATAACATCAAGACATGAAGCACATTTAACTGGGCTATAGCTGCATGGGATATAATGGCAATATGCAAAATTTGAGGGTGGTGATTTTCTATGAACTGGCTAGATTTTCGCAGGGAAGCCGATGGGAAATGACTAACTTCATTTATTGGAAGTTCTACACATGGATATGAATTGATATAGATTTATACATAGATGGATACTACTGTATACATGGATACCAATGTGGGAGTTCTATTGCCAGTTTAGATTGCAAGAGGGTAAGTGGGAGCAGGGACAATTGTTTGGATATGAAGGAGATGCCAGCAATGAGAATCTCTGACTGTGACCAGCAATCAAGATGTACCCTCTGGTAAACATACAAAAAGCTATTGAAAATGGCCATAGAAATAGTGGATTTACTCATAAAAAATGGTGATTGTTCATAGCAAACTGTTAGTTTCCATTACAGGAAACCCGAACATTTTATGGGAAAATCTATGGTTTCCGGTTAAGATTTTCCCAACAAAACCAATCCATTGAAAATGGGACATAGCTGGGATATACTGCAGTTGAAGATATCCCACACACAGACCATGTACTAACCAAGCAACGGGGATACTGACTGCAGTAATCAATACTGTCCTACGAAAATGCGAGACGGGCTGATATTAAGCAGCAAACAAATCCAAACCATATAGTGGCAGGCAAATATGGGGATAGATGCTAGGCCCTGCCATTTCTAGCAATAATTTATCACATTTTGGGGTGCCTACTTTTATTGATCCGTGTATGGATGCGTTGACAATTTGTGTGAGGGAGCCTCTATGTGACCATCTTTGGGAGCTTTCAGAATGTCATTCACAAAAAAATACCCTCTGATGGTGATCAAACACGGTTTGCTGGATTGTTTCCCATTTTGTGCGATGATTTTCCGATACCCTCTGGTTATTTAACATAGCCATGGCCCATTTATAATAGATGGTTTACCTATTAAGAATTGGGATTTTCCATGACTCTGTTAAATAAGCAGATGGTATATGTTCTACATATATAGATTCCCATTTACACCGGAGATTGCCAGCCGCGTTTGGTGACACTGGAGGGTAGCTCTTTGATGTTCGCCAAGGTAAGGGCCGAGGCTTTGATCGCCACATCATGCCATGTATTTTGATCTGACATGAGGGAACCATTTGCTTTAACTTCATTGTTCCTTTTTGGGTTCGATGGCAATGGTTTCAACTAGTTTTTTTTTTTTAAAAAATATATATATATATTCTAATTTTCCATCTATTTAACAAGATGTTTTCATATTTGTTTAACCATAGAAATTGAATTATCCAATTGACTCTCGGCTTCTGATTTTTCAGCTCAGTGCTGAGGTCACCACCATAGTTGAGGTCCTTGCTTCCTTGTCACCTGGCAGATCGATTTCTGTGTCTCAAAATGGATTAACCATGGTATCCCCCAAAAAATCCCAAAACTACCATTGGAATAGGTAACATATGAGGTATTCAAGCGTCAATTTTTGGGGATGATCTTAGTTTAGGACAAAACCATCTATTTATATCCCAAATCAGCCGCGCAAAACCCTATTTGCGTACCTATCTATCCACCTATCTATCTGAACTGTTCTAATTTGATTTTCATGTCTGAATCTAAACTATTTTCATGTCTGATCTATCTAGTCTTTTTTTTCAATCAATCTAATCTAATTCCATCCTCTGTAGGCAAAGCTGTTTTCTAATCAAATCCAACATGTTCAAAGAGACTATGATTGAATATCTAGTATATATCTAGAATACATGTTGGATCTGATAGATAAATATCTATACAAATATCAAATCCAACATGTATTCAAAGATTTGTATACAAATTGTTTATCTATCTATTTTTTTTCCCAATGAGTTATCTACCAGACTCTATCTACCAATCTATCTTTTTGGCACCGCCAAAAATAAAGATACAATTTTAGTAAAATCCAATCTTGAGTTATAGTTATAGCGGTAAATGGAACCTTTTCCGTTTTTTTGGCTGTCTACAATCTGTCCTACTTACCAACTGGTTAGGAAGTCCCCGATTCGTGGTTTATCCCAAATGTCATTGGCTCATTCCTCTGTTTACTAACCAGTTGTATAATCATTTAGTGGTTAATGCCACATATCATTTATACGAACCAGTTGTACAACCCAGTAGGACCTAGTAAAAACCACCCCACTTGCCCTCGGGCAATCAAACGGAGGGTAATATAGGGAATATCCTGCAGTTTGCGAACTGGAATATCACCAATATAATCTAATACAACCAGTTATGTAATGTTATGTCTATATAATGCGTATGATGTATTATATATATTATAAATATATTTTATATGTAAGTATATATGATATCACTTGTGGTTTTACATAGATTGAAACCATTTATTGATTTACTTATATATTATATATAATATATATATATATATACATATTATGTGGGACCCTCACCGGACCTGGTCACACCTCCGAGGTTTGACCTTTTCATCCTGACAAGGTGGAAGCTCGGTGACGAGATGCGATGAGATTGGTGGGTGAAAGTCGTAAAGATGAGTTGAACCCTGTGGTATGTTAGAAAGTTTTTTTTTTCCTGGACTCAAGTTGACTCAAGCCTCAAGATTCCTCAAAGTGAAATTGAGGATGTCGATACCTGATTCCGGTATGATCATCAAAACCTGCTGTCCCTGCGATGATTTTTCCTATCCTTGAGCAGGGATTTGACGAATGATTAATGGCTTCAACCAGGACCCTGTGATTTTGCCTGTGAACAACACATGTTTGCTGATTCCACTTTCGTTCTCTTACTTTCCGACGTCTTTAGGTGCATCAAATGGATTTCAATTCACTGATACAACATTTTACTTAGTATTAAGATGTATTAAGTTCGTGTCTATGACATTACGAAACGGGCTAGCGGCTAGCTTATACGGTGAACTATTGCTAATTTGTTAGTACTACCAACATATAACTAAACATTACTAAGCCATCGTTAATATATATATATATGATATACATGATATCACAATATTGATAATATGATAATATTAGATGTCTAATACATGCCTAGTTTTTATTTGTCAATATTGTTGATAACATCATATTATGTGCTACTGTGGATGGTCGCGAAATCCTGCATCACCAAAAGGATGGTTTTTCAACCCCAACAAAATAATGGGATGTTTACCACCATTTTAAACTGCTGATTTGGATTTCGCTGGCCCATCCACAGTATGACCACCTTTACTGAGGAATCTGAAAGTTGGCATCCCGGACGCCTGGGCCTACCTCTTTGGCGATGCGGCGTGCCAAAGCATTGCGGCCCAGAGCCTTGGATGTCGATGGCGGGACCCAAACGGTACCCTAAGTCATAGCTGGTCAATGGATGGTGATTCCTCCATTCATATGGTGATAATATGTGAGAATAGGTTTTGACCCATCCCCATATGATGATATATAGCTACCAGTAGTACCCGCACGAGGCGGGGCGGAAGTTGCCTTAGGGATATATATATACATATATATATATACATATATATATATACATATATATAAGACCTTTCTCATCTATAGAACTTGCATGCGCCGTGCACCAGCCAAGCCCGTGCGTGCGTGCACTCTGCGAAAATTGTGTCCTGTTTCACATGTCACATTTGAAGCTCCACTTCGCACTTCGCACTTCACACTTCTCACTGCACTCTTCACACCCAAGCAAACCGACCGCACACAGGAGGTACCTTTCATCGCCGGCTGCAGCCACTTTACACGGAAAAGCACAAGGTTTCCTGCCCCGGCTTCCTCCCCACGACACAGAGCATGCAACATTCATGCAGCCATTCCAATGCGATCTGCAATCGCAGCTTCAAGCAACGAATAGAACTACGCACCACTTGTTGCAGAACACAGAGGAGGAACCAAACGACCGCAGCCGCGCCCGCAGCACACAGGAGGTGCTTTTCATCGCCGGCTGCAGCCACTTTACACGGAAAAGCACAAGGTTTCCTGCTCCGGCTTCCTCCCCACGACACAGAGCATGCAACATTCATGCAGCCATTCCAATGCGATCTGCAATCACAGCTTCAAGAAAAGAATAGAACTACGCACACAGGAACAACCACTTGTTGCAGAACACAGAGGAGGAACCAAACGACCGCAGCCGCAACCGCCGCACACACGAGGCACCTTTCATCGCCGGCTGCAGCCACTTTACGCGGAAAAACACAAGGTTTCCTGCTCCGGCTTCCTCCCCACAACAAAGCCCATGCAACATTCATGCAGCCATTCCAATGCGATCTGCAACCACAACTTCAAGAAACGAATAGAACTACGCAAACAGGAACAACCACTTGTTGCAGAACACAGAGGAGGAACCAAACGACCGCAGCGGCAACCGCCGCACACACGAGGTACCTTCCATCGCCCGCTGCAGCCACTTTACACGGAAAAACACAAGGCTTCCTGCTCCGGCTTCCTCCCCACAGCACAGAGCATGCAACATTCATGCAGCCATTCCAATGCGATCTGCAACCACAGCTTCAAGAAACGCATAGAACTACGGGAAAAACACAAGGTTTCGTGCTCCGGCTTCCTCCCCACAACACAGAGCATGCAACATTCATGCAGCCATTCCAATGCGATCTGCAACCACAGCTTCAAGAAACGCATAGAATTACGCACACAGGAACAACCACTTGTTGCAGAACACAGAGGAGGAACCAAACGACCGCAGCCGCAACCGCCGCACACATGGGGTGCCTTTCATCGCCGGCTGCAGACGGGAAAATGCAAGGTTTCGTGCTCCGGCTTCCTCCCCAAAACAAAGCCCAAGCAACATTCATGCAGCCATTCCAATGCGATCTGCAACCACAGATTCCAAAACACCCTATAACTACGCACACACAAGCACAGCCAAAGCAGCTTGAAGCCACCGTTACAATGCGGCAAAAAAAAAAAGGCAAACCGACCGCAGCCGCACCTGCCGCACACAGGAGGTACCTTTCATCGCCGGCTGCAGCCACTTTACACGGAAAAATACAAGGTTTCGTGCTCCGGCTTCCTCCCCAAAACAAAGCCCATGCAACATTCATGCAGCCATTACAATGCGTTTTGCAGCATCCCGTAGCAAACCTGCATCTCTCTACACACATGGCAATGCCAGATGACAACAATCATGCAGGTCAATTCTTTTGTGATGTATTGCTATTTAGTGTAAAGTCACACACCGCCCTTCATCAAGGTCAATTCTTTTGTGATGTATTGTTATGCGATGTAAAATCTCACACCACCCTTTATCAAGGTCAATTCTTTTGTGATGTATTGTTATGTGATGTAAAGTCTCACACCGCCCTTCATCAAGGTCAAGTCTTTTGTGATGTATTGTTATGTGATGTAAAGTCTCACACCGCCCTTCACCAAGGTCAATTCTTTTGCGATGTATTGTTATGTGATGTAAAGTCTCACACCGCGCTTCATCACGGTCAATTCTTTTGTGATGTGTTGTCATGTGATGTAAAGTCTCACACCACCCTTCATCAAGGTCAATTCCATCAGCTAAAAGCCATCCGTAACTCGGAAGTATTGCTTCCCAACTTCCTGTGATAAATAGTATACTGCTGTATATGAATATTATATGATGGTATGTATATGTATATATGTACATATATATATATATGAAGAAGGATAACATATCTTCAAGGTATAGATGGTATTTACAGAATTTTGCAAATATGATTTACCCATGTTAAATAGGCCATGTAGCTATGGTATAGATGGCCTATTTGGTTCAATGATGACAGAGGTGCATAGCCTCAGGTTATTTAACGAAAAGGTGACCGTTTATTGGCCAAGGCAATCCTTCTGTTGTGGGAATTTTGTTCATTAACCAATAATGTGATATATCCAATAGATACCCCTGAGGTTATTTACAGAAACAGTTTGCTATGGTATAGATGACCCATTTAGTTCGATTATATACATATTTACACTGGTGATTTTCCAGAGCTAGGTTAAATTACCAGAGGGTATAGATTATCCTAATCGGGATATACCATCCCCAGATGTGCCATGTAGTACCCCCAAGAAGATAGAAAAGATAGATTGAAGGGGGATACCTGATACCATATAGTGGTATTACAATGTTTTAATACATTAGTGGGAATGATATGTAACTCACTATTTTCATGTGATTTTACTAGCTTATACCTATCTATAATCTATAAAATGTATAAAGGTGTGTTTATATATACATATATATTTATTATCTTTTGCATATGCACCTAAACACACATATATATATACATATATATACACATATATATATATAGTAGCCGGCTAGCACTTAGAATATTAATCATTGTTTTTTTCGAATAGGTCTATTAGTTACATGATTTTTCCTGGGTGAAAACAATATTCTAAGTGCATATCCACAGACGATGCACATAGAATATAAACCTTGTAAAGATGTGCTGAGTTGATCATGAATCAAACCATCATGATGCATGGCGATGTCCGCGCTTTTTACTTTAGATTTCACTGATCAACGATTTGCTCGGAGAGTCTTGAGATGTTGATAAGGTAAATAAATATATATATATACCCCCATATTCTATGTGGATAAATATTCTATGTGGATGACATTCCAGGAATAGGTTTTGCTATGTATTTTCCATATTCTTAGTGGCACCTATTTTTTTAAATATTCCATGTGCCAGCTGTTTACTATATATAGATACATATATATATAGATACATATATATATAGATACATATATATATAGATACATATACATATATATAGAGATACACACACACATATATATATATAGATACATATATATACATGATCTTATCTATATACATATATATATACACATAATATATAAATATATATATGTGGTCACATGCATATATAAGTACATATAGTATTGCACAGTGTATATATATATATACATACACATATGTATCATATATGTATGATCCTATAAGTACATACACAGTCTTTTGTTGTCGCTTTGTTTTTGCCCAGGATGATCATCATGCCCCAAGCCTTACTGACTGCTCGGCTGTGCCCCCGTGGGGCAGAAGTTCCTTGGCACCGGGGTACGGAGCACCACGGGACTATGAAATGGGATTGATTGCATTGGATTTGATATGTTCAAACGGAAGAGTGGGAACATGTCCAAAATGACTTCGCACATATGCCATGCGGAATTTTTTACAAGACAGCGAATCATCGTGCGAAATTTCAAAACTTGCCACCAGGGGATGTCTGTAGGATGGCGATGATGATCCTGATGTGCTAAGGTGGTTCACCCACTTACTGACTGGATCTAACTGGTACCCGGGGTGCCCCACTTCTCAATGGGTCCAGCTGGTCCAGCTGCAAGGCCACTGTCTTTGCCATCTTGGCAGGGTTTCAAAACTTCGGGGCCAACATAGGACTGAATTCTGGTCCGAAGAATGCTCCTAGTGGCTCAAAAAAAACGCGACCTCACTAGCAGATGTCACCATGATGGTTTTTTTGAGGGGAAACTCACCGACATCACCGAAATGGACGCGTGGATGGTAAATCATTCCAATTTGCCCGGAGTCTGTGTTTTACATGTTTCCCAACAACCACAGTCGATCAGCAAAAGTCGGTCTGTTTCGCCAATATGAACACACGAGCAGTTCCAAGAAGGGCGATGCGGCGATGCTTGTTGGTTAGCTGGGGATGTTGGGGTGATCTTTCCATGTAGATCATGTAGGGGCTCATCAGGATTGAGAATCATACAAACCATTTGGACTGGCGAAACTAAGAGTTGCAAAACAAGTTTTTTCTGGCTTGTTGCTAAAATAGTTTAGGCCCCAACGATCGTTGGAATATACAAGGGATTTGATTTGATTGAATCCATTAGATCACCACCTTGCACTTTGCACTGCCTATTTCCAAAAAGAGAAATGGGTGTGTCTGAAAAAAAGGGTGTACCCTCAAATGGCAAGTTTAATGGTGCAAGTTATTTTTTCAAACCATCAAATTTAGGGGTAGCTATTTTACAGACATCATCCATTTATAGATTGGGATCTTCCCTTATAAACCATCCATTTTTGGGGCACCCCCATGACTATAAACCCCCCAACCATTTTTTCCGCGTCGAGACTGGATCTCGCCACCAGACATAGCTTGCCGTCGAGAGGATCAATCTTGGGAGCACAGCTTGCAGACCACTATCACATTGCTACCCGGTTGCTTACCCGGTTGCTAAACCCTAAGAGCAGCAATCCATACGCGATCATAAATTATAGACTATAAGGATCTATAAGATGTTGGAATCACTCACTTTTTGATCCTAGGTCCTACGGTGATCAACAGTAGTTACTGCAGTTGCAACTGTATCATTGCGGTTGAAGCTTTGCAATATTCAAGTACCATCCGTGTTTGGGAGGATTCCTGCTGGTGGAATATGACGTGTATCCAGGCGACCAATCGATTAAAAAAAAAGGTGTTTTTTGAATCAACGTCTGTTGATTATGGCGGAAATTTGGGCCACTTCCCGAGTAAACCCTGGTTTGGTAGGTTAGTGCATGAGTTTTGTGAGATAAATGGAGAAACAGACGGGGCAGCTGTTACTTGTGTTTCTTCAGGGTATCTCTGATTGCCCTCTCTGTTTGTGCCTTGAAACAGCGTTGCAAACCCTGTGTAGGGCACAAACCAGCACTGCATGTGTGTAAGAAATAAAGGATGCAACTGAAAGACATCATTGGATGCCGGATAGTAAGCATGACCACCTAAGCTGTGAGTCAGTTGAGTATCGTTGAGTCAGTTGCCATTGCCCCACAGTATCAATCTGATTGGTGGTTTGGAACATGAATTTTATGACTTTCCATTTTTTATGACTTTCCCATCATATTGGGAATGTCATCATCCCAACTGACGAACTCATTCCATCATTTTTCAGAGGGGTAGGGCTCAACCACCAGCAATGCAGAGCGGTTTTGCCTGAGGCCCAAGGGATCAAAAAGCATCAAAAAGCCATGGCCCATAGAAATCGTTGATTTACCCAGCTACAAAATGGTGATGTTCCATAATTTTTTGTATGTTTACCAGAGGGTAAATGTCGTTCACATATAGTATACATATACTATATTTTATTGTGAAATATAAATCACACTGTTTTTTCTTTCATCTGATATGTGTATAATATATATATATATATACATAACTTACACGTGATACTGACACATGATGTATGATATGTGATCTATGGTCTAACGGTCTAACACAGAATCGTTATAAATGTATGTGTATACATATGCATGTATATTTAGGGTAGCCATATATGTATTTAAATGTAATACATGTACATATTATGCAGATATTTATATGCATACATATACTCGTACTAGGAGTATATAACAAGCATTTCATATAATTATATCATTTGCATGTATATTTAGGGTAGCCATATATGTATTTAAATGTAATACATGTACATATTATGCAGATATTTATATGCATACATATACTCGTACTAGGAGTATATAACAAGTATTTCATATAATTATATTTCATATTACAGATACATCATATCTTCTTTGACAGAAAAAGACGATGTTTTCTTCAACGTCCTCGGTACGCTGTTCGGCGCCGACTGTTGACCTAGTTCATCCAGGTGACCAAGCGATATGGCCCCTGCGACTTTGAGTACTTGAATACACTCATCATTCTGCCTTTTGGCTGACGACCAAAAATGGCTGGAAAAAATGGCTGGAACACGGAAACTGGCTATTTCTAGGCATAGGGATATGGTTTGGAACTAACAAGATTAATGTTGTTGAGATGGAAAATGGGCGGATATGCTACGTAACCAACAATGATAGTGGGATTTCTTGTGGGAAATTAACCATTAAGACTGAGTTAAGCCAGAATCATGGGGATATGATGTGATAACAACGGTGATATTTTTCAACAAGGGTCGATCTTATGGTTTTTCCTTTGAATTGTCGCTTTGAAGATTATGGAACATGATGATCAACCATCAAGATTCTCACCAAGACACTGCCTGAAAATTGACACCATATAAACATGACCACGACCACTGTGGGTCTGGCACCCATGATTGACCCAGGACTAGTACATTATCATATTCCTATTTGTTTTTTCCTACCCGTTATCTTATTTTAAGTCATGCGCATAGCTAAGCTGAGTTGCAGACCAGCTACCAACTTGAGAGATTCTCATCCAAAATCCTCCAACATCGGGTTTCGTGCCTTCAACGAAGTGGACACACCGAAGTGGACACAGTGCCCAGCCTCGGTTATTTCCGGAATATCAAATCTAAACGAATCAAGGCACATCAATAAATGATAGATATATAATGATATATACATAAGTAAGGTACTGTTTGAACAATTCTACCACATATATATATATATATGGGTGCAAGTCAAAATAGAAGGTCCGGAACAAGGTCCGGGACCACACCCGTTCCATATCCCCGTTCCATACCCCCGTTCCATACCTGTTTGAAGGATCCGTTCCATACCTCTGTTCCATACCTCTGATCCATACGTTATGATCTATATATATATATACATATACATACACACATACGTACATACATGCATGCATACATACATACATGCATGCATACATACCTACCTACCTACCTACATACATACATACATACATATATATGCGTATATATGCGTATATATATATTTATATATACATGTTTATATATATATATATTTGAACATGTGCAGTCTGATTTTACATTTGTACGCACATACTTGAGCGCACATACATACGTGAGTGCGTACATGCAAGAATACGTTTACTATGCCCAAGCCCTGTGATTGTGTTGGCGAGTCTGTGCCTGCAGCACTTATAGCTGCTACCTACTTTGTTGTGTGATGGTAGGGATGTGCTTGGCTGCTGCCAGCTGGCAGTCTAAGAATGGATTGCTTGCAACCCTCCCTCATTCTCAACCTGTGGCAGGTTTGCGCCTGCACCACTTACAGTTGCTGCCCGCTGTGGCACAGCGTTGATGTTTGATGGTAGAGATGCGCTTGGTTGTTGCCAGGTGGCAGTCTAAGAATTGCTTGCTGCGCTATTCTCGCTCCAAACTGCGAATTTTGATAAAGGTGCGCTGCGTGGTGGCAGAGCTGTGCTGGAGTGGGCCGTTTCGTTCCAGACCCCGTTCCATACCCGTTCCAGACCCGGACCACCCATGTACCACCCCTGACGGGTGAACAAATGGCAGGTTCTCACACAGACTGCTCCTAGACCATCCTTTGCGCGTGGGTTATGGGAGCCTAGAGTCTTGCTACGCGGGGACACAATGTCCCCCATAGGGCCTCTGAGTTTTAAGAGTAGGAGGTGGGACCTGCGTGACAGGTCTGAAGCTGAGTGGACAGCTTCACATGGTAGCCAGTGGGTGACGCTGGCTACCGGTTGTGTCCTAGCTAGTGCACGAGCACTAGCCATGCAAGGCAAACCTACGTTGAACAGGCGTACAACAAGGATGCCGCGCAGATGAGAAGTGAAAATGAGCGGCAGCCAGCGTGAGTAGCTTCAACGTGCATATCCTTGATGTATATTTTATATTATTTTATAATTATATACATATATATATATACATATATACAGTATACATATTAATATGTTTATATTTATGTCAGGCCTATATTTCATCACACTCCAAAGGTCCGGAACAAGACCAGTTGCGAAGCCCCTTCGTTCCATACGTCCGGAACACCGCGGAACGTTCCATACACAATTTTGACTCACAGCCATATATATATGCACCCCACCCCAAGACCTACCTTTTGTGTAGCAGATATGTTCCTGAATGCCCTGTCTTCCTTCTTATCTTATCACCTATTGTAGCACTGCATCAGGAAAGTATCTTGGGCGCATGCGCCTGCACACATCCTGCCCACATATGTAGCTGCAGCATAGCGCTGTAACATCTATATTTGACATATTTATTTCATTATATTTATTTTTTTCTGTTTTACTATTTTTTGCAATATATCAACACAGTTTTTATATCTATGATCTGATTCTTGCAAGTCTGCTTTTTCAACATCTTCTACAACATTTGGTATTTTTACATAACCTTTAGGATTTGCAGCAATATGATTAGGGGAATAGATTCAGATGGATTTAAATTTTGTTATCTGATTTTGCAGTACAGCATATCATTTTTATCCGTTTTGATCAATTAAACTTTTTGTAAGGTAGTTTTTTTTAATAATGACTAATGGTGGATTTCATGTTTACTAAATTTTCTGTAGCAATTTGAAACCTTTTAGCTTTTACCAAAGCTGAGCTCTTTGCAAGATTAGATGATATAGTTAGTGCATCTTGAGATTTTACATTTTTATTTACGTAAGATTTTGCAGATAATGAAGGTGTAAAAAGTACAATAGATATGTATAAGACTGGCCTCCAGTTACAATTTTTAGACATATGGATTTTAAAATGCACTTACCTTTTTAATCCGCCTACAATTTCATAACATTCCATCAAGCTTTGCATAGTAAATTGACAATAGTCAATCATATTCTAATTTGATGTTAATTGTCTTTTTTGTTCTTGTGAATCTACGTTATTTCTATCAGCTTTTTTCTTCAGCATCTACAAACTTTTGTTTTGTAGAATAGTTGATATTTTTTGCTGTAATAATTCATTTTTAAAATATGTATAATGTAGATGATCTTGTAATTCCATTGCTTTAAATCCAGGAGTGCTTGAGTCATCCTGGAGGAGATAGAACCTGGGAAATTCAAAATGTTATTCTTTCTACTTCAGGATGATTACAAGTGGCGATATAACCAACAATAGCCACCAAAGAGATTTCATTAACATGAGGATATCATGAAGACGATGTGGGGGGTTCATCAATTTCTACCTAATGTATCCTAATATATGGAGGTTTCTTTAATTGGTGTATACCCCAAAATGACACGTATACAATATTCAAACGGTTGGGTACGGAACATGATGATAGACCAGGTGGAATGGGGCACCTTTTATACAGTCAAACCCATATATAATGTGGTAAACCCAATAATAAACCTACCATTTAGGGATGGTTTATATAACCAATTTATGGTGATTTTGGGACGGTAAAAATAATTAATTGGTTGAAAACCACAGTGCACATGAAAGTGTACAAATGCAGATATAGAATGATATTATGATACATGTATCGATGGTTTCTGGTAGGTACCTCCAATTTAGGTTCCTGAAATGGCCACCCAACAAACAAGATATTCAGTTGAGACAACCATATCTGGATATACTAATATTATATACATATATAAATCTGATCGAACAAATACGCGTATGATCGCGTATGTGTATATATATATATATATGTAGATATTGATAGTATCTATAAAATACCTATCCAGATATACCAATATCTACGTAATATATAAAAACACCATATATTCTGGCCATCTTAGTGACCCCAGGTGTCACATTGTGATACCGCTGCTATGCTGCGTAGCCTTCACCTGGTTAGTCCCCGTGGCCAAGATGAGCGATGACAGCGCCTTTGCACAGTGCCTTGGGATGAAAAAAATTGGGATTTCACTGAGGAAAATGTGGATTTCGCTGGAGTAAACTATGGAACCTGCAGATTTACCCAGGGAAAATTAAGATTTAAGGGGAATTTGAATGAATTTGAAGGATTTATCAAGGGAACATCATCCCAAACTCGGATTTTCAACCTTTTATTTTTTCAATAATTCACCTCCAACCTCCAGGACGGCCCCCCTGGCGGCCCCACGCCGCTCGCCGAGGGATTCGCCCCCGCCGTCCTTCGCCTCGCCGCAACCGTCGCCGCTGCTGTCGCCGGAGACGACGCCCAGGGGGGAACGTAGCAGTCCAGTGACGTGGCTCAACGTTGATTGGTTAATGTGCGGCGATAATCTTGTATTACCCTCTGGTTATTTAACATAGCCATGGTATAGATGGTCCATTTATAATTAGATGGTTTACCGGTTTACGTATCAAAAATTGGTGGATTTTCCATGGCTATGTTAAATAACCAGAGGGTAGAGTTTCTGTGGATAAACTATCTACTGCGCCAATACCACATAATGGAAAACTTTTACATACTGATGTGAATGTCAGCTGTGGGTTAATGGTATTATTTAAACCACATTGTTCTGGTTGGTGCTTTCAAACATGAATTTTATTTTCCATGATATATTGGGATGTCATCCTTCCCATTGACGAACTCATATTTGTCAAGATGGTTAAAACCACCAACCATATTGTAATTGTGATGACTATTTATGGTAATATACCATTAATCATAATTATATGTATTATAATGTCTAAATACCATTGACCAATCATTTATGGTAATGTGGTTAACACAATAATGAACAATCCCCAAAATCATCATAAATGGGTTGTATAAATCATCAAACATGGGGTGGTTGATTATTGTTGTAACCACATTAATATTATAATGGTAAAATTAGCCGTAGGATGGTTGAACCATTTAATCAATAATAGCTGGCTTAATTAGTAACTAGTAATCATGATATAATGGTAGTATTTGAACCATATTATAATGATGTTTAGTAGGATGACATGGTATATACAAACCATATTATAGAGTTATTTCTGAATTACAAGCACATCCTGGGAGTTTTCAAAATAATAAAAAATAGGAAAACGATGGGTGGACAAAAAACCCGTCATTTTGACGCTATTGTTTTCTATTTGTTTCCCTATTTTTTCCTACTTTTCTCGATGATTTTGCAATTTTTGACTTTTCCAGAAAAATAGGAACAACATAGGAACAACCATAGTAAAAAAATGGAGGTGGCCAAGGAGAAGTTTGAAACGTTGCTGAAAAAATCTGGAAACATTAGAAATTGCAAAAACCGCGAAAATTAGAAACAAAAATAAGAAAACAATAAGAACAAAAATGGAAAAAATAAAGCGTCAAAATCACGTTTTTTTTTTTCCACCCATTGTTTTTCCTTTTTTTTTGGGGGGGGTTCAATCCGTTTTTTTTTCCTAATTTTATGATTTCCTTGATTTCCAAGGGGTGCCTGGAATAGGCAAACATACCCTCTGGTTATTTAAAATAGCCATGGAAAATCCCCACCATAAATGGAGGTTTTAATGGGAACATCATCTAGAAATGGGCCAGCTATACCATGGCTATGTTAAATAACCAGAGGGTAATTATAGAGTTACCAGGGTTTAGGATGAATCCACACGGAACCAACGGGGTGATGGGATTGGATTATACTACCTGGGTTATTGGCAAGTTACTGGGGATTATGTATTATTGATTATTGATAACCTGGGGCACGCGGTATAGTATTTTTTCATATGGGCCTGAAATTTGATTGATCATATATTATGTGGATGAAGTAGAAATGACCTCACTGTGAGGTCATCATTGTTCCCGTAAAGATTACATGGCCTTTTTGATTTCAGACACATGGATTTGCTTGTATGAAATCATATGGTCATACAGTGTTTTTTTCTGGGTCAGGTTACCAGGTTTGGATGGGGTACCAGTAAGGAATTACTGTATTTACATGTATTAACTAGTTGCCAAAGATGGGGATAAATTATGTCTAATTATGTATGTATCATGCATGGAAACGTCCCGTCTGATATTGTACGAAAGCCTAGATCTGAAGATGTGCATATTTTTTTGGAGCGCAGGGGGGCTCATGTGGCTGTTCAACAATGTGGGCTCGAACCAAATCGCATATCGGTTTGTCTACAATAGGATAAAACTATGTCTTATGTTTCATCATCATCATCATCATCATCATCACCAAACAATCCATGTGCGGGTGTATCCCATTTTAAGACATGCCCTCATTACACTATGAAATTCGAAATATTCGCTGTATGTGTTTTTTTTTTGGGGGGCGGGGGGTTCGATGGGGTTTTGTTTTGGTGAGGGGTGAAGTTTTGACCTTCCAGATGTTTGTGTTGGATCTTCGATGGCTATGGTATTATCCTATTCCGTGAATCACCATCCCAGTCTATATACATACAGTACAATCAGTACATGCATTGTATCCTAATTATGTCCTCATTTTGTATCCCCTTGAAATATCCCCATGAATCCCCAGAAAAATCCCCATCAATTCAGATCAATCACCATGAATTCCCATCATTGATCCCCGTTGATCCCCAGCAGCCCCCAGGGCGATGATGAGGAGAATTCCCCCGATCAGGCGTGGGACGGCTTGGTACGAAGCAGGAATCGTTCGTGGGTTGTGGTTGACCCCAACTGAGCAGAAAACATATGGGTGTGGGTCAATACCTATAGATACATTTTTAGTGGGATGAACATCCATTTACCAGCTATTTTGGGGTTCACTAAGGTACCAGGGTTTTGACCCATCCCCATATGGGAAAATGGGGATTTATGCAAGGACAATGGGGGATTTATCAAGGGAAAATGGAGAGTTAACCACCTCTTGGTTGATGATCGTTTCGAGATTTGCCCATCAAACATGGTGACTTTCCATAGCTATGTATAGCTATGTTAAATTACGAGAGGGTAGTGAAAACAAGTACCCGGTTTATTGATGTTTATTGGGGATAACTACTGTATACCCCACGATAAGCAAACCTATTCATTCGCCAGTGTAAGATATAATATTGGTTTTATATCCCATTATATCCCTGTTATATCAATGTTATATCATCATAATGCATATCTTCCCATATTTTTTCTGGTCATACATCCCCATTGTATCATGTTGATGCCATTTGTGTTGGTTCTGTAATTTTATTAGCATTACAAAGCAAAACAATCCAATTTGATCCCAATAATATCCGCATTGTCCTCTGTCAATCAAAAAACTATGGCAATGGACAATCCACCATTTATATCTATATATATATAGGATATTTTCCCAGTTAAATGCCCATTTATAGGATACTTCGAATATCTTCGAATTGCCATGGCCCGAGGGTATCGGTAGCTTCCTCCAGGAGTACTATCTATTGCAAGAAGACGGCCCACACCTGAGACAAAACTCGAGATAAGGCGCTGCTGAAACTGATGGGAGTGAGTTGTTTTTCTCCGCAGAGTTGTGCAGTTTCAGGGCGTTAGCATACGGACTTCAAGCTGTAAATAGGGATATGATCAATTATTTACAGTATAAACACTTTACCCAGATGCTCCATGTATGGAATATTTACCTACATTTACCCAAAAATGGCCCAAATGTAGGTTTCCATATTTTATACATGGAGCATCTGGGGCCCATGCATGATGTTTGAAAGGGATCAGCGGGATTTTACGATGGATCCAGGACTGATCCCAATTTCTGGTTAAAACATGTTAAAACCATGTACCCTTTGGTAAACGTTTACAAATTTGATGGGAATTCATGGTTTAATGGGGATTGATCTGGATTCATGGGATTTCATGGGAATTTATGGGAATTTATGGTGGTTTAATGGGATCTAATGGGATTTACCCTCTGAGAAACGTTTACATATATAACTACTATGGAAAGATCCACCACTTTTTATGGCTAAATCAACAAAATAACTATGGGCCATGGCTGTCAAATCCAAACCGCTGCGGGATGGTTTTTCAGGGATATCACACCGCCATCATATCCCCAAAAAAAGGGTACATGCAGACGGATAACAACATGTTACTTGGATCGGTATATGTATGATTATATTATACATATTTTATATATACACAATATATATATATATATATTTATATTATATACATACATACACATAGACACTGTACATGTGTCAGCAGTCGGATACATATTTTGATGAGCAATTAGGTGTAGACAAAGACAGAAAAGAATCGGGAAAGAACGTTTTTTTGCGATTCTTTGAGAAAAATACGCAGAGCGAAGCAATCCCCGTTTGCAGTGAGATGAGCTATGGGTATCCATATTCTGTTAAAAAAAGGGCGCCAAGGGAATTTGTGGCATATATAATGAAATATAGTAAAATGACAAATGATATATTTTGCCATATTTGATTTTGATTTACCATAATTATTGATTTACGATATATATTCATGACAGTGATGATTGTATCACTTGTCAAGGCTGATTCATTACTCAGGTAGTACAGGAGAAAGAAAACATATCAAATTTCGACCTCAAAACTGGTCAAGTTATTTCCGCAATTAAGAGTACTTGGGGACTTGGGGGAGCAGTTGGGGTGACTTTCATGGTTACAACCATGGCAATCCCCACAGGGAAAGTTGCAACAGGCGGCCGAGTGGCCAGTGACCAGTTGTTTGGTGAACCGCTAAGACCCTGCTGACCTAAAACCACGCTGATCAAAGGTGTGTTCTTGACCCCCTGAACCCCACTAAGACCACATCTTTCCATGCTGCCAGATTCCCAGATGCTGCTGCTGCGTCGGCCGGCAGGGAGCGTTGCGGCAGCGCGGGCGGATGTGTCAGCCCGAATGGGGGACACCTTGGGTGGCGTTCCTCAGAGCCATGTGCCATCCTCAAAAGTCGGACCGACACCGAGGACGGTGATGAAAGAACCTGGCCTCTTCGCTATCTTCGCTGTAGCACCGGCTTTTTACCCTCTGGTAAACTATAACATAACTATGGAAAATCACAATTTTTCATGGGTAAATCCACTATAAATAGCCATGTTCAATAGCTATGTTAGTTTACCAGAGGGTAAATCTTATCGACATGATACGTGACTGGTTGATATCTGGTTGATATCTTTCAGCAAAAATGGCGTTTTGAGAAATGGGACTGCTGGGTGTTTTGACGATGGCACACAGATGTTGAGGGATGCCCCGAAACTCGAAAAAACATGGTCAATGTCATAGGAAAATTGAGGAGCCCGGTCGATTGGTTTTGAAGATGGTTTACTTACCCTCCGGTAAACATACAAAAAGCTATTGAAAATGGCCATAGAAATAGTGGATTTTCCCATTGAAAGTGGTGATTTTCCATAGTTATGTTAGTTTACCAGAGGGTATGTTTATTTCTCATACATCATTTGTATTCATGTGTTTCTGGCAGCCACGACTTGTGGTCTGAACTTACGCGCCAGAACTGCAAGTTATATACCCTCCTGTAAAATCTGTAAACTGCTAGTAGATGTGGAAAAACCCAGTATTTGTATGGGAAAACCATATGGTTTTGCCACCTCGACGTACCGTTGACCTCAGGGATCCGTAACGGTTGATCCATGGTGATTTCCATGGCGGAAGATGCTGCTTCACCACAGAGAGAGGTGATTTGGCACTGGGACGAGCCATGAAGTCCCGATTCGAAGCCAGTTGTTGTGCTTGGCGCCAGAAAATTGTACCGGTAATGACTTTTTGATTAGCCCAGGATGTTTTTTGAGAATTAACACTGCCATAGTAGGTAATGTGTAAGATATAGTGTAGTCATTTAACAGGCAACTTTATTTTCAAATCTAATTGATTCACAGATGAATTGTTTGCTTTCCAGATTTTGCAGCCATGTTTGTCATCCCATAACACTTCAGGGATTGTCCCAGTATACCCTCCAGTAATCAAACAGGGCAATGGGAAATCCCTCATCGGTATGGAATTGCCGAAGGTTTGCTGTTAAAACTTATGATTTCCCATAGCCAGATAGGATTGCAGGAAGGTACCTCGATTTCACATCCGACGCAGGCACAAAGTCATGTGCCCAAAGGTCAAAGCGCGTCGGACCAGTGCGGTGTCCGATGATTCGCTGGCTTCGCTGGCCATGTGGCCTAAAAATGCCATGTGCGAGGAACCAAATTCACCAAAGGTATTTCTGAAGTCAACAGTGAAAATCCCAAAGGCCCAAAGGCATGTTTCTTCTCTCAAATGATTGTAAATGGTTGTAAGATGGGTTTCAGATGAAGGACTGAGTTTGATCAAGTTTGATCTATTTTGGATAAGGCTAAGGTGTTTTTTCATTCTCTGGCTTGTTGTTTCCCTCTTGGAGCCTCATTGTATATGTTCAAAGTGACAGCCCATTGAACACACAGATCTTTGATGGAAAGCGTCGGACATCGTCTCGTAGCACGGGCAGCCTAGCGGACGGCTTGCTTGAAAGCTGGAAAAAGGCCGAACTGTTTCTCCCAGGACCTGCCCAGAGTTAAACGTGAACAAACTCAGAAACTACACACCCTGTGAGCTTCAAAAAAAACATACAAATTCCATAAAAGGCAATCTCTACCAGGAAGTAGAATCACTAAATTGATGCAAATCCACCGTTTGGAAGTTCCATGGTCAATTTTCAGGTCGTTTCACCAAGTCTTGGTCAGCAACTTTCATGGGGATATATGGGATTCAATGGGTATATGATCAACTAGAATGGGGATATGATATATATATGTATTTATTTATTTATTTATATAACCAACACCATGATTTACTTGTTTTTTCTCTACACCCACTATTGAATTTGTCTGGAAATGGGATGAGATGGGGTCTAGCCCGGTCAAGGTATCACCCCTAAACTATGAGTTGTCATGTAGGACATTTCATGACTAACTTCTGGAATTTTCTGGACTTCTTATATTCACATGATATGCATGCCATGTCTGCCTGCAGAACCCATGTCAATGTGTGCCATGGTGAAACATTGAATCCCCCCGAGCATTCCTTTTCTGCAGTCTCATGCAATTTGCGAAACGTTGCCTCGCACTATCTTCTGCCACATCATCAATTTGCCAGGATGGTGGATTCAAGGGTTTTTGGATTTGCGTACTCATGACCTGTTTAGGATTGGCCAATTGAGCTCTAACCAGGCTGCAGCATTTCTCTGCAATATGGGGCGTATTTTAGCCCTTGGGCATTAGTCTGATAACCCAATCTCCGCAACGAGCAACCCATGGAATCAAACTTCGGCAAGATATTTTTACCCGAAATGTATTTGAGGCTTTGCAAGGTGTTAACGAAGATTAAACACAGAACAGAAACATGTTTTTTTAGGGGTGGAAGTGTCTCAGCTTCAGAGAAGTAGTCTACACAGATTTGCCGCCTTGTCTCTGGGCACTTGAAAATTTGGTCACACCTTGCGATTCCTCACAGAGTTCCTGCTCTGTTTTATTGCCCACTACCTTTTGGATGAAATTTGGCGACGCTATAACTATATGCATGGTGCATGTTCCTTTGGCATACCAACTCTTGGAGTGCTCCGATTATTGGCCCTGGTCGTTTATTCTTGACCTTCACGATATCCAATCACCGTAAGTTCAGATGCACTAACCCCAGCATGAGAATCCGGGGCTGTGTCATTATGGACCTCTGAGTTCATGCGAGAGTTGAGTCAAGCATTGGATGATATAACTATTATATAACCATATCAGGGATGGTCCAAGCCCTATTAATAGTGGTTTATATCTCAAATATGAGGATTTCCATTCATGATGGGAGTGCCGGATTACCATGAAAAATATTTCCCCTGTTTCGATCATGGGTACTTGTGTGAAGACATGTCTCATGTCTCATGCATGGTCGCATAGCCAGGTAATTCACTTTTGGCAACCTTACCTTGATCAAAATCTATCATGTCACATCATGTCACCTTTGGCACAAATTGCTGTGGAAAATGGATGAAAATGGATGAAAATGGATGAAGAAATACCACATTTACTATGTACAGATGATTTACCTGTTGAAAAAGGTCACCTTTGGCATCAGCTGAAAAATCTCTCAAGGAATCAGCTGTGAATCAGAGCTTGGCTGAGTGAAAATTCGATGACTGGTTGACTGGTTGGTGGTGACTGGAACATGGCGCCATTATGACTTTCCCATCATATTGGGAATCATGATCCCAACTGACTAATTCATATTTTTCAGAGGGGTAGGAAAAAAAACCAACCAGATGATGTAGCAATCCTTAGCCACCAAGAGAGAACAGAAACTGCGTTTGTGGTTGTGGCACTACGAAATCAGTAGGATCTCCAGATGATTGACATCCCCAAAGGTTGATCAATGCGACCTCAGAACACCCAGTTGGACACTTGGTATCCGCAGGATCTCATCCCAACGTTGGGAGATTCCGTTGATCCTGTTCCGAACGCTCGAAAATTGGTAAATCGCAATCATAAACAAAATGTGGGTAAAACAATGCCATTTTTACCACCCATGACTGGGAATGGTAACCATACCACCTATTGATGGTGAAATTGGAGGATGGTTTATGGCATTGTTTTACCCGCATTACTCATTTTATATCACAAAGTTCGATAAGTTCGGAACTGTGATCATCACCATGAGCACCATAATCATAAATTCACAGTCACATTAATCACCATCATGGAGGTTTGAATGGGAAAATCATCTATTTCTATGGGCCATCTATACCATGGCTATGTTAGTCATAACCAGAGGGTAACAAATATTAACAGAAGCCTTTCATGATGTCAATCATCAGCATTATAGATGGTGATTTTTATGTGTTTTTTTTTGTGATTGTGAATTTTTCATGACCACATATTCATGTGACTAATCATGATGTCAATCATCGATGAATCATCCGCATTGCAAATTTTTCTCGTCCGCCATGGATGGCCTATCTGACTCTTTGCTCGAAAAGGCCGTCGGCAGAGGCGCCACGATTTCGCTGCCTCGGGCCTCCATTGGGCGTGGCAGTGGGGACCTAAATGGTGGAGGGTACCTAAATGGGTACTTGGTGGCTCATCCCACTTAGTAAATGGGTTATAACCCCAGTTAGAAGTGGATTAACCCTAGCCTACTTATCCCATTTATAACTGGGGTTATAACCCACTTACTAAGTGGGATGAGCCACCAAGTACCCTTAAAGTTTCAGAATCCTCCAAGACTTCTCTTGACCGGAAAGTCTAAATGGAACCACCCTATATATGTTGGTCGCTTTCCTTACTTTTCAGTGGCTTGACGTGCCACTTTTGTTGATCATATCCCGATTGGTGGCTGAGTCTCAACTTCTCCTGATCAAACTATATCAAACTCATTTTAGATCATTAGATCATTCTTCCCTTTCGTTGCTGAAATATGATGCTCAAATCCCTGATTTTCACCCACCACCTGAGTTTGAACATCATGGACTTCCCATCTTCAACAATTTTAACAAACACTTGACTTTAACACTTATTTTTAAATCATGCGATGCTTTGAGCATCCCAGATGAGCTGATTCACCAAACGCAGGTAGCCGCTGGCTAACCGACCTAGCTGAGAAGTCTCAGTTGGCCACAGGACTCAGCAAAACCTGACCCAGGGGAATGTAGGCGGCAAAAACAAACTTGGTGCTTTCAATGGAACTTTGAATGGTTACATGGGAGAACCATGTGACCAAATTTTCACTGGGGGATTTTCGTTGAAGTACCGGCCGCTCCGGGTCTTTTTCCTGGGAGGATCATCTCCGACTCACCTTCTTTCGCGGGGAAACTGCAAGCAACCTACTTGTTTTAGCCATTTTTTTTTTTGCAACCGAAAAACTGTGAAACATTGGGGTTTGACCATGACCCGCAAAAACAAGAATAAAATCAATGGTTCTTACTGCTGACACTCGGGGGTGACCCTTTATCAACGAAAATGAGAGGTGAACGCAGACAAAGTTGTTTGCCTGTCTCGGTTT